GTAATACTAGCTGTAGGCCCCTTTAATTAGTTAAAGATATACTTAAGGCCTAATTCTAGTTCTTTAATATTATATTCTAGCTTATAGTTTATCTAGGTTTAGAACCTCTAATAGTCCTTCTAGTTACTATTAAAGTAATTAGGAACTAGTATCTTAAAGTTTTTTATATAGGTCCTAGTAGTTACTATAGAAAAGGTTAGTTCTAGAACTACTCTTAGTCTACGTACCTCTTTCTCTAATTATTAAACTCTTTGTTTAGAAGAAGTAGGTACTAGTAGCGTATTATTTTTAAGGAGGTTAATCTTCTAGGTTAGTATCTATAGCGCGTTACGTAGTTCTTTTAAGGAGAACTCTTTATTAGATTCTTTAATTAGTTATTTCCTAGCTACTACTAATAATAGGCTAGCTATTAAGATTAGTGTATTTATAAACCTTATTATCTATTATTTATTTTCTTAGAAACTCTAGGAAACTAGCTAAAGTTTTAGTAGAACTTCTTATTTATCTAGGTTCTATTCTACTATAGTTTATAGGTATATTTTAATTACTTCTTATATAAAGCCTATCTTTACTAGCTATAAAGCTTCTACTTTTAGCTTAGTAACTATAGTATCTTTTTTAATAGATATACTACTAGTAGTTCCTAAGGTACTTCTAATACCTAGGGGTGTTTTTTATAAGTAAATTTAAATATAAGGGGCTAACTCTAAGGGTAGTTACTAGTATAAATTAGATAAATTTACTAAGAATTTATAGTACTAGTTTTCTTCTACTTATAGTTCTTCTAGTAGCGTGCTAAGAGTTTCTAAAGTATAGGCAGTAGTGTAGGTATTAGCAGTTAGGCCTGCTAAGCTCTAAGGCTTTACTTACTAAAGTTCTACTAGGCCTAGCCCGTTACAGTGCCTATAGGACCCTATATAAAGAAATATACAGTTTACAGAGCTATAGTAATAGCTATAATAACTATATTAAAGACTGTAAGCTAGTTAGTATTAAGATCTATATATATATCCTAAAAAGTAGTATTTTCTATATCTATATTATAGGTAAGCTTAGTAGTAATTAACTAATTTCTAACCTATATTCTTTAGTTATACTTATAAGTTAGTAGAAAGAAGTTTAAAAGATACTTACTAGACTTAGTAAGAAGAGTATTAATTAGGTATAGATTATAATTAAGGTATATATTAACTGTAGAAGATATAAGTAGAGCTACTGTAGGTACCTATAAGTTATTATAAAGATTATTATAGAAAGTAGTCTAAATAGTAAGCAGGTCTATAATAAGACTATTTAAGAGTATAGAAATAAAAAAGGACTATAAGGCGCTACCTATAGTAAAAAGAGTAGCCTTATAGAAGTAAGTAATCTAGTTACTATTATTTAGTAAAAGCCTATAGGTAATAGCTATAGCCTAAAATATTAAATACTTAATACTATTAATAGTTTATAGGTTCTTAAAGCTTATTAGACCCTGTATAACTATTAGAAGTAGCTGTATATAATAGCGTTTACCTTATAATAGACTATAGAAATATATACAGCTAATTATAACTCTATACTTATATAAAGTCTATATCTTATAAGGTAGGTTTTATATAAAGGAACCTAAATAATTTTAATATAATAGGTAATAGCCTATAGAAGAATCTATATTATACTAAAAGAAAGTAGTTAAAGTAGTTATAGATTATTTAAGGTATAAAGTAAGATCTACAGGTATTATATTAGCTAGAAATATAATAGTTTACTAGTTAGGTAAGTAAACTACAAGAGCTATAATAAAAGGATACTTCTTATATACTAAGAACTTAAAAAGCTGCTAAGTAGCTTTAGATAGACTAATATACTACCTATTTAAGTACTATTATACCTTATTATTATTAGAAATATTTAATATAGCCTAATTAGTGCCCTTATAAATATACTTATAGATATACTTAATAGCATATATTATCCTATAAACCTTAATATTAATATAAGCCTAGTATTTGTAAAGGAACTATAGGTAATATAGAACTACCTACTAGTTATCTAGGTATATAATATAGTTATAGCACTTAACTAGTAAGATCTAACTATTATTATAGTACTAATATTTAGGGTAACTATCCTTATAGATAACTATAGTAGAATAGTAATACTTTAGAAAATTCTTTAAATACTATAGTTATAGACTACTAGGCTATATAACTATATAGGGCGTATAGAGGTTAAACTTACTATAAGGTCTATAAAGTATAAAGTAGTAAATAGTAATAGTAAGTACTCTATTAGAATTATTCTTAGTAAGAAGTATCTCTATATAAATAGCTATATTAATAGTATCTAAATCTGTAAACGCCTTATAGTTAGAAAAGAGTAAGAAGAGTAAAAGGTATATATAAAGTAAACTCTATTTCTAGTACTTAATAGTATATATATAACTTAAGTATATACTAAAATAACTATATTTTACATCTCTAAGTAACTTTTATACCTTTAGGTAAAAGGTATAGTAGACTAAATTAGGCTAGTTTAAACCTATCTTTCTATTATAAAGTTTATAGTTAACCTTAGGCTAATAAGAACTTATAGTAAAGGTAATAAATAAGGTTAGATAGCTATAATAATAGATAATTACTATTAAATCCTAGTAATACTAACTTATAAAGTATAAACTACCTAAATATAATAAAGGTAGAATAATATAGTACCTAATAGGGACGTTAGAGCTATTATCTTATATAATAGTATCTATAATACTACTATATAGGTTAGTATAGAGAGTTAACTAGTTATAGTAAACCTAGGCTAAATAGGCCTAGTTATATATTACCTAGATATTAACTAGGAACTGCTAAAATAGCTAATAGTAAAGAAAAGGCTATAAAGTATATTTAAAATAGGTATATAAATAGTACTAAAAGTAAATCTACTATATAAGTAAATCTTATATATAAGACCTATCTATATTATAGAGCTTTATACCTAGTTTCTATCTATAATTACTATATAGAAATATTAAGACGTAGTATAATAGTATATAAGATAAATAAGCTATATTAATATAATATAGTACGCCTAAGTTATAGGCTGTAAAAATAATAGAGTAAACTGTTTTAGCTACTATAGTATTTAGAAGAATTAAGCTAACTTTATTACTAGTAGGTATATTCTTATAGTAGTAGTCTGTACCTATTTTTATAGCTAAGGTAAAACTACTAGTTAAAATAATATAGGTATTTATACCTACTTACTAGAGCCTTTTATAAGCTATATTATATATATTAATATATAGGTTATTAATCTTATAAAGTATAGCTATTAACTACTATAAGATATATAATTATAGATAGAAATTACGTTAGTAGCATATTATAGTAGTATACTATAAATTATAGAAATATAGCTAGGTATACTAAAGTAATATTTTATTAAGCTTCTATAATAGGCTACTTTAGTAGTAAAGAGCCTTATAGATTTAAAATACCTAGATACCTAGGCTATTAGCTCTATAATTAGTCTATATATAGTTAAGTAATATAAATATAAATACTATATTATATATATAGAGCTCTTTATAAAAGTAGTAGGCCTTAGGAGTAGTAGAATATAGTAGCTAATAAAGGTAGAATAGTAGTAAAGTAAATTCTAAAAGCTATACTTAGCTATTAATATAATAAAGCGTAAATTCTAGCTAGCTACTAGAAGAAGAAAGTTTACATTTAGTAAGCTAGTAAAAAGTACTATAATAGGTATAGGTAGACTATAAAGGACCTAGGTTATAGTAGTCCTTATTTAGTAGGTTAGAAAAAGGAGGAATTATAGGCTACTTAAAGGTAGTAAATATAGTTATAAAAAGGTCCTAAAAGAAATCTTCCTTATATATAGACTTTATAGAACTATAAAAGTATAATTAAGTAAGTTTATAAGTAAAAGTAGGCTAAAGAGATAGATTATAGGCTAATATATACTAAAGAGATACTATTTAAGCCTATTATAGAGTTAGTCCTTCTATAGCAGTAAGTAAAGAAGGATATAACTAATAGTTATACCTTATATATAAATTCTATAAGCGTATTAAGAGTAGGTTATAATAGAATAGAAGAGTTTTACTAGGGCGTATACTATATATAGCTAATATAGGGCCCTAAGGTAATTAGTATAGAATACTATAATTTTTTTATAAACCTTATAGCTATTACAGAAGATTATAGACAACTCTTAACTAACTATAAGAGAGAAACTAGGCTATATTATAGAAAGAGAACGCCTTAGGTAAACTATAATAAACTTATAGATCCTGCTTATAGGTATTACTATATAAGATTTAATAAAAAAAGAAGAAAATATACTTAGAGTAGTAAAACTATAGACTATAGGGCAATATAGATAAGTAAAACACTACTACATAGGTAGTATAGATAGAAAATAATAATTTTATATAGTAATAGTAAGGGCTACAGACGTCCTGTAGACAGGAAAACTAGATAGGTAAGTAGGGGTAAGTTTTATAGTAATCCTAGCACTAGTTTTAGGCCTTGCAGGCTGCTAACGTAGGAGTTAAATGTTGTCTAATTATATATTAGATTACTAAAGCTATTAATACTAGATATGCAGTAAGCCTTCAAATGTATCAAAAGGAGGAATATGGCTTATACTTCAGTTGAATACCGCAGTAATTAATGTTAACTTGTAGAGCGAACCCGGAGAAGACTTAGCCTCGGCAATCTTGTAGCAACAGCCAACAAGAACTTGAATCAACTCTGTGACGATCGTAGGACGGCTTTGATGATATGTAGATATAGGCACGATAGCAGGTTATGAGAAGACGGCAAAAGAGACAAGGAAGGCGGACGTGCAACTAGAGATACACCACATAACACGTGATTTTCTACCCTTGCTGCCCTCACCGGTTGCACTGCCACAATAGCTTCGCCCCCACGAGCGTTTCCAAGTTGCCAGCTTCATGAGGCGGCTGGCATAGCCGAGCTGCATTCTCACTGGTGATGTTCATCTATGGCTAGCACAGCCACATCAACATTGGACCAACCACCAGAGCGAGCAAAACCTATGTCCGTTACGCCTCTTCTACAGCCTTCTTCAATTGTTCCACCTCGCCTTTCTTCCACTCCGTAACCTTGCCCTGCCACTTCTCTCCTTTGCCCCCGCCTTTCGCTGTACTCACAACCTCCTTTACCTTGACTGCCATGCGCTCTACCAGTTCTGGTTTACCAAAGATCACAATCGAGCCTGATGTCTTCACTTCGCCTGAGCACAACACCACGACACGTTCCTTCGCAACTTCTCTGATTTCAGACACAACCGAGTTTATGAAATCCAGACCATCCGTTGCTCGGTATGAAAACGCACTATCGTGAGTTTCCAAATACGTTGTTAATCGCTCCGACTCGAATTTCGCAATTTCAGCAAGCATCTTCTTCTCTTTCCTGCGCGCGTCGGAGACTTGATCAGTGAGTCGATTGACGTTGGAAGCTACATCTGCAGGCGTAGCACTCGATGAAAGTGAGACAGCGATGGTACGCAGGCCGTTGATGGACTCAGCAGCGAGCTTGATAGCGCGGTCACCTGCTGTGAAGAAGAGGCGGCAGTTCGTGCCTCGAATGGACTGCGTATGGTGCAAGAGGATGAGAGCGACGTGACTTGTTTGCTTCAGATGAGTGCCGCAGCACGCGTTGTAGTCCATGTCTCCGATCTTGATGAAGCGTACTACGCCTTTTTCCTTATCGTAGTCTTCTGGTAAGCTCGATGAGCCTTTGCCCTCGGGGGTTTCTACTGTGATGGGCAGGTTCTCGCGAATCATCTCGTTGCATTTCGATTGGATGCTTTGAAGTTCGTCGTCAGTGGGCTTCCGAGGCAACTCCACATAGTTCATCTCCCCGGCGACTCCCATGCTCCAACCTAAGGTTGGAAGATCCATGCCATCCATGATAGCCGAGAGGAGATGCTGACCCGTGTGTTGCTGCATGTGATCCCATCTGCGTGTGAAGTTGATGGTTTGGCGGACTGGCGTTCCTGGCTCGAGTGGTTTGGGAGAGAAATGCACGCAGCGGAGGCCATGGCGTTGAATGTTTGTGACTGGTATTGGTTCATTCGATTCGTTATCCAGAGCAGTGATGAATCCATGATCTGTTGGCTGTCCTCCACCTTCAGGAAAGATGACAGAATCCGCGAATTCAATAAGCCATGTCTTGGATGCTATGTCCGAAAGACCCTTTTCTGGGTCTGTAGATTTCTTGGTTTTTGATTTACCGCTTTGTTGGGGTGTTTTTGGCGGAGTATACTCATTGCAGGAAACAACTTCGGTCTCGAGGGCTTGGAGATAAGAGTCCTTCTGGCACGACAGAGCGCCTACAATGCTTGGCATTGGACCTGCTACAGCCATTGTGGTAAAGAAAAAGGAACGATGAAGGGGTGAGAGTGTAGAGATTTTGACCTTGAAGGAAGAATGACTAGATAACAGAAAGGTCGAAGGAAAGGCGAAGAAACCTCGGGAAAACGCAGACTTAGTCAGCGCATTCGCTAGGGTCATCTAAAGTACAGCCCTTATCTTCGCTATGGAAGGCCCTGCTGCTTGATAACCTAAAGTATTCAATTGAAGATCCTAGGGCGTGGTTGTGTTTAAGACAAGGTTCGACAGCTGACTAAGTCGATCAAGCTGCATCTTTCTGAACGATCTTCGAGCCACAATCTGTTCGCGTCACACGAACGATATTCAAAGATGACTGCTCTACGTCTTAGCAGAGATCTTCTGTACGCGATGATGTTGCGCGACGACAGTGCTGGGTCCTCTCAGATCGAACCAACGTGCAAGAGCCTCGATGACGTCTTCGAACTCAAAAGCGAATATTCCTTTTGATCATATCCATCAGCTGCGAATGCTGAAGCTAATAACATCCATAATGGGTTTCCAGAAACAGAAGAAACCTACCCACGCTCTTGTGACTCAGCTCGTCACGTCTGTCTTACCACACAAGGAGAATGATGTACCGCGCCTCTACCACGTCCCGCGCAACCCTCGCTACGATCCAGGAACCGCCGTCGTCGAGCACATTGTGCTGAGCGTTACTCCGACACCCGGCGTATACTCACTCATAGGCTACCCGCCGGCCGAATTGAGTGAAGTTTCGACATTGTCGATTCCAGCAAACAGTACTCGTCAACCGCGGACGCTATGCTTCCTTCACAGACCCTTCACGCTCGACCGGCGTAATGTGCGCCGAGGCACGCTCGTTCTCTCGAGTCACACTTCCTTCGACGAAGTTCTTACCACAGGCTGGAACCTGCCGTTGGCGGAGCGACTTGGAATGAACGTTGGCGAGAGCCTCTGCATTCAAGGGTACAAAGGGGATCCGGAAAGGAAGATTGGAATCCTCGGGCAAATACACACGCCTCGAGAACTGCTGCTGCAGCATGTTCAGCAGGAGTTTGGGGATCTAGAGCACGTACATGACGGACTGTCAGACGAGATACGCGTCGTAGCGATCATGAATGCGTTCAACGAAGAGGAGGTACGTCGTGTGGTGGACATGACCCAGCAGGCGGGCTGGGCAGCACCAGACGACGACGCGCCAGGCAGACATGTGCTGTACCTCACTGGACAGCCGCGTGCACTTGGGTTAGAAGCTGCGAGGACATTAGGTGTAACGGTGGCTTGCGTAGGACACAAGCAAGCGGAAGAGTGGGGGATCCGATATATGGCTGCACGTTTGCGCACAGAGTTTCCTGGTGTGCGTATAGATGAGGTCTACGAGCAAGAGGAGCCTGTTGTCAAGAAGCAGAAACCACTTTTGGTGGAGCCGATTACTACGGCCTGATACCCATCACCTACACGCGACAAGAGAAACCCATTTCTATCGCGAGCTCCGCAAAATCCTGCCGCACACAGCATTTCCCGAATCGGCCTCCCCGTTTGAACCCCTATGCACGCCGATCTCGTCCCCACCGAATCACATGGCGCCACATCCCTGCAGCCTCATCGCGCTAACGCCACATCCATTCGTGCCACTCCCGCCTGACAGGCTCCCCTGGGCCTCCATCAATCTCGCTCCATTCATTGCTCGCAGCAATGACATGCGCAGAGAGGGTGTGCCGAGAAGTGTGGCAGCTGCGTCGGATGTGGTGCAGGGAACGTTGAGAAGCGAATCAAATACTCATAGGGTGATGGGCGAGTGGGAACGTGTCAGGGTAGGGTTGCATGATAGGTTTGCATTGTCTTCTGCGCATATGTCCGAAAGCAAGATCGTCTGCTGTAGACAATCAACAGTTGGTAGTAGGAGTGCTGCGATATTGGAACGGGGGAATTGAAAGTGAAAGACGCATGTGGGCGTTTGTATATAAGATTTGGAGAAGATCAATCTCGACACCGGTTTCGTTCTGCAATCGACTCAACTTCGCTTTCAACTGGTAGCAATATGTTCCCTCAGCTTGCTCTCGCCGTGATCGCGCTCGTCGCAAGTGTGATCTGCGCGCCTACAAATCTCCACGATAGACAGGCTCCAAGTGATGTCCCAGACTACGTGATGAAATATGGTTAGTACTCTCGTTATCGAGGAGAAGTTTATCCTCGCACTCCCTTCCATACCAAGAACTTCAACTCACACAACCCCCAGCGCCAATCCTCTTCCTCCACTCCACCGACCCATACCTTCCCACCGACTTCCAACTCTTCCTCAACAACACAACCCCACGCGTAAACTTCGCCGCAGTCCCAGGTCCCTCAAATCCCCTCACCCTCTCGAACCTAGACCAGGTCAGCGCAGACGCCTATCTAACTTCCAACGACGACGTCACGAAGAACCCCAGCTGGATAAAAGGCACCAAGCCCGACGCATCAGGGAAAACAAACAACGCCATAACTGCTTCCGTCATCGTGAACGACAAGGGGAATGGCGTCGTCGATGCGTTTTACATGTACTTCTACGCCTACAACTACGGCGGCGAAGTGCTAGGATGGAAGGCTTTGAATTTCGGTGCGTGGTCCCCTTCCCACACATTCACCCACTATTCCCTACTAACCACCCCCAAGGCAACCACGTAGGCGACTGGGAACACACCATGGTCCGCTTCACCAATGGCCTGCCCACCGCAATCTGGTACTCGCAACACGCCAACGGCGAAGCCTTCACGTACGCCGCCGTGGAGAAAATCGGCCTCCGCCCTGTCGTCTACGTCGCCAGCGGCTCGCACGCAAACTACGCCATCCCCGGCATCCACTCGCATGTAATCCCGAACCTGAACTTGCCGGGTGGCGTATTGCAGGACTACACGGACCGCGGCGTGATGTGGGATCCGCTGCTCGCGGCATGGTTTTACAAGTACGATGCGGGGACGAGTGCGTTTGAGGCGTTTGGTGGAGAGGCGCCGGTTGCGTGGCTGGGGTTCCGTGGGCATTGGGGTGATATGGAGTATCCGACGAGTGACAAGAGGCAGGTTAAGCTGTTTGGGCAGGCGAAGTTTGGGAGTGGGCCGACGGGGCCCGTGGATAAACAACTTAATCGCAGCAAGATTTGTCCAGAGAATGGGATTTTGTGTATTGTGAGGAGTATATTGGCTCCGTAGGGGGTTGGAGGGGAGGGATGTGTGGTGGTGCATGGTGGTTTGGATGAAGTCGTGTGAGTTGTGTGGATTGTTTCTTTCCATGTAGATATACCCCTGATAGCATTTGAAGTGAGAGATCGCCCGGTCTTGGTAGGGAATCTTTCATAGCTACTAAACTAGTTTCTAATACAACAACTGTCTCCTTAATGCTTTCTCTGCTCTCTCTGGTTTCTTCTTGGCTCGCTCCTCGTGTTCATACCCGATGAACGCCTCCGCACGTGCGTTCTCAAACGTCTCTTCGACACTAGCGTTATTAGTCTTGTTGGTCGAGTTTCCAGCACCGCTGAGTTGTATGCCAGCCTCGAGCTCGTTCGCGGTAATGCATGTGCTAATATGAGAGCTGGCGACAGAACGCTCGAAGTCCTTCTCTCCTACGTAGACGAAAGCCGTGGAGAGGACGTAGGTGACAAGCCCGATGAATCCCACAACCAGGTAGGCAATCGCAACCTATCACCGCTGTTAGCTTAGTTGTGTATCATCAATTCGTTATTCATACCTTGTGTCGATCCTGCCACGGCAAATTTTGAATGAAAGGTGTGCACATATACACCGTAAGTCCGCCGAGAAAGGTACACCATGCATACGCCATAGTCATGGACGGGAACTGCCACACAAACACCATAATCCAGTGGTTGATACCAGGCGTCTTTGTGTATCGCAAGATCGTCCGTTGTACACGCTGTACTTCATACTCGGGAAGAGAAAAGTTCAACTCCTCACGTGCGGGCAGGTCGTCTAGGATGGACTTCGTTTGGATAGTCGTCACAATAGCCCATATGCTGCATATGAGCGAGCTGAACCACAACGCGTCTGCGATCCATATCGAGTCCGAAGTACTGGCGTAGGACAATATTGAGAGGTTGGCGCCGCCGCAGAAGGTTGCCTGCAATTTGTGAGTTTCAACTGTCGTCCCAGTATATTGTGGCAGGAAAGCATAGAGCATGAAGAAAAGGGCATGATGAAGAAACTATCTTACTTACCGCAACTTGAACAGATTGAAGTTCACCATACTTGTCCTCCTTCCAATCTTTGATCAGCGGTATCAGCACCTTGCTGTCTCCTTTTGCAGCTCGTATCTCCTTGAGTGGTCTCCAGGTGTACAGTCTGAAGGCGCGGCGATATGGAGCGGTGAATATAGCAAGAGCGGTTTTGAGTACATGATAGTGCAAGGAGATTTGTTGCTCCATGTCTTCAGACTCGACGGCCGCCTGGGTATGTAGTGGGCCGCTCATTTCACGGAGACAACAAGTCGTAAAAAGAAATAGCAAATCAGCGAGGCGAAAGAGATAACTAATGAGAGGGGGGAAGGCCTGAGATGACAGGGAAAAGAGGCGGGGGATCTGCTCAGCGATCTGGTGTAATGTTGGGGTAGATCTGGTCAGGCAGGTGCGGGAGGCGGCATCGTGGCTTCCTGTCTCAGATTTTGGCATATACGAGGCTTCATGACAGAATATCATACGCTGATATGGCTGGTGATGTCGTCAAAGGTCAGCGGTATAATGTGCGATCTGTCGCGTGACAGTGCATGTGACGAAACCGGCTATGAGCTTAATAGCACAGAGGTAGGTACACTTGGTGCATCGAACAAAGCCATGGAAGAAAGAGAGAAATACGTCAGGATGTGGTTTAGCATGAGGAGCGAGCATGTGGGGTTGAGGTTTCTCCGCTGTCCTTAACCCGATCCAGAGTAATTCCGGGGAGGCCTTACACAGTATGCTAGTGTGACTCATTTGTCGATATCTCAGTCGAGAGGGTTAATCCTCAAAACCTAGAACCTCACCTGTTATTCTTCAATCACAATGAGCGACTCGGGATATGTCATTCTCGAAGGCCTGCCGACACCCCAGGTATATCACGACATACGAAAACTCGCAGGTCTCACGCCTCCCCCACTCGAACCCATTGCAAAGTCCCTCGCCAACTCGTTTGCTTGCTTCCTAGCCTACGAACGCAAACATATGCTTAACGACACAACCCCGGGACCGGAGCAAACGGCGGTCGCGATGGGGCGTCTATTGGGCGATGGAGCGTTATTTCTTCAGGTCTGCGATGTCGCTGTGCTCCCACAACACCAGCGTAAGGGACTAGGGGGGCGCATCATGCAGACGCTGATGGATTATGTCGACGAGAACGCACCGCTTGCGTATGTGAGCTTGGTCGCGGACCCAGCAGGGCAGAAACTATATCCAAAATTTGGGTTTAAGGATGTGAAGCCGAGTGTTGGCATGTTCAAGATGAGGGGCAAAAGGATCCAAGATGAGGCAGTCGAGGAAGACGTAGGAGAGGTGTAGGAGTTGGTGTAGATGCCAATCCAGTCGTCAAGGGAGTGCTACAGCGCACCCGGATACGCATACTTTGGTGTCTTCTGGTTGTTGTAGGGGATGTGACTAGAGATGATTCTTCCCAAACCACGATATCAACGGCGAACAACGACTTTCCCAAACGCGCTGGCGGGGTGTGTGATATGTGAAGGCGACGGCTAGGTAGGACGATTATTGCGGGGCATTGCGTCATGTGTAACGCCTGATCAGCGATCGTTAATGCTGGAGCTCACAACGCGTCGAAGGCTCAGAGCTATCAGCCTTATGTAGCTAACTTCTCCCCTCATTCATTAAATACTCTTTTATGTGTGCGGTAGAAGAACCGAGATGTTCGCCGTGTTGCGCAGGTCCTGCTTGGCTGCTCCAAGCCAAACGACTGAAGGTCGCCCGCCAGCGGTATGCACATCTACCGCTGCGTACAGCATCTTCGACGCGAGGCTCGACTGCATACATGTGCTGACTACCCCTTCAGCTAGAAAACCTGCCCAACGAGCTGCTACAGCTCATCGTCTCGTTTTTGTCTACGCCCACGCTCAAGAGCACCGCGCTCGTGTGTAGGACACTCAATCGCTGCGCAACCAGTGTACTTTGGCAGAATGTCTGCCTGGTCGATGAACGGAGACTCCACGTGAAGGAAGGTCCTGTTGGCTCGTGGGAGGAACGCGGACCCTACGCGTCAGATGAGCACGACGATACCCCCATCATACAGAAACTCTACATACTGGCAACGAATCCCACCATCGCGGCCAAAGTGCAAACACTCACCCATCGCTGCCACCTCCCCACGCCCAACATATTCAACGAGCTCCCCCGAACCTACTTCCACGGAGAAAACCTTTCGCAAGATGATCGTCTACACATTCTGCTCAGGCTGGCCATACGGAACCTCGTCAATGTGCACACATTGAGGTTGATATATGGGCACTGGAGGCTCACAAGCGCACTGATTATAGGTTTCCTTGACCAGAATCGCCCGCGACGCATGCCTCTCCGCAAGCTGTGGTTGGAAAGCTGTACCTTCTCCATCTCGACGATGCAATTTCTTCTACCAGCTTGCGCAACAGGACTGGAATCAATTCGTATTCGGCGCATGAGAGAGGAGGCGATAGGCACTACGCAGCGGAAGGGCATGGATTTCATGGACTTCAAACTTTCGCGAGGAGGTCAGCCCTACCAGATGCACAATGGCGCAGGCGGTTGGGTTGAAACAACGTTGCGTTTTGCTGAGAAAGGGTTGCCGGAACGATGGCATCATCCGAATGGGCCAGAGCTGAAGGCTAAGGCAGCAAAACTTGATGCCGCAATTTGGGCAACGCTCCCTGATATCAGAGATTTCGTCGATGCGTATCAAAGCGAGGTGGACGACATCAGAGTTTCCTCGCCGACTGTAGAGCCTACCCGTTGGCTGTTGGGATGTTCGGCGTCGACACTTACCAGCTTGAATCTCGACTGGATTCTTTGGCGCCGAAGTGAAAACGATTCCTTCGATAACACAAAGAATGTCTTGAATGCTCTCAGCAGAATGAGATTTCCTAGCCTCCGCGCTTTTCAGATTCGAAACGCCGTAATGCCACTTACAAAACTTCCTGATGACGTGTTCCTGTTGGAAGACACATTTCTCACATTTCTAGAGGCGCATCCAAAGCTTCAATGCCTGGGCTGGCCTCTAGATAAGATATACAGTCACGTAAAGCCATCAGTCGAGACACAGAGCCGTGCACAAAGATTGATTGCGCACCTGGCTACAGTGTTGACCGACCTTCGCCTTGACACCTGCTATGTAGGCCATGGGGAACCGCTCACAGACGAAGGTAGGACCACCGAACAGCGACAAGAACGCATTCGTCGGAGGAGATTCATCGCCGACTTTGCCCCGCATATGAGGAGGCTACAGCAGATCAAACTAGAAGGTGGCATCCCCCGAGACGAGAAACGAGAGATACTTAGAGCATTGCATTGGTGTCCCTTGAAAAAGATTGTTCTCATTGGCGTATCATTTCCCGCGGGAAACACGTGGGGAGACAAGGGGCGCGAACTCAAAGAACTTGATCCAGGGCAGAGCTCAGATACGGTGTACAACCTGGAAGAGGAGGATCTCGACGCTATCCTCGAAGCCTACAGAAACGGCTTCACCGTATCAGAAGACCACAACAACTTCGAGCCCGACTACGACGGGCCATCTCGGGCCCCTCTCCTGCAAAACATCGCTCTCCATCATGCCGCCACAGTCGAAGAGCTGAAGATATGCGGCTACAACGGCTGTCCCATTCTCTCGCAGCAGACTGCAATCACGCGCCCACTCCTCGCACCGCTCCGCCACTTCGCTAATCTGCGCCAACTCGTCGTGTCTTTCTGGCTGCTGACATGGTTCGAGAATGCATACCGCGACTCCGAAATCATCGGCTCCTGGCACGATACCCGTTCACCCTCTTCCACCGCTCTGGTCGTGGTCACTCCGCCCACGTCCCCAAGTCGCGAGCACCCCGTCGACCCCGGCCACATGCCGCAGTTCAACCCCACAGTCGTGCCTCGTCAGCATTTCAACCGCTGGTCTGTTGCGCTCAAAACGCGTTTCTCGCCTTCAGCCCTGGCATATCGCGTCGCCCACGATATCGCACCCTACCTGAGCCCCGTGGCGAAAGCGAGGCCCGGTGGCGTCAGGGTGCGCGCAAGCTTCTGTCTCGGCGCTACGGAAGAGAGGAGAGTCGCCAAGGATATTTTCGATTTGGATATCAGGATTGGGGCAGATGATCAGGTGTTGGAATATGTGGGGCCGAGGGAGGAGGGCGAGAAGGGGAGGTGTTGGGCGAAACTAGAGGAGAGGCGATGGTTCTAGAAAGAGTGTATTGATGTTCTAGTCTTTCCCGTTGTTGGTGGCGATTGTATGATATTTGATAGATGGAATAGGCGTTTTGCTCTTCTTGCGGAATCTTGCTCTTCAGGTATGGCTGGCTAGCCGTGCGGTTCTGAGGCAGACCATATTATTCGGTACATTTCAATAGTTCATGACCGCTGCTGTATGTGAGGAACTTATGTATACTGGCTGACTGACTGGCTTGATCTCGATTTTGATGCTAGACGAAGAAAGTTGTCTATGCATTTATCTCTACTCTCAGCTGATATTCACACAGCTCTACGCAACTTCAACCTTGAACGTAAACGCAAACTTGAGCTTGGAATGTGGAAGAGAGATGGTATTTACATGAACAGTGGCGAAACAGAGGACGGTATATACATGAATGGCAAAGAGAAGGGGAACATGCTGAGTATGTACAAGGAAAAGAAAAACATGTGCCGAATATATACACAAACCGAAATCCATATACCACCACCACCATCAACATGGCTTCAAACGCTGTACACCTTCACAGAGTTGACAAGCCAGTAGCTCTACACTCACATCAGCTCACACCTTAAAATAGTCAAAGGAGGATACTCACATCACCAAACGACTGCGGCTGCGACGCCACATACGCATTACAGCTCGGATTAATCTGAGAGCACGCCGTCTGACCCCAGACCCCACCAGCCCAATCCCCACAAAACGAGATATCAAACACGATATTCAAGTCCCTAAACTTCGCGTCGAAATCACAGCCCGCGAAGCTCGCCATCGGTGCGCCCCAGTTGCCAGGATTCGGGTTCCCGCTGCGGATATTCGCCGGCACGTTTCGAGACGCAAAGTACCATACCTTGATGCCGGAGCTCGTCCAGAGCGTGGCGTAAACGCCGCCGCCGTTGGCGTTGAAGGCCGTGCCGTAGGAGGTCGCGGCGCTGGATTGCACGCCGCACCCGTTGTAGCCGCCGCCTGCGCCGCAGTCGACGTTGCTGGCTCGGTGGCCGGTTTCGCCGCCGGCGCCGACGGTGGGGGTGCAGCCTGGTGAGGTGTGGAGGGTGGCTTGGTTGTATGTGTTCTGGTGCACGCCTTCGTAGATGTCGATTTCACCCTGGTTGGGCCAGTTGGGGCCGACCATCCAGCTATGTGGGAGTCAGTGTGAGGAGAGTTCGAGGAGAAAGGGGTAATACAAAGCTGGCCATGACCCGCAGGCACTTCCAGGAACGTGGGCGAAGTCGGCGATGACGAGTGCGCGGTTGTACGCTGTTTTGCTTTGGACACGCACGCTTTTGCGGCCTGGACCTTGCGGGTTCAGGAATGAGGTTGAGTCCACGCCCATGTAGAGTTGTTTTCCTTGCGTCTTCAGTAGACCTAGCTGTTGAGCTTGTTGTGCGTTGACGTATTCAACGAAGCCATCTGTATATTATGTTAGAATTTGAGGGTGAAAATGTACTCGTACTCCTTACGTGTAGGATCAGCTATCTAGTTCATATTAGCTAGGTGTGATAGATGGGTTGTGGAGGTCAAGTACAGCCTGAACATCAAACTTGTTTAGCCAGTTGCTCGCATCGTATGTGTCGATCAAGCTGTAGGCTGCAGCAGTTTGAAAATCGGAAGTGGGAGAATATGTGCCGTTGGGCCAATATCCGGGCCCAGCTGGGAGCGCAGTGATGTAATGTACAAGGAGTGTCAGAGACACAACAACAGTCTTGGACCGCATAGCTGGGTAAAAATGCAGCATGATGATCGTTGAGTTGTACAAATATCATGCAGAGCATGCCGTGGGTCCTTATAAACATATCCGCGATCATAGACTCTGGGTTGGCAGTGTCTCATACCAAGATGAAATCCCTACTCTAACATGTAAATGTGACTAGCTTCTCAACACCATATTGCCAGTATTCATCAGGCGTGGCACGGAAAATGGAAGCGGACGTCTGGCTCCGTTGCGAAATCATCTAAAATCAATCAGTCTGGGCAGGGAACCATGTCAATGTTGGGCAACCAGCCTTTGCGGCGAGATGTCAAGGCTTGAGGAGACAGTGTGAACATGTCGGCTGATAAATTCCCGTGTGCATGCTCCTATGGTAGTAGTGTTGGTCAGCTTTGCATGTGAATGTTGTTACGAGACGAATAGCCAAGGGACATTTAGCGAGAGAGTAGTAGTAACAGGGATCCCTAGACAATGCATGCAATATATACTCTATTTTGTTTGGGAACTTGCCACGGTCAGTATAGTCCTGGTGGTGGCTTAGTGAAGAAAGAATATATAGAGAGCGAATGTACGCAGCGCTCCACAACATGTTCTGGACTATCGTAACATTGTATCGTACAATTCGCAGCATTTCAGTACTCGTAACCATGGCCGGCAAGAAGTGAAACTCGAGTTTTAGAAAGATGATCCATGTAAAGAGGCCCAATCGACGGGCCAGAAACGGAGAGTAACAACAGAAACGGCAGGGACAATTGAACTCGTCTGAATTCAGTCTTATCAAATCAAAAAGTATCGCATAACCCATGCTGAGAATTGCGAGATGAAAGCATGAAAGGTCTTGTGTTTGGAAATTTGGAAGTATGAAATGAACTGACGTACGTGCCCCGCCATCAGTCGCTGGGCATCTGACCGTGAAGGTCACAACGGAGATCATCTGGAAGGCACGTGCCTACAAAGACGTCGCCAATACTCGCGACGCCTTATTCGATTGAAGATGCATGCTTGTGTGGGACCTACTTGTGCACGCGCTGAGCCCGCGTGGCAAGAGGTAGCGGCCTTACAATGTGTTGGGCTGCTTCGCAGTTGCTGGCCTATAGTTACGATAGAAAAGTCGAGTTGAAGATACAGAACCAAGGGTTATGCCGTGTTGAGGAACTTTAGGAGACTTGGGCGCCACACTCAGATTGAGAGCAGAACGGATATGTTGGCCTATTGGAGCAGGTCTATGGTCACGCACCAGTTCCTTTTACTCGCCCAGGAGATGACACATAGAGGACTGGAGAATGAGGGTTCTTTGGGAGCAGGGTGAAATGAGTTGACGTGATGGAAGTGCCAACTCTCAGGGAGAAAGTTGTGCATGTAGCCTTCCTCAGCCAAAAACGACTATTCCGTATTTGGACCTAGCGCCTTTTCTTCCCTAACATCCATCACGAGAAAGCGCCATTGGAGAGGCCCGAATCTCTTAGAAAATGTGTCTCTTCGTCATCCGTTGATCAAGGTGTCAGTCCTCGAGTGTTTAACTCGATTTTTCGAAAGGATACCACCACAAGTAGACTGTTTCTATAGAAGGTACGCTCAAAGACAATGCACATAAACCTGAACAGTACTATACCGGTTTACGATTTCTCGACATGATGGCTTCTTTCATTTAGAGATTCATACAAAGGCATCGACCTCTAGAAAGTCTACAACCAGTTTCTTGTGAGGGAAATATTCTAATGTAGTAGCTGAGTAATCTTGGATATCACACACAATCTATCCCAAGAACTGTTCAGCACAAGAAACAAGCACTGAACAATTGTATTGCGAGTTTTGAGAAGATATTTGTTTCCCTCTTTCGGCATTGTGCCATTGTTTGATGTGATGTCAAAACAAGAAGCGACATAAATATCATAAGGTTATTTAGTTTCTGCGTTTCTTCCTCGATAAAACCTGTCAACTATATACCAAAATCTATATACCTTGATTCCCAGATTACTTCAATTTTCTTCAGTTTTTGCATCTGCCACTAACTACAATGTCGATGCAGTCCCAGTGCAACAGCTCCCGTTCACCACATTGTTGTCACATCTCGAAGCACGTTGCCAGTTCTTCGCACGTTGTGCATTGACAGACATAACTGTTCACAGATATAGAACACAGTCACATTCACTCCTCATTGTAGCGCAGTAATGGAGGCCTCAGTGGGTTTATCAATGACCACTCGTAGTATTCCTCCAGCAAACCAACCAATCCCATAATCAACTGCAATACAACCACAATCAACATGGCCACATCAGTAATACTGTTCATGGTCAACTCAATGCTCTTCTACGCTGGGTTTATCTCCAAGACGTTTGCGACGACCACTGTGGATGGGCCCATCATCCTGGGTACCATAGTACTATGCCTCATGATCCTCTGGACTAGCTTCCTCATCTTCGATGTTCGGCGTCGACCAAATCCGCCATCCACCCTACGATCTCTCGGACTCCTTTGCCACAACATCCCGGCAGCTTTCTTCTTGGGCACGGCTATCGTTACTCAGCACGTCAATGATAAAGCTATGTTCGTGTTCGGAGCTCTCATGATCTTTCGCTACTGGCGGACGCTGGTCAATGTCTGGTATTGGTTCCAGTACAAACCAGCGGTCGCCCCCACTGATTTCAAGATCACTTCAGCGGATTGTACCGTCATTGTGCCGACTGTGGGTCCTGTGGGAAACACAGTGTATGATCAGATGGTGACCTCAATTCTGATGAACCACCCAGCTCGCCTCATCTTTTCGACCAATACCGACTCCGCCGCCGAGCAGGTCAATGCCGCCCTCCCCCTCATGTTGGCTGACATCGCAGCAGGTCACACTGTTTACCAGAAGCAGCATGGTATCGGGCCTATAGCTGTGACAACCGATATCAAAGTACTAAATGCTCGCGTTTCAAATAAGCGTCAACAAGTGGTCCACGGCTTCAAGGGCGTCGAGACAGATATTCTGATCATGGTCGATGACACCGCTATATGGCATCCTCGTTTCCTTGAAGCTACGCTTCCAGCCTTTGCTTCCGAGAAGGTAGGGTTTGTCGGTACTCGGAAGTGGGTAAAGCGCCTACCTCATCCTTATGACCCCAAAGCGAACTTTTTCGTAAGCTTATGGAAGCAGTATCAAGCCGGATTCTGGAATACCATCGGTGGTCTCTATCTTGTTCGCCACAACTTCGAAATCCGCGCGACCAACGCTGCAGATGGAGGAGTCTTCTGTGTTTCTGGCCGATCAAGTCTTATTCGGACCAGCATCGTGAACAATGATCGCTTTACAGACGCTTTTCTTCACGAGTATATTCTCCACTTTGGCGACCACTTTCCTGGATGGGGCCCTGTCACCGCCGACGATGACAACTTCTTAACACGTTGGGTCATCAACAACGGCTGGAACGTAAAGATCCAGTGCTCGGAGGAAGCGACAATGACTACGGTTCTAGGCCAGCTTCCTCTGAAATTCCCTGATCAGTGCAAGCGCTGGAGTCGCACCACCTTCCGCCAAAACCCGATCGCTCTCTTTGTTGATCGGACTGTTTGGTGGAAGTGGCCTCTAACGGTTTGGACGACATACTTCCCGTGGATGTATAACGCGGCGCTCGTTTGGGACAGCCTCTCAGTATACGCCTTTACTCAGACCAACCTGTACGCCGAGTCCTCTCGTCGTGTCTTTATGCTTGGAGGCTTAGTCGCGTTCATCTGGATGACGAAGCTGGTGAAGACGATCCCGTGGTTCTGGGCGTACCCTGTGGATTTCTTCCTCTACTTTCTGCTCCCCGCGTACCCCCTCTTCACCTACTACCATTCCTTACTCAAGATCTGGACAGTATTCACGTTCTGGGACTTGGCTTGGTCTGGCCGTAAGTTGCCCGCGCGAAATCAGTAATCGACTGATGGGTTTGGCGTGATGGTGTAGTTCAGGGACATGCATGTCCTCTTCCTTTCTTTCCTTTTGTATTATCTCTCCGTCTTTTTTCATATTCACGGTAATAGATCGCTGGCGTGTGACGGTTCTGACCTTGTCACATATAACCATGTAGGTAGCACGTATTCGTGGTACGAATGAAATAGTACATTACAAACCTCATACTATCTATTTTGACCATACTGACAGAGAGTCCAACAGGTGAAATCACAGAGGCAGTCTATCAATCGTGGAGATGGTAACAGATGAGATGAATTAGTGATGAGCGTGGAAAAAGAATGAGAGAGGAGTGAAGGGAAGGCCGAGCCGGCATTTCAAGTACGCTAGCAGTCTTAGCGTGCGCTTAACTGATGATCTTTTCATCACAATTCACGATCTTCCTTTGATTCTAAACGAGCTTCGAATCACAACCAAATCCGCCCTATTACCATCGCTATCAGAGCTTTGCCGGACTCGTTTCCTCGGTTCCAGACGTAGTGGGGCGCCGCGAGACGCCGGGCACCCGCAAGATAACTTTCGCGCACAGCCAATCATGTCATGAAACTCCAAAATTGCTGTGACTGGGCAAGCCCCGAAAAGTCAACACTCCCCAATCGTTCTGGTTATTTGCGCTGTCACGGCGAGGTACAGAGCGTGGCAGCATGGCTTGGCTTCTTATTGCGACGCGCTTGTCCTATATAGAGATCTTAATTTACCTTTGTTTTGTGTGAGTGTATGCAGTCCGCGGGAACCATCCATCGGAAGAAACGATGGGAACTCTGAGCAGAGTATATGAGGTTTGGCTAAGCTCACTTTATTCACCAACGTCGCTGGTGCGCTTTTGTTGGTTCTATCTGTCACTCATTTTCTTTCGATTATTCATTCATTCATTCACACTATGATTTATTTTTCGACACTCTTTCTTATCGTTTCACTTAGTGCTACTTTGAGTTATGCGGCTCCTCTGGCTGGCCAGAAGAGGGGTATGTCTATTCATCCCTGCCATCGTAATAGATATGAGGCATTGACATGAGACAGGTATTGATGCGAGTCTTCTCAACACGTTTAATTTGATGGAACAGTATGCTTCCGCAGCATACTGCGCAAGCAATTTCGATTCGCCAGGCGACCAGATAGAATGCGGTTCAGAAAACTGTCCGTATGTACAGATTGCAGATTCTACAACAGTAATCGAGTACAATAGGTAAGCGCTCTATATCCACTACATTCCATGGGAATCTCGTATCCCAGTCACCAACGAGGCTAACGACCATCAGACAGGAAACCTCTACCGACGTCACAGGATTTGTCGCAGTGGACCACACAAACAAAATGATCGTCGTCTCTTTCCGCGGCAGCTCAGACGTCGACAACTGGATCACCAACTTCGACTTTGATGATACGGACACCGATCTCTGCTCTGGGTGTACGGCGCATCACGGTTTCTGGAACAGTTGGCTCGACGCGCGGGACCGCGTCCTAGCAGCTGTTAAAGATTCACGCACCACTTACACCGACTACGCAGTGGTGGTTACCGGACACTCAAGCGGCGGCGCTGTTGCTGCGCTAGCTGCTGCTCAACTACGTAACACAGGCTACACCGTCGCTCTGTATACGTTTGGATCGCCAAGGGTAGCGAGTAACACGCTGAGCGATTATATAACAAATCAGCCAGGTGGCAATTACAGAGTCACACACTGGTATGTAGTCGTTTGTATTAGATATATCTGAGCTATCACTAACGTCGCATCTTCACCTTCAGGAATGACCCAGTGCCCAAGCTACCGTTGATCATCCAGGGCTATGTTCACATTAGTCCCGAATACTACATTAATAAAGGGAATAAGAAGGATGTGAACGAAGGCGATATCAAAATCTACGAAGGATCAGTGAACCTGAAGGGGAACTCAGCTTGGCTCTTGGTAGATGTGGAAGCCCACAGATGGTACTTCAAGAGCGTATATGAGTGCGCTGCTAGCAAGACCAAGCGAGGCATCCTAGAGATAGGCGAGGGTGGAGGAAGTGTGGAGGTGTTTGCCATGTTTTGAATTATGTAATTAACTATACCCAGGACGTAACGTGTCCGAAGCTCGCATCGACGACTATAACAGTATCTAATATCAGTCAACTTCTGCAATATCCTCTTCCTTCGCCAATTCCTCACCCGTATGCTCTCTCCACAAATGTTCCACCAGCGCTTCGACGCCTCGGCATACCGTATCCGCTTCCTTGAACTGTGCGCACAGTACGCATGCAAAACCGCCCCATTCTCTATGGCATTTGATCACAAAGCGAGTGCCGACCATGAATTTCCGTAGCGCACCACGTCCGTGTTTATCGTGCTTCTTTCTGTCGTTCATAACAACCTCCCAGGCTTTTCCGGGTCGTATAGAAGCATGTGCGTGGCAGAATGGGCATTTGTTGTTGCCACCAGTCTTGTAGTTGTCCACCAGGGGAAGTTGTAGGTCGCCCTGAAGGTCTCTGGCATAAACGCAAAACAGTTTGTTCGCGTGCGGATGGGGCTTGGGCTTTGATCGTGGGATCAATGTCTGCGCAGAACCTGATGAGTCGGAGCTCCGGCTTCTAGCTTTCCTTTTCGGCTTCCTATTACCAGTATTTGTAGAGGGCTCGTGAGGTCGAGGAGCGTGCGTTGGTAACGGGAAAGCACCTGGCATAGGTCGGTGTACTTCTGGCTTTTCTGGCTGAACATGTACATGTATGCGCTGGTATTGCATCTTCAGTGCTTGGATCGCAGCTACACGTGCAGAGCGTGTTGTTTGAACGAGACGGGCCAGGTGCGTATGTGAGGGCAATATGTAAGTGCTCAGCATTAGGTCTGAGTAGATGCTGAGTAGAGTCTGTTCGAGTTGTATGATCTGTGATTGGAGTTGAACTTGCGTCATCACTGTCCACATCAGTGTCTGGACAAGTACTTGTATGAGCAATACGTACAGTCGCCTCGCGCGAACTTCTCTCCCAGTTCACGATATCCGCGATCGTACTCGGCTTGGATGTAAAACGACGACGTGGTAAGGTCCTTTTCATCGCTATCACCATAATGATCCTTTCTTGAGCCGACCTTCAAATTCGGGTGGTGATGGCGATCCCATGCATGGTCTAAGGCCGAATCGCGACGTCTTCGGGATTGAGTGCGATAGTGATCTTTCGTATCATCTTCTTCATCATGTCCCCTGCGTTTCAACTTTCGGTACAAATCGACAGCAGAGCCGAATGAGCTCGTCAAGGTGCGGACAAGTGAAACTACAAGTACAGCTTCCTGCAACGTGCCTTGGGTCTACATAAATCGGTCAGTGTTTAGTATCCCAGGTGGTGCAACATGTGTGCTTTGATGGATGATAAGCTGGCAACAGTCAAGAAGTAGACTTACCGTCTTTATCGCAGCGTGCGCGTCGACTTCCATCTTCTGGTATGACATCGAACTACTTTGAATCGAGCTCGACTGGTGGTTTTCAATCTTCTCAAGATGATCTAGAAAGCAAGGCAATGTATATCAGAATTACTCAGACGATACCATGCAGTGGATAAGTTCAGATCGTTTGTGGGTTAAGAAGCACGACATGTAGTGAACAGCCCAGATTTTATTCGGCGGCTTACAGAACAGATACGACACGAGCGAAAGCCAGATGATTTAACGACATAGACATATTTGACACCGAAGAGACTCACCGGTCAGGCAACCATTTCTAGGTCAATCACATTGTCACGACCGAACCTCGTATCTGTTCTTACGCTCAGCTGAAAACTGCGCCTGTCGTTCATCACGCACGATTGACCGGTTGGGGGGTCGCATGTCTGCGCCTCACCATGGTAGCGTCAGACTGACTTTTGGCGAGTGCGAATGTCTGCAGCTCCCAAGACCGAGAATGAAATTGGGAAATCGAACTTTGTTCGCCTTTTTTATGTATGATTTCGATACCGTGCGATGAAGTTCTATTAAGTGTAGAACCGTCACGGTCCTTGTCAACCGTCCGTCGATGAGCTCCTAATGTCTCACCGAGCGACACGTGCACATGTCGCATGCGCAGTCCTTGGGTTCATAAACTGTCTTTCCTGCCCTTCATGGCTTTGTAGGAGATGACCTTTCCTCAGTGCCCATGCACAACGGTGAAGACATACGATGCCAGCGCGAACCTGAGAGGACTCGAGACGCTTTTAAGATCGGAAGCGTTAAGCGATCATGAAGCGTTTCATTGAAGGATTCTTGATCTCAACAGTCGAGAGCGCGTCGAATGCTATTTCTATTGACGAGAGGTCTCAGGAAGATATTGTTTAAATTTGAGGAGGATGAAAAGGTGTTGCGATGCTTGATTGCAGAACTCAGTACAGGTTTAGCGTGCTTGGCGATTGGGGTGTTCCCGCGTGAGCTTCAGGCACTCACCACCTGGCCAGCTCCGTCATCAGTCATTGCGCTCTGCATCTGCAGCGACCTCGACGGTACTATTCGGGCATCTCCGCTCTCGCGCGCCGTCATGAAATACGCGCTCGCTACGTGTCAGTCCGGCCCGACTCGATCGGGACATGGTCGAGGCCCACTCAAGCGCTTCGAGTTTCAAGCCTCATAACCGATTCGTGTACACCGCTCGCCTTGTAAATATGTACCACAATAAGCGCTCTCGTGGTAGGTATTATTAGTGGCTTGATGTTGGATTCGCTATGGCTGCGCCGCATGCGCATTCTGCAAAAAGAGAAGCGTTCGCTCGCTGCGAACCATCAGCCGCATCTTTCGCATCAGTCCTGGTGACTGTACTACACCGCGTGATAGACGACATCAGCAGCAATCATGACTGCCCGCACCAGTTCACGATGGAACCCATTTCAACGCCACGTTCTTGGCTCGACAGCAGAAGAGTCGGATCAAATAGTCCAACCCGGATTGGGATCGAAGTCGAAAACATGGGCGACAACAGTAACTCGAGTACCGAGTTGGCCTGAAGAAGCAAGATCGTTGGGCAAACACACTTGGATTTCTTGGATTCTTGGTATGGGAGATGTGATATTGGTCTTGCTACCCATCTACTTTATCCGTATGTGTTTGTTGCTGCAACTCTTTGTTTCTACTTACCTGTTCTAGTCCTTGGAATAGCGGTCATCACGCTAAACGGCGAACCTGTTGATGGAAATGTGTTCGCTTCCAAAGTCACATCTGCCATTCAACTTGTCAGTAAATCGAGTATGTGGTTTTGTATGCTACGCTAACTATGACGAGGGTCCAACATTATTCCCAATTATGTTTGCCGCTATTAGTGGCCGTAGTATGAAGATGATTGCAAGATACTTGGCCGAGAAAGGAGCTAAACTCAGTGTCAGTCAATCACCCATGCTACGTATAAACCTAAAGTCTGACATAACCCAAGACTCTTGAGCTACTGGCAGCAAGCCAGTCTGTGTGGGGCACGGTCGAGAGTCAACTGCTGATGCGACGACTAACCTTAGTTGGAGCAAACCTACTGTTTCTTTGGGCTATGTCTCCAATAGGCGGTCAGGCATCGCTCCGTCTTCTGGAAAAGTCTACCAGTACAGCCCAGTACTACACTCCACTCCGATATCTCTCAACGGGTCCAGGCTCTGCGGTCTGGGCAATGACCAGCGGTACATACGTCGAAAGTGACGGAGGACTCACCCAAGTCGAAGCTCTGTATGCTTCAGCTTTGTTAGCTTCTTCTCAAGTTAAGGGTGGACCAGAAGACAACTGGGGCAGCGTCAAGATTCCATATCTGAATGCCTCAAATGCATCGAAAACAGACTCTGACGGGTGGATTACCGTTCCCTCTGATCTCCAGCGTCCCGAGGATTATTCTTCGTTGGTCGGTATCCCTGTTATGGGACGGCCTCTCGATCAAGACGGAACCTTCACCCTGGAAACATCTCAACTCGACGTAGAGTGCGAACCGTTTGTGAGGGTTCCTGCGAACAAATTCAATTATACTGAGTTGGAAAAACTTGTGCCCGGCCAGATTTGGAAGAACATGTCGGACGATAACAGCCCTTGGGGTGGCAACAGTAAGACCATCGGAGGGAAGACTGCAACTTTCTTCCTCCAAACTGATCTCCCACTGACTGATGGTGGGGACGATGGAGATGGTCGCTTCAACTCGTTTACTGGATTTGTCAACAAAACTATGAAAGGCCGGGCCTTCCCGAAACGCAAAATCACCTATGCTTCAAGCTACGGGTTTGGCTTTCAGGGCAATACCACTCTCGGTATCGCAAACTGTTCCCTGGGACAAGTGCACACCGAAACTGTTGTAAAATGTACAATGGACCAATGCTCTGCAGTACAGATTCGACCTTCTCGATCAGATTTTCGTGATGGACAAGTCACGGCCTTTGATCATATCCTGATAGCACAGTTGGCACTTACGGCTTTCCCCAAGACTTTTGGCTGGTCTAGAGGTTCCAACCCAACCGAGCAATTCCTCTTTAATACCTCTTCTTTCCGGCTCGTCTCTCCTACGGCAAACTACGGCGACAATGCTGGTTGGGTAGACCTCTCTTCCTTGGCCCCGGATGTTTTCGCTAGACGATTGGCTCTGTTGCTGAATACATACTATCAGCTCACTATTGCACCAAATGCGTACCTGGGGAACCTACCACAAGCCAACTTCTCGGCCTTTGGTCCAGACACCTTGCCAGTAAAAGACGTCGACGCATATCTACCTTCGAATATATCTGTTAAGAACACCACTTTCCCCAACTGGTACACTCCCTTTCAAGACAAGACATACAACGAAGACCTTTATTTTATTGGAGCAACAACGAACGCAACCATAAGCAAAACACATGACATCTTTGTTTGTAATTTTGCCTGGCTGGGTATGTTATTTATTGCAGCAAGTATAGTCTTTATCACTGGAGTGGCATGCTTGTGTCTCAAGCGACAGACACTTGGTCCCGATATGTTCGGCTTTGTGACGAGTATGACATACGAGAACCAATATGTGAAACTGCCTATTGGGGGTAGCATGTTGGATGCCATGGAAAGAGCAAGATTACTCAAAGATGTGGAAGTCTATGTTGGAGACGTATGTGGCGAAGAAGAAGTTGGTCATATTGCGTTTGCAACAGGAGTACCCCCGCGAAAACTCGATCGAGAACGTCTCTATTGCTGAAAGATGCAACTACCCGATGCTACATGAGCGAGGTTTACTCTGTCGGACCCTTCATGATCGCCGTCCCGTGTCATGTTGTGGCGCAGTGTCGGACAAAGCATTGCCGCGGACTCGATGTTCCAAGGTGGCAACAGGACACAGCGATCCGCGGTCGTGGTGTCCTGGTGGGACTTGGAGCGTCTCAAAAAATAATTTGGACCAACAATGGCAGCCGCGATTCAAGAATTAGCCCCAAGCGAATTTACGACCTAAATATGACACTCTACTACAGCCAGTCGTGTTTGCCCGAGAGAGATACAGACCTTGCATAGGTTCAAGAAAGACCAAGCTTTGAAAGCAACCGCTGTGGAGCAAGACGTGGCTGCAAAGACACGCACCGGTGCACGAAAGAACACAAGCAGCCCACCAATCGACCACGAATGACAGGGGTCATCGAATCGGACATGCGACGCGTCCCGAAACAAGGAGTCCGGACTTTCTCCCGGCCCGCTAAGCGACTTCACCCCGGACCAATGACCGACCGTATGCACCATCCAAACGAAACCTCTACTTAGGACGACAATTAGCACATGGTACCCTCGAGTGTATGCTGGCCATGGCCTTCCCGCTGAGGCGTCCACGCACAATGTACCTGCGTCCACCTTGCAACTGCGTTGAGCTTTCTTTGGCTCACAGCCTCAGTCAACCCGGACTGCCGGTTTCACGATGTAGACGCTCGCCGCTGTGGGGCAATACACGTCTCTCATGCCCATTGTTTTGCGTACGGGCTGTCACCTTCCAGGCCGACCGTTTGATTAGGGGAACGTCAACGGGAACCCTGACAGAAGCAAGCGTGGCGGTGGGCATGTTGCCTCGCACAACATATAAAATGGAATGCCACATTGTCCTACCAAGTCTTCATCCTACAACACATTCTCTCGGCAGCTTCTACATTCTTTGTATTCGCATCATTCTCTTCAAAACTAGCTGGTCTAGTCCTTTCTGATTCATACCACATTCATTTACGCATCTATCGTTTTACGATTCCAACAGCACTATCACTATCACCATCTTCATCATGTCTTTCCGATCAATCATTGTGGCAGTGGCCGCTATTTTTGCTTTCACGAACGCACACATTATCATGGATTCACCTGTGCCTTACAGTGTCGACAAGATCGATAACAGTCCTATCACCGCCTCGCAGTTCCCCTGCAAGTCGCAAAATGGATTTACCGTCTCTACAATGAACAACATGGCAGTTGGAGAGCAACAAACCATTAAGTTCAAGGGTACCGCCGTGCACGGTGGTGGTTCTTGCCAACTCTCAGTTACTATGGACACAGAGCCCACCGAGAACTCCGTATTCAAGGTTATCAAGTCAATTGAGGGCGGATGCCCTGGTGTTGATGGCTCAACCAATGAGTACAACTTCGAGCTTCCGGACAGTATTCCAAACGGTAAAGCCACCTTTGCCTGGACATGGTTCTCCAAGATGTCAGGAGCTCCTGAACTGTACATGTATGTATCTCACACATGATCGTTTGACCAAAAGCCTAACATTGTACAGGAACTGTGCCCCTATCGAAGTTACGGGTGGTGCAAGCGACAAGACCGCTTTCAGTGCGCTCCCAGATATGCTTGTTGCCAACATCGGTGAGGGCTGCACGACTGCTCAAAACTTTGCTACTGCGTTCCCCGACCCGGGACAGGTTGTGGAGAAGGGCGCCACCAACGATCAGGAGGCTCCCACCGGCAGCTGCGGTTCTTCATCTGGAACCACTCCAGCGGTCTCGTCTGCAGCATCCGGCGAAGCTTCTGCTGCACCTACATCCGCCGCACCTACATCTGCGGCAGGCCAATACACCCCAGCTGCCTCTACCGCAGCCGGCGAAGCTTCTGCCGCGCCCACATCTGCAGCAGGCCAATACTCGGCCGCCGTCCCCTCCGCATCCAACGGTGCCTTCGCCCCCGGAGCATCCAGCGCAGCACCCGCCGTATCAAGCGCAGCACCCGTCGCCACAAGCGGCACGCCCCTCCCCTCGACAAAGACAACCCTCCTCACCGTCACCGCCAGCCCCTCGGCCGCACAACCCGTCGCCAGCGGCACCGCCACGCCCGCGCAGCCCACAACCCCCGCCTCCAGCGGCAGCAGCAGCAGCAGCAGCGGCAGCACGACCTGCACCGAAAACGGCGCCATCATGTGCAACGGCACCACCCAATTCGGGCTCTGCAACAACGGCCAGATCGTATGGCAGGCCGTCGCAGCGGGCACTACCTGCTCCAACGGCGTCGTTGCGCGCCGCGCTTACAATGGGCGTGTTACTCGCCCGAGGGTTGTGGGGTCCAGGGTTGTGGTTCCGGGGAGGTGGTAGATGGGAGTACGACGATGAAGATGGAGAAGATGATGATACTGATGATTTACGACGGTGGATGGTTTCTTCTCACTCATACGTTCTTTTTTGTGAGGGATCTGTGATCTACTCTCCACGCTCCTTTTTTGGGGCACTCGGCTTGGTTCCGTGGTTGGGCTTGGTTGTGCTGCTGTGCAGTTTCATTTTTTTATATAGAGGGTTTTTGTCGCATTTTTGGGGCGTTTGCATTGGGTGGGAGGGCTTTGTGGATGCCATGGGTTGTGCTTCACTGGCTGGCTGCTTTTGGGTGTATAAATGGATATGAATACATATATGACTTCATCTTCATCTCCAACATGACTATTGCGTCCAGCACTCCGGTCTTTGAATAAACTAAGTAACTAACAGGCGAGGCACTAGATACACCCCTTCTCCTCGCTGCCCTTCCTTGCTTCCATCCATCCATCTCTATCTGTCCATCTATGCATCCCCTTTTCGCTTATGAATGACATACCCCTCTATTCTCCTCGTCCCCCTATTCCACTCCCTCTCGTGTCCCTGATCCCGATCCCATGATCCCTTGTCCCTGACGTCGAAACGCCAAACGTCCCACATCCCACACTACATGCCACACTCCCTGCGCTCCGCCACACTTGTACCAGCATGATCCCGTCCCGTCTTATGTTGCATTTCATGCATACACGTATAGCATACCTTGTATGTAAGTTGCAGGGATACATTGGAGCAGGTTGCTCAGCCACTGTGGAGTCGGTACAGGGGATAAGTGGCGAAGTAATCACGTTTAGAACACATGGTGAAGTTATAGAAAGAAGAGTGGAGTGTTCACACGTGCCACCACCATCTCTCGTATGTGAAGAACTACCCCTCCCCCCTCTAAAAAGCCCCACCACTCCTCCGCGGCCGTCCAGCCTTCTTCTTCTCCCCCCCTCCCCCCATCACACCCCCTTCCCCCACCGTCCCTAGCACCCCCCCTACCCCCCCATCCCCCTCTACCTCCCTCACGCCCTCCTCCCTAGGCAGCCTAAACGCCAAATACGTCTCCCCCGCCCTCCGACACCTCTGAAAGACCTCCTCCATATACCGCTCCACGACATCATGCGGCCTGACCGCTCTCGCGAGGGCATTTTTAATATCAAAGCTGTCTGTTAGAAGGAGCACGGTGACGGGCTGGTAGAGGGAGATGTGGGGGATGAGAGTTTGGTCGTCGAAGGATTCTATGCGGGGGGGTGGTGTGAAGGGTGGTTGTTGTTGGGGGGGCAGGGAGGGGGTAGTGGGTGGATTTAACGGGGCGGTGGGTGTGGGAGTAATTGGCGTAGGTGTTGGTGTTGGTATTGCCGTTGGTGGCGCAATATCGTCCTTCATCTTCGTAATCAAAAACGAGAGTTTTGCGCCCGACCCGTTGGGTAGCCATTCTAAGATGCTGTACGAGGGGAGGTAGAACATGTCTTGGTTGCCTTCGGTGAAGGAGAATACTAAGGGTCGGTAGGTGGTGCGCGGGGGTGGGGGGGTGTTGTATTGGGGGGTGGGGTGGTGGTATTGTGGCGGTGGTTGGGTGTAGGGTGTGGGGTTATAGGGGTGTTGTTGGAGGGGTGGGGCGTATGGCTTCTGTGGTTGTTGTGGTTGATGCTGTTGCTGTTGCTGCGGGTGCTGAGCAGGTTGGACAGGCCTAGGCGGCGCAGCAACGACGTGTGTCGGCGCGGGTTTTGCCTGCACGGGTGTCGCGACTGGCTTTTGCTGTGGCGGCGCGGCGCTCACTTTCGCAGGCGGCGCTTCGACTTTCGATTTTGCAGCGCCCTTTTGCCCCGCCACTATATCCGTCAGCTCCTGGATGTGGATCTGGAAGAACTCCAGCTGTTCTTTCGTCGCCTGGCCTGCTGCGACTATCTTCATCACGGCTTTGAGCTCGGGGTCTGTCCCTGCCCGCGCGGCTAGCATGTGGATGACGGGGTCGGGCGCGGGCGTCGACGTCGCTGGGGTCGGAGTCTGCGGGACAGCAACGGGCTTCGGCGGGGGCGGTCTCGGCTGCGGCTGCGGCTTCTGGTAGGCGGGCTGTCCATACTGGTGCGGATGCGGGTGAGACTGCTGATGTGGATGCGGCTGCGTATACTGCGTATTCTGGCTATGATTCGGCCAAGCGCCATAACTCGGCGTCTTCTTGGGCAGTGTCCTCGGCACCTCGCGCGGCCCATACAGCCTGATATTAAACGTATGCGGCTCAATCACCAGCTGCGCCTCGGGTCCAACCTGGGGAAAGTTCTTCTGCAGCTCCTTCTGGCGCTGCTGCCTCGCCTTATCCTCATCCGTGCGCTCGGGGACCTTTTTGGGCTGAGTGAAGAACTCGTGGAAGGTGCGGAAATTGACGCCTGACACCCACACGGCGCGCGACTGCTGCAGCGACGCGCTGAGCACCCCGCTCTGCTGGATGTCCTGCCACTCTGCGGCGGGCAGTTCGAGGGGTTGTGGCGAGGGGAGTGTGGGTAGCGGCTGGCCGTCGGTGATGCGGAGGGGCAGCGTGTGCTGGGGGGCGTGGGGCGTGGCTTCTGCTGTTGGCGTTGCGGGTGTTGCGACGGCGCTCGAGCGTTTGCGCTTCAGCGTTGATTTTGCGCTTTTGGCTGGTCGGTCTTTGGGCGTGGGTGTCTCGGGGATTGGGGCGGCTTCCTCGCGGGCGCGCGCTCGCGTCGATCGGCGCGGCTCAGACATGGTCGTTTCTTGTCGGGTCGTCGTGGTGTTTGGACAAGTGCGTCATGTCGAAGACGATTCACGTTGGAGATTCCACGCGAGGCACTAGCTGACTCGGGGGAGGCGCGTGAGATCGCAGTACTGACTCGAGACACGACAGCCAGATAACACCACCAAAATACTACTCAACATGATATACCAAATACAGCGATAATACAACACATCCCCATCACATACACACCATCACACACTCTCAAACGCCCGCCTAACCGCAAGACTAACCTGCGACCACCCCACCACAGCATTATGCCCCCCATACCTCAGCACCTCCAACTCCACCACCCTGTCCCCGCCCGCACTCTCCGCCTTATTATACGCAAAAGCGCCCCTCCTCACGCGCTCACCCCCATGAATACTCCTCCGCTCCTCCGTCGTGCTCGCCCCCTCACCCGCCAGCATCCCACTCTGCAGCGGCGCATACAGCGCCTCGGACTCGCGGAAATCAATATCCTGGTCGTTGCGCGCGTGCAGGATCGTCAGTCTGATCCTGTGCACGGGAGAAGCGAGTAGGGCTTTCAGGCGCGCGAGCGTGGGCCACTCGTCGACGATCTTGGTTGCGAGGTAGTTTGCGATGCGGGGGTAGCCGCGTAGGGGGCGTAGGACGGGGAAGATGCCGAAGACTTTGTAGGTTTGCAGGAGCGATTTTAGGTCTGTGAAGGGTGCGACGAGGACGAGGCCGGCGAATCCTTGGCTGGATTGAGGGGTGGATTTTGCGGCTTGGAGGCTTGGAGGGAGGCTGGAGGATGTTGCGTCGGCGGCCCAGAGCGCGCTCGCGGCTGTTACGGCTGTGCCGAGGCTTTGGCCGAGTAGGACGGTGCGGGACTGCGGGTGCTGGAGGGTGGTTTCGATGTAGGTGAGGAGGGAGATGGCGTCGGTTATTATTCCTGTTTCGGTGGGGATGTGAGGGGCGTTTTTGAGGGTAGATAGTCCAAACCCCCGGTAGTCGCAGGTGATCAGATGAGTGTGAGGGATGCCTGAGATGGAGCGGTAAGTCGAGGGGCGGTGTCCCTGAGCGATATGGCCCGCGTTCTAGAAGAAGTCAGTCATCCATAACTCGAAGTAGAAATGAGAAAACCCGCCAAACTGTCAGAAACTTTGAAAAACGAACGCAAACACGAAAACACGGCCAAAATAACGCAGAAGAAAACGACCATCTGGAAGAAAAACCTACCCCATGAAAATTAACCACAACCCTCCCCCCCTCATCCTTACCCAACAACCTCGCCCCAACCGTCCCCTTCAGCTCCTCAGCAACCTCCCCCGTCGTCCCACCCGTCACAAGCTCACTCTCATGTTGTAGATAAACATCCAGCGGCAGAACATGCCAGCAGAACAATTTCTCTCCATCCGACGTATCAAGCCAGAAAGGTTGGACCTGGCCCTCTGCACAACACATGAAATAATTAGTCTTCTATCCCATAAAATACCCCCATCAGAATATTGACAGGATATGGGAAATAAGAAAAGGTACTGACTAGCAAACCCAAACTCCTCAGGATTCGACACGTTGCCGAAAAAATCTGATTTGATCTTATGCGCGTATAATGCGCTGCAGTCACACCGTCAGCATTGAACTTCATTTACCCATTTGTCCATCCATCTCTTCCATGAAACACAACAAACTACTCCAAATGATGGAAAAACTCACTGCCGTTGCACCCTCGAATTCGTAAGGCAGATCAGCACCGATGCCCATAGGATGCCTACGCCTGCGAGCGTCCAGTACGCTTTTTTGAAGATGGGGAGGAGGGCCGACATCTTGGTCGGTTTTGAAGAGGGGGATCTGCGCGCTAAAGGGGGATTTATGGTTGTGTCTGCATCTGCATTGATGGACTGGCTGGGGTTGGTGTTGATGTGGGTTTTGATGTTGATGGCTAAGGACACAGAGAGATAACGTGAGAGCGCTAGGGCCGATGGGGGTGTGGGACCGGCCGAGGCTTGGGGTTTAGCGTGTTCCTTGTCCCTTGGCTTTTTTTTTAGGTGAGATGGGAAGATTGGAATTAGAAATGTGAGTGTGCGGTTGTGGATTTGCAAGTTTTCTATGTAGGGTACTTTGCGATGAGAGATGGATTGGTGTTGGTGTTGGTGTGGGGAAGTTGCGACTGCATCATGGCTTCTATCCACCTCGTACTTCCATCTATCGCTATCGCATGTTGGGCGCGACTTGATCACCGCCATCTTGTACACTCTGCCTGTCGTGTCACTTGTCGAGGGTATAAGCATTGTAGGATCCTAGGACGTGCGGGCTACACACATATAGGTAGACTATGTCTGCAATCCCACTCAGCAAAGTGTTTCGTTCGATCTATCCCTCAGTTCAGTTCAGTTCAGTTCGTCCCAAACTCCCCTATCTCCCAATGCTCCGGTTATCTTCAACACACTCTTCTCTCGCTTTATATGGTATGCTTATATCTTGTACGTGTCATTACATTTGTGTCACTATTGACAATTCATTTTCAATATTTTGCTTCTCAGACACAACCTCCACAACACCCTTCATGCTAATTTCCCGCTCTGTATGTGAGCGTCAGATGTTGTAATACTCTTGAGAGGTAGGCGTTATTGACGTGATCAATCGACTATCGAACATGTCGATTCACCACAGTCACGAGTAGCAAGGTCGAGAAAGTCGACGACGGTACTTCCGAGGTCTTTCCCCACTGAAGAGAATCCAACGGCGATGATATCGACTAGGCTATGGACAGGTTCCACGTTCGTCGCCACAAACCAAATCATCACACCACTACAGAGGCACAAGAGTCAGACCCCACAAAAGCGATGCGATACAGGTCAGTCACTATGGTCATGTCCGGAATCGTAAGATGCGTTTCCAGGTCACTGCCTAAAGTGAATAACAAAGGTATGATTCATCTACAACACGACATGACTCATCAAAGTTGAGTATACTTATCTTTACCAAGGCCAGTGAGCATCATACGTGGTTTTCAGAACAACGCTGAACCATCGACATCGCCATGTAATGACATTACAGACACTCGGGCCAGCTTAGTCTCTGGTACTATTGACCCTGACGCCAGTCCTATTGTCTAGTCACAGCAAAATAACCTGCTCAAGTGTCACTTTCACCGTGAACCGAACATTCCCCCCAGCCCCCTCTTTTCAGATCTTTGCACCTCAGCCTCTCCTCACTTCTCTATTGCACTTTTCTTCAGACGCTTCAACTGTACTTCTCCCTGGGCGCAGCTTTGCGCGAGTCACCATCAATCCCCAGTAAATCGACGCAGTTCACCATCATCCGGAATGCCCGGTCTTCCCGGTCGTCTGCCCCCCTTCTCCACAGCCGTCACACAAACGGCTGTGGAGACATCCACCGACGACGCGTACCCCGACGACTACATTAAGACCGTGATCCTCGAACTGAGCAGCTACCTCCTCACTCTCGTAGAACACAGTCTCATCTCCGGCAAGCCCGCCAACGATCCCTACAGCCCAAGCCTCCGCACCATATACGACCGTCTCCATGGTGGATATCCCGCACTAAGCCCGCTCAGAGAGCACACCAACGACCCCGAGCGCATAAAATCAGCTCTAGCACAGCAGCACCAGCGCACACCCAGCCCGCCGATGCTCCGCCCGCTCGAAGACTTCGAAGACCTGTACTACGCCGTCCTAGCACGCCTGCTCGACATCCACCAGAGCCTCAACGCCCGTCTCGGCAGCGGCTTCAACGTCGCGCCCGACCCCGTCTTTCCCGACCAGGACGTTCTCACCATTGCCGATCTGTTCGCCAGCCTCGCCCAGTACTGGGACGTGCTGAACAGCGCCGGATGTGCAAAGGCACTCGACAGTGCAATCCGACGGTCGCGGGTCGCGCATCTACATAAGGAGATCGTGCTGCAGCTGCACAACAACGACATCACGCCGGCGGATGCGGACGAGCTGCTGGCTGATCTGTACGACCCGGGCGAATACGCTGGAGTGCAAGGACTGGCGTGGATTGGCGGATGGGCGCCGAGCATGATCAGTGCGTGGCTGGAGGAGAAGTACCGGCTTGTGTTGGGGCTGGAGAGAGAAGAGGGGATGCGGAAGGCGATGGCGGAGCGGAGGAGGGCTCGCATGGGCAAGAAAGCTAGAAGCAAGGCAGACCTACAGTCAAATATGCGGAAACGCAGTATGCGATTCGACGCTGGTCGGTCTGACGGCAAACAGCAGATGATAGAGAAGCAGACCCAGATACAGCGAGGAGATAGGAACTCAGCTCAAGCCCGCCTTCCTGACGACCAGTCACAGCATGCGCTCGAGTGGCGGATGAGATCACAGCGCGTCTCCGAGTACAGTCAGTATCTGCGGGGCATGGCGAGTCGGGATGCGCGGCATCAGGTCCAGAGCACTATCTACGGTGGCGACATGCATACCAACGGCGCGCTTCGTGGTGGTGAGCTTCATCTAGCTGGTCGGGAGGATGCGCGTATGGAGGATGCGGAGTTCTGAAGGATGGTTACAGTGAATCTGTCGAGCGGGGAGCCTTTTCTGGGCGGACATATTACGTTGGTTGGTTGCTGCAGTATCGGTGGTTTGGATTTATGCTCGAGTCTGGGATGATTATATGGACCCCTTGCGTTCGTCGTCTGCTTGGGTTGCGGTACGTTGTCGATCGTGTAGCTATGCGAGACTCATGTACATTGCTCCATACCAACAATGTATACCTTACTATAACTCGGTCTTTGTTTATGAACTTGGTATCAACCCCAATAACCCCATCATGAGCCCTCGTGGGCGATATAGGTTCTCAGATACGAACAGATACACACTGAAGGATGAGTAATGTTGTGTAACTGGGGACTTCACGTGAATCACTTTTTACACTGAACATTGAGAATGGTCATCCTCGACAAGGCAGAGGCTCTCATCGAAGTTGCAATGCCTGGAGACAAGTCTTCTCGGTAGACGTTCAACACTGTCTGATGTTGAGCGTAGCAGTGACTACTCATGTCTAGTAAACTGCTCCAGCTGAACATACATGTCCCCACAGGTTCTATAGCAACCTCCTTTTCGTATACATATCACACTATGTTATCGTATTCCTGATTATCCTTCCTTCCTCCAAATGCTTCAATTCACCTACAAGAACGATTCTAGACTGATATCAAGCATCGACCACGCCGCGAGACATACGTATATATTGCTACAAGTGAGTAGAGAAAGACGCTCGCATCACCATCATCAAATTCCGATATTAGCATCGTACAACTACGGCAACCGAGCGTCAACACCTCGATGATGATTTTGAAAAACGACAGTGCTGTGTAATCTATCAACGGATTTATGTACGCCGCTAAGACGGACAGTCGTGAACCTCACGTAGCAGTGACTATTCATAGTGACCAAGTCGTATGTCGTCGCGTTTACAATCATGACTGAGACGAGCGTCTATATCATTCTGGGAAGGAGATGCAATGGAACCACCTCTGCGGCGATGGGTGGAGGAACCTAGATAGATGTCCTCGTGAATATGAGACTAGTTGCCCATATCACCGTTCCACCAAGAATTTACTGCGTTACTGTCAGCTAGAAAGATCACCATGTCGCTGGCCTATTCGCCTGCCGGAGGGAGTCTTGCTCGATAGCATCCCAAAAACAATACCAAAGATCAACATGCACATCCACACATCACTCAGTCTCTGCGGAGCCAACCATAATTCTGGATGCGCAAGTGGGGAATAGAAGATAAGTATTAGGAAACCACACTGCGATATCTGCGATATCTGCGAATGTAAAGTCTGTAGATCGCACATATACAGTTGCACCGAGCCTGTTCCAACTCCTCACAATCGTCGATGTAACCGCCATTCCGCATTGCAGATACTCGCGCGAATACACACAAAGCCACCCACTCAAGCACTGTAACAAGCATACTCGAGACCAAGGATTATCCGCATCAATTCCATACAGCAGAGCACCTGTCCATCCATCCATGCACCTTAATCCCACCAAACCCCATCCCGACCAACAATCCTCTCTGGCTAAAAGACAGTCCACGCAGTCCAAGGATAAGTAAGTAAGCAAAAAGTAAAGTAAGGTTTTCCAACCCAAGACAAGCGCCGCCTCGCCCATACCATTCCTCCGCGGACGACAAACAACACCGAGTCATCACCCCTGGGATATCGGTAGACTTTATATCAGTCTCGAGTCAGGCGAGTAAGCAAGACTGGGGTGGGGCATATAGCTGCGATGCTCATGTATGTCAGACGGGGGATCTTCATGCTCAGTCTTCACAATCAAGTATCCTTGAACGTCGGTCGATCTTCACCCAGACTACCAACCATGTACGACGACGACGAGATCCTGCAAAACCCCCACTAACCGCATAGCAATATCAATGCATCACCCGCCACTGCGGCGCGGGTGTTCACAACGCCCACATCCACACCTACATACACGATGTTATCGCCATGTGCAAGTGCAATTCAGGCCACTCCAACATCTCAGCGCTCTACTACTACAGCAAGGACACAACAGAGGGAGCACATCCCGACACATCCCGACATACCGGCCCAGCAACCAGCAAACAAAGTTCAGGGCGTAATCTCAGCACATGGACCTCATTTATAATCCCCGAGCTGCACGCTCGCAGCGTAGATGATCGCCTTGCTTACCGCGTCGCGCCTGGGATAAGGGCGTGAAGCGGGTAGGGATGCTGCATATAATATCATATCATGGCATGGCAGTTCGTGAGCGTTTGCCAAAGAATGGGAAGGCAAGAGCGCCCCGCATATCAAGAGGAAGGGGAGGAGGATAAAAGCTTCCAATTGCTGATTCTCTCATTACCTCTACTACTAACACTACTACAGATACAGGAACTGGAGACACGCACTCTCCCCCTCTCCCATTCCCATTCCCATCCCATTCTCTTCCTCTTCCCCATCCCTCGCTACACACCACCACACCACAATGGACAACCCATCCCCCTACGCACCAAACCCCACCCCCTTCGCCGGAAAGCTCATCACCGTCACAGGCGCAAGTCGCGGCCTGGGCCTCGCACTCTGCAAATACCTCCTCGCGCGCGGCGCCACCGTCTCCGGCTGCGCAACCTCCGCCTCCAACCTCTCCACCGCCGCCGCGGAGATAGAACGCGATCTCCCCGATGCACGAGACCGATTCTGGAGTACCGTGGTCGACATGCGGGACCTAGACGCAGTGCGATCCTGGATCGAGCAGACAGTCGCCAAATTCGGGAAACTGGATGGGTGTGCGAATGTAGCCGGTACATACCTCCCCTCCCATCTTATCTTACATACACATCCGTGACTGACGGAAAACACAGCGGTAGAGCAGCGCGAAATCTTCCCCATCACAGATCTCGACCCAGCGTATTTCGCAGACCTCCTTCACGTCAACGTAGTCGGCACATTCCACTGCCTGAAAGAAGAGCTCAAGCACATCAAGCCCGGCGGCTCAATCGTAAACGTCGGCAGCGTGGCAAGCCAGTACGCAAGTCAAGGCGCGTCGGCGTATGTAGCTGCAAAACATGCGCTGATCGGGTTGACGAAGGTGGCTGCTTTTGAAGCGGCGCCGCGGGGGGTGAGGGTTAATGTTCTGTGCCCGTACGTCTATCCCCCCTTTCCCCCTTCACGCCGTCCGTGCTGATGACGCCGATAGTGGATGTTTCGACACGCAGATGATGCAGAAACCGTTCAATTCCCCATCGGGAGAGTTTTATCTAACAAAGGATAATATCCCCTGTCTACTCAGACGCGAACTTCCGCAGGCGTATGAGATTGCGGCGTCGGTTGCGTTTTTGCTGGGCGGGGAGAGCGCGCATGTTACCAAGGCGGCGTGGTTTGTTGATGGGGGGTGGCTTGAGGGTAGCTATAGCTCGGTGTGAGGGGATTATCTGGGTGAGTGTTTGGTCGGGTCCGAGTGGTTGGATGGGGATGGGTGAATGCCAACGTACTCTAGGTATGTGTCTGCTGATGGTGCGGAAAGGTTAGCATGGGAGAGAAGAACAGTCACATAGTGAGCGCTTATCATAAGTCCTTGGCAGTAGACTGCATTCGCAACATGGCTCATCTATGAGTTGCATTCATTTATCTCCCTCAAAACGCCGCCGGTGATGCTGGATAATGTACAACGGATACCCACACTTCTCTGGCTCAACACAGGTTCGCTTCGAATGTTGGCGCCGCAGACATACATACACGTACAGAGCACGTCCCCTGCAACCCCCTTGCATACACACTCCTTGCATATCCTGCCGCCGAGTGCATTTGGCAGCTCAACACACACACATAGACATACACAGATATCACTTCCATCACAGCGCCTAACTAGGTAGGTACAAACTCAAGCGCTCCACACACACGCCCAAGCTCGTTATCTGAGCCCAAGCGCATCTTCTCCTTTCCCACTGTTTGTCCTCAAACCCCCCTACCTCCTTTGATAGCGTAGCGAACGGGCTGAGCGTTAGTTTGACTACTGCATATAATCATCGCACGTTATGCACATCCAAAAAAATCCATAACCAGCTAAAAAAACACTTCTCAAAACCGCAAAAAGGGGTATAGTATAATAAACACAAAGACCGCCCTCTCCCCTCTCCCCATCTCCCCCCCTACCTTCCTCCTTCCCCCCACAAACCCTCACCAACCTAACGAAACCCCCCCGCCCCCCTCGCCGCCCCCCACTGATCCTGCTGCTGCTGCTGCTGCTGCTGCTGAGCCTGCCCACCCCCAAACCCATAATACGCAGCGGGCTGCCAATTGAATTCCTCCCTGGCAAACGCATCGACAGCCGGCGCGGGCGCTGGATTCGGCGCGTGGACCTGCTGGTTTGGTTGGGGTTGGCGGGGCGGGATGGCGGTGTTTTGGGTGGTTTGGGGGGTTTGGGTGAGGGAGAGGGAGCGGGTTAGTGCTGCTGCGTAGGGGGAGTGGTTTGGGTGGGTTGTTTCGAAGTAGTGGTGCGCTTGGTGGAGGTGTTGCTGTTGTTGTTGTTGTTGCTGTTGTTGTTGCTGCTGTTGTTGCTGTTGTTGTTGTTGTTGTTGTTGTTGGGGGCGTGGTGTGGGTTGGGGTTTTTGTTGTTGTTGTTGTTGTTGCTGTTGTTGGGCTGCGGATTGGAGTTGTTGTTGTAGTTGTAATTGTGGGGTTTGGAGCTGCTGTTGTGGGGGGTGGGGTTGTTGTTGCTGCTGCTGCTGCTGCTGTGATGGCTGATTATCCAGTTTATACACCGTCTGCTGGGGGCTATTGTGCGCACGCTGGCCCTGGTGAAGTTGCTGGCGGTGTGACTGAGTCGAAGCTTGTTGGCGATGCTGCTGCTGCGAGTGATGTTGGGTCTGTGAAAGCGAGTTTTGAGCCCGGTGTTGTGTCTGGCCTTGAGTTGAGGGCTGGGGCTGAGGCTGGGGTTGAGACTGCGGCCGCGGTGCTATCCGTGGCGTCTGGACAGGCGTGGTGGATGTCTGCTTCTCCCTCTCAAGTTCCTGGATCCGGGCTTTAGCTTCTTCGAGCTCTTTCTTCATCTGCTCCAGCTCGGTGAGCTCGATGGTCGTAGCCTGGGCCTGGCGCAGCGTGTCGTTGGCGTCAGATGATGGTCGTCGGTCGTCTCCGTACGAGGACTCCGAGTAGATGCATTGCCGTCTCCTGTCGACGCAGGTCTGACATGTGGGCTTCGCGCCGTCGCACTGGGCCACCAGTTAGTGTCAATGCCCGACATTTTATATCAAAGCAGCCTACCTTTGTCTTTTTGACCTTGCAGATATCGCAGCTGTTCCTTGGTCTCCTTCGCTGCGGCGCTGCCTGGACCTGGGTAAGCTGGATAGGCGACTCGACTAGGAGAGGAGGTTGCTGCGCAGGCAGAGGCGGGGGCGGCTCAGAAGGAGACGCTTCTGGCGACACGGGCGGGTCGACCTGGATCAGCTCGAGCAGAGATCGAAGGCTCTGTGCCCTCAGGTCGCTCTCGAGGGACGTGTTGGACGGCCTCGCAACGTCTGGCCTGATCTTTTTCTTCTTGGGCTTGGGCGAGGTGCTGGCGTCTGGACTGTCTTCGCTGGGCGGCTTCGGGCGAGCCACAGCCCTAAGCAAGGCATCAGGGTCCGTCTCCTCGAGGAACTTGCGGCGTCTCGAGTCCTTGCGCGGGGGCGGGGCGCGCTCCTCGTACGTCTTGTGGACGGGCACGTGCTTGTAGAAGACGTCGAGCGTCTGCTTGGTGGCGGAGAACTTGACCGAGAGGACGCCCTTGCAGTCGTAGACGGGTTTTGTGGCGCGCTTGCCCAGCTTGGCGCCCTTGCCGTTGGCGGCGCGGTCCTTGTTGAGCAGCGAGTCGTTGCAGTAGTAGGAGAAGCGGAAGCTGTCGTCCTCGCGGCTGTTCCAGCAGTTGTGGAAGCTGTAGCGGTAGCCGTCGATGCGCTGGATGGCGTCGACGCAGCACTTGGCAATGGCGCGCTGCTTGCGCATCTTGTCCTTGGGGTCGGCCGTGGGCTGCAGCGCCGCCGTGATGCTCAGGCTGACGTGGTGGCCGGGCTTCTTCGTCGTGGTTGTGCTGGTGGCAGTGGCGTCTTTGGGGGCGGCGGTGGGCAGGGTCAGCGTCACGGCGGGGTCTGACACGGACTGGTAGGCGTTGGCCGGCTGGTAGCCCGGGGGTGCGTGGGCGTGGACATGGCCATGCTGCGACGGGGCACGACCGTGTTGCGACAGCGCACGGCCATGACCAAGCTGCGACGACGGTGCCTGCGACTGCTGCTGCTGCTGCTGCGGTGGTGGTGGTGGTTGTGTCTGCGCCGTACCCGTCATAGCCATAGCGGGGGCGGGCACCAAGAAGACCGCGCCGATCCAAAACGACAGCTGCGCCTCGGTGTGCTCGGGCTGCTCCAGCGGGCTGTCGAGGTAATCCCTGAGCGACGTCTCGAACTCGGCCATGGACGACACATTGTAGCTCACCGTCTTGGCCAGCGCGTCCCGGGGCTGGCGGCCGCGCGCCAGTGGTGCTGCGTGCGCGGGCTGCACGGGCTGCTGCGAGGGCCAGAGGGCGGCATCGTTGTGCGCGTCGAGCGAGCTGCTGGCCGAGTGCGTGTGCAGCGTGTGTCGGGCATGTTGGGCGTGGTGGGCGTGGTGAGGGTGCTGGCTGTGCTGGGCGTGCTGGTGGTGAGCGCGCTGTGCATGGCTAGAGTCCATCACTCGCGAGTGGAGCCTGCGCCGCCGCCGGCTAGAGAGTGTATTGCAATAGAGGAGGTTAGCGATGGAACCGATCCGACTCTGTCTGCTTGGCCGCCCGCCCGCTAGCCATCTTTGCTCATTCCTGAGTCATCAGCCATAGCATGCACATATGAAGACGAGAGAGAGATGGAGAGAGAAGGATAGTGGTGCAAGGTAAAGAATCATGGTATTCCATCACGATTAGATCTCCATCCTCAAGAGACCACCCTATCAAGAAACACCCTCGACCCCTCCCAAAAAAAGCAAATGGTATCAAGCCAAACGAGAAATCCCCCAAACCCTAGCGCTGATGATAGAAGTACACCAAATCGTAATCGCATAATCGCGTCTCTGTGTACGTTTGTTTTTGTCCCCAAAACCCCAAAACTTCAAAACGAGAACCGCTCAGCAGCCATGATATTGTCCGGCACCCACGGCCCCTTCTCCTCGATCGTCGCACCATGCAGCGCATCGGCACGGTTGAGTGTCTGCACATCCAGGTCCGTGACGTAGCTCTTGCCGTCCGGCAGCTTCATCCGGACTTCAAAGTCCTGGTCGAGCATCATGTCGTCCTTCCAGAGGCGTCGGCTCCCGTCGTACACGCACAACACACGCTTCTTCATCTTCATCTTGTCGGTTGGGCACCCCCAGGACACGGGGTAGTTCTTGCGCTTCTTGCGTCCTGAGCCTGTGATGGCTACGCCGCCTTTGGAGAAGGTCAGGCCTGGTCGAGGACCGGTTGGAGTTTTGTTCGTCTTGTTGTTGTTGCCACCCCCGATGTGCTGCGTGGAGCTGACACCTCGGTGGTGTGTTGATTGTCAACTCGATTTGGCCGAGCGCGATGTGCCTTTCCCAGAGCGTGGCCGGCGTACGCCATATGTGTCATCGTTGTAGTCCTCATTATCCATCTCCTCTTCCTCTTCCTCATCCTCGTTATCGTTGTAGCTAGGGATGCTGTACTCGATGCTCTTGGAGAGACCATTGCGGTCCAGAGTCTCGCTAACGTCCTTGTCCTCGGCAACAGAAGTAAGGAGGCGCTGGTTGATAGCCTCGCTAGGGTCAGCCTGCTGCACCACGCGCAGCACACAGTCGTCCAAGTGCTCGTAGAACTCCTGCGCGTTGGCAAACGTCACCGAGCAAGTCGAGCAAGTACCAGACACGTTGGCGAGCATGGTGCTGGTGTATGCCTTGCGACCTGATGGGCTCTTCCTGCGGCTGTTGGGAGGGTTCTGCTCGACGCCGTGCACCGAAGTAAGATGCCTCTTGAACACATCCGCACGGTTGAAGCTCTTCTCCACCGCCGACCCGCTGCCCGGACAAAACCCGCACACCATTGTGCCCTTGTAGTGTGTCAAAGTGTGGCGGTTCTTGTCGTACTTGCGCGCAAACCCTTTGACGTGATACTCACACGTTGTGATCGGGCACTTCATTGGTCGCTCGTTCTGGTGGGTAAGCATGTGGGCCTTCAAGTCCTTGAAGATGCGTCCACATTCTAGAAGTGGGCAACGACCCTTCTCGCGTGTCTCGTCATCAACCTCAAAGCTGCTCACGCTCTTGCGGCTTGTGCTGGAGTTGTGCGAGTGAAGTGATGCAATGGAACCTCGCCTTTGATCGTTGAACTGTGGGTAGGGCTGGTATTGCTGAGTACGAAGATATGGGCTTACGCTTCCTCGCTTGAACCGTGCTGACCCTTGCTGTTGGCTTTGTGACGAGACGTGTGAAAGAGCTGGAGAAGGCGGTTGGTCCATGATGGGGAAGTAAGATGTGACTTCTCCTGGGACCTCAAGGAAGGGGCTTGGGATCTCGAGGTAGGGGGTGTAAGAGGGGAAGGTGAATGGTTGTATTAAAGTGGGATCCACAAACGTCTTGTCCGTTGCGATCATCGCTGGGTAGTCGAAGCTGCTTGTGAGTGCAAGCCCCCAAGGCTCATCAAAGTGTGGGTGGAGTGGTGGTGAGCCGGTGGTAGAAGAAGACACTGAGGCACCAGATTCGGACGAGGCTGAAAGAACGGGGGGCAGATCATGATAGGAATGTGATGTGGAGTGTGGTGATCCCGCCGGCGTCTGGTACTGGAAGGCCTTAACTTCCTGGGCCATGGTATCGAAGTGATACTGGAGGTTAAGATGTCTGGGAACCTCTTCCAGGGAAGCCATGTTGTCGAACGGCGCACTAAAGGTTTGCTCCATGCTATATGTCGATGCAGGCAGGAATGGTTGATTGAAATCAGGCTGCTGCTCCTGTCTATTCGAGTACAGCTCAAAATCTTGCTGCATATTGGAGTGGTATGGGACGAAGTTGACCATATTGAATGATGATGGTGTGCCGGGCAAAACCATGCGGATCTCGAAAATATATCTGGATCTGCTGCCCAGTGCTCTGTTACCACGGTTCAAGTCAGCATAAGCAGTGGTGATTGCGGCCCGAACCAACGAATCGATGTAGCTAAATAGACGAGTATTTCCTATGAATCGGCTTGACAGGGGAAAGCTTACAATTCCTGGGATGTAGCCGCTTAGTTTCGAGCCGTCACACGGGTCGGCGATAACTCGAACTGGTTGGTGCTCTTGCAGATCAATAGCTTTTTTGGGTTGTGTCAGTGACAGCGTGTTCTGCTTCCGACATGCACTCTTCTGAGGCTGGCTGAGAATGGAAGACGAATCGAAGGGTGGTCGAGACTCGATTCCAAGAGTATGACAATCGATGAGATTAGATGAGTCTAGAAGGGATGGTATGTGCTGATCGGGTCTGGAACTGGAGGACAGAGTCTCGGGGGGCGAAGTCGAGTTTATACATAAGGCTCGCGATGGCCCCCATCGCGCGCAGTGTCGCAAGCCACTCGACGGCATCCCCAAAACCCCTGCATGATGAGCTTCCGCCCTATGGAATCGTTTACGGAACCATGAGCCATGGCTGCTTGGAAACGGTCAGTACACGCTAGGAAAATAAGAAAAGGTAAAGGCACCGACCACTTTCACTCACGTCCCCGCTTCGATCGCGCGCTCCGACCGCTTTCGCAGTGGGACAGGCACCTGGAGTCGCGGTGTGGCCGACCCCTGTCATGTACGCAGAGATGCGCTAAGACCTCTCTCTATATCGAAAAGGGAGAGGGCTGTTGGCTGTCGACGAACCAAAAGACACGGCATGCAGGGGGGTAGCCGTATGTGGAATGGCTGGGCGGATCTGGCAGAAGATGTGCACGCTAAATCACCGCTCCAAGTCGGGAGCCGTGGGATGCATAGCCAGCCGTCTGCCCACCGCACATTTGATTCGTGATCATATCGCTTTGCCCGGTCTGCCCTATCCACGGCGCGAGAAAGGCGTGGCTGGAGAATGAGAGGCTGTGCGAAACCTGGACATCCCATTGGACGTCAAATGAACCAATTTTAGTCGTATCCCTGCCATTGCCCAATTTAGTCCTGGTTAGCGAACCTGGCAGGGCTTAGCATTACTAGAGGATGCTAACTTGACCGCGCTTCTCGTGGTTGATTGCTGCGACACCGTCATGTTTTCTGTGACTGATAGGCGGTCGGCCCATGGAGATGAACGTCATGGTGGCATTGTCACTGTTGGCACCATAGCTAACATCGTGAGCCTTCTGCAGAGCGGCGTGGGCACAATGGTCGTCACCTACAGCTTTACGCGTCGGGTAGGCCCTTGACCTGATGTGCCAATAAAGCTTCAGTAAATCCTCGCTCAGTGGATCTCGCCTTTTTCGCGCCGTCCCATCAAGGTGGCCTGGTGATTCACATCGAAAGCGTCCAGTGTATGGATGCGGGTAACCCTAGAGCATCACAAACGGTTTTGCACTGTTAAAGCGCGCGGTAAAACATATGTTCCGTCAACGACTTACTAGTCGAAGCCGGATACGGTTGTGAGATGCAGACTTCGCATTCGGAGCCTATGTAGCACCAACCCATCGTACGATTGCTGCCACCATTACTGTGGTGCCAAAACCCCATGTGGCCCGGGGTCATGGATAAGGGTCTAGGGCAGCGCGAACCGCAGGCTGGAGCTCAATTAGGACCACTCAGCAAGCCTCAAGTCACAAGCCTTCGTCCTGGTTCCGCTGGTCTGCAGCGCTACATATGTGTGCTACCCGTCCATGCTCCCCAACGATACCATGTAGCGTATCTCCCGCGTCTTATGCAATACTATTAGAGGTATCGAGGACTTGGGTTCCAAGAACACTATCTGATGCAGCACTAACGGCTTCACATGATGTCGGATATCGATTCATCTGGCACCAGAGCATGGCGTTGGACTACTTTAGGCGCAGACGATTGAGCTTTGCTTTTGTGGCCGCTGGTACCACTATTCGGAAGCATTGCCGAGGATACGATAGCTTGGATAACTTTTGCCAGAAAAAACGTTCCACGCGGGCGTGCTAATGCATACATAGTCATGATCTTGCGAAAGAAAACATGCCACGCTACACTGGTTTGGTTGGTATCGAAGGATCTCAGAAATTGTCAACGAGATTGAGTTGAATGGAATGGGTCAATTACCGTCAGGTCCACTGCCACGTTAAAACACTTGGAAGGTGAAACCACGATGTAGAGCCTCTTACATCAGATTTGGTGTTCGTGGACCTGTGTCTGCACGCCACGCAAATCGATGTCCACAAAGAAAACAAAGATACGGTTCCGCAAGCCGGGCGAATAGCATCGACCGGATGAGCGACCCAGCAGTTTGAGCAATGGGCATCTGCAAGGCCGTAGGGCTGGTGGGACAAGTCCGGGTGCTCGCTACAGGCTTTGACCCTGCGTCGCGTATGCAGAAGACGTGACAGAAAGGGGCCGGCAGCAGGAAGGCTATCTCCAAATAGGATGCTTTCGCGAATACCCCAGTCTCCCATCATGACCTGTAAACTCAATCCTGTATTGAACCAGAAATGTCACATCGAATACCTATGCAGGAGATGTTAGTATTGTGGAATTTTGGCGTTTCGTTTGTAAACCGCCACCCCAAGACGTTTATGTCGGGGCCGTTAAAAGTGCGTCCGTGGGCAGACCAACATTAGTGCAATCTCCACTGTCAGCACGGAAAGGTATTCCGCCGTTTTCACAAGCTCCAACAGTCCACAGCGTCTCTGAATGATCCCGATATACGAGAAATTTTCTCGTGGAAAAAAGAGACATGAGCCGTAACATCTAGAAACACTCTGACTGGGGTAGGTAGAACAGACAAGGATGACGGCTACCCCCGCGAAATTCAAATTTGGGTAACTGGGTTCCGGGCCTTCTCTGATATCGTGGGTTGTGGTCTCTGGGCCTCTCGCTTGGCCCTGTAGGCGTTCCAATAGTGTTCCCGCACAGTATCAACTGGCAGGCCATTCAGTTCAGAGGAACAGCAGCCATGACATGCAGACAAACAGAGCGACCAATGCTTCAATCATGAGTGATCGGCAGAGGTGTTTTGTGCGAAAATCAAGAACTTGGTGCACTCCAAACGGACTTCCGGTGTCCTCCAGGGTGTACGATTCTCCGCTCCATGGCAATGGTCCAGGAAACACACGACAGCCGGGGTGACTCATACCCATGCCCAATAATGCTGCATCCCTTGTGCGAGTTCCGGGTCAAACTAGCAACTCCGTACGACTGAAAATTTACATTTGATGTTATCCACATTGCAGTGACCTTTGATCGGCGTCGCCGCGTGGTAGCGGACAAGTCAATGATTAGTGCATGCCTTGCTTGACCCCGCAGCGCCATGAGTCTTGAGGGGTCGGTACACCGGCCGTATGGGTTGGAAGCGATCTTCCCGAGCACCACGATAAGACTAGTCTTTCCGCATTAGGACACATCCGTGCAAGCCCCAGCGAGAGAAACCACGAACGCGATTCAGAAATCACCCTGCCAGTGCTCCGACACATGATCTCCCGTCTTCCATATGCATGTTGAGTACTTGCCGGTCGTCCCCATGAAACGAACGAAGTCTCATGACTCGCAGTCCAAACACACTCCGGCAGATCAACACCATCATTACCGTGACCTCGGGATGCGGTTGAAATCAGACAAGAGACCGACCAGGACCGATGTGGGAAAAGTGTGCTGGCACTTTCTACCCCTCTTGGGCCATGAGACATGCAGAAGCGACCAGGCAAGCACTGCAGGCATCTGTTGGACCGATGTGCTGGATATGGCTTTTGTGGCGGGGCTGCGACAACAACTTGGTGAAGGCCTTTGCGCTATCTAGATGCGAGGCTGAACGCCATCAACTGGTTGAAACAGCATGTGTGGATTGTACTGCAAGTGTCCGTGCTGGTCTTCAGAACGAGAGGTATCACCTACATGATGATGTAACGATCTTGTCTTATCGAGAAGGTCGATGGCGCCGATGGGCATCCCACGGCCGCCTCAGTCCGCAAGCTATGAACCTTGCAACGGTAGTGTCCGTGATGTGCTAGAGGTTTCGCGAGTAGATGAGGTGGCTCGCAAAAGCAAACACAAAGCCGTGTATCAAGGCAGGAAGCGACAGGCGGGTGAATCCTCTTTGCGGTTTCCGGGTCACCCGCCTATCATATCCGAGGCTCCAGCTTCATTCTCGCCAACCCTGGTCCTGCAGCGTGCTATATCGAGGTCTTCCTGATCCTGTCGTCGACGACATGGACAAGGCGGACTGCATGAAAGGACGCGGGTCATTGCGTGACAAGAGACATGTTGATCGGCGACTAGAGTTATCCGGCTTGTCCTGAGTACGTCCACTTTGAGGGCGGCAGCGATGTTGATCTCTAGCTGGGTTTTGTGTTGACAGATGACGTCGTAGATGCCCAGAGTGACACTTGGACAGTCGCTTCTTGCCAGCCTCGTGTCACCCACTACTGCGATCAACGCGGAGTAGAGCTAGAGAAAGAGAGTGTGCGTTCAGAAACTATATGCATTTGAAGAGGAGGTGTAGTCGAGGTAGAGTTCAGGTGGAGGCGGATAGGAAACCAGAACGTTGGGTGAGCGGTCAGCTCTTCCGGTGCTGGACAGAAAAGGAAGTAGCCCCGTTACGCCTTCTCTCGATGGCTTCAGCTTGCTGTCTTTATTTCAACTACATCACCCTAAAAAGTAACAGCCTAGCTTCGTACGAACGACATATACGAATCTCGTTCGTACTGTATCTACTCTCCTGCCAATTGCTCAGTGATCTTGTGGGCTGACTACACAAGAGTGCAACTTTACCTCCCTACCAAATCCCGATCCTCGCTCATACCGCTGGACGCCAGAATTGTGTCTCATGCCCATTATATACTTGCGCCGTTTCTCTTTAACGCCTGAAAATGCTAATCGGTTGACATACGTCGAGAATTCCTTTTGTGGAAGCGCGCACACTACGTGAAACCCATCTTCGAACCCAGACCCCGCAAACTGGCACCGATACCGACGCCAGTGTCCGAAGACATCTTATCCGCCGAGCCTTTCTCCTGCTTGATCTCCATGCCTGCGGCCAGCATGTTGAGACGCGTCAATCTTAGACGGAGCGTGTGGTCGTATGTCTCTGCCATAGCCAGAGCTTCCGCGTGCACACTATGACGCGGATTTGTCGGTGGGGAGATCAGTAGTCGATCTACAAGATCTATCCGCGCGTTCAAGGTGCGGTTGTTGATCAACGACTCCAGCTCGTCTTCAATACTCTTGTCCTCTGACGCGGGGAACTTGGACGCCATTTCGTCAAGCGTGACACAGCTGAAAGGAATAAAGTACTGGACAATGCTCTTAGTTCGAATGCGACCGTAGATGGTGACAAGAACCTTTGAGAGGTAAACGTCAAGGAGGTAGTCGTTGCGATAGCCTTCGAGCACTTCGAGACAGGCGCTATACTTGGAGTTACAGAACAGATTGATGGCGCGGCGGATGTGTGGCTCAAGTTCGAGGAAGTTGCGGAAATCGTTGTTGCCGAGAACCTTGTTCTGCAAATCGGTACGGTCCATGGATGCGAGCGCGCACAGCCCACCGTATACGGCCACGTCGTTGCCAGTCAAGACCTCTTTCTGCCATGTGATGTTTGCTGCAGGCTCAACGGTCAAAAAGGCAGGCGAGGTACCGAGAAAATGCGTGGCGGCTTCGCGGAAGTTTCCAATGGACATGTGCGTGAGGCCTGAGCTGGCCGCCACGATAGGCTCGAGTTTGGTCTTGTCGTCGCCCTTGAGCTGCGCGGCGTCGACCTTTGCCAGGTTTGCCTGCACGCCCAACCAGGATTTCTGCGCGATGCTGACATATACAAGGCGGAGGGTCATGTCGGCGAGGTGCTTGTTCGAGGTGCAGTGCTCGCGCATCTTCATGTATGCCTTGAGCGCGCTGCTGTAATCGCCTGTGTCATAGAAAAAGTGGCCAATGTCCTCATTGCCCATCTGCGAGTTTTGTTAGCCGGCGCTTCGCAAGCAGTGGCTGTCTGCTGCACACACACCCTTATGCTCTCTTTTATCAAGTTGTTCTTGTACGACTTCAACTCGTGCTCCAGCCTGTTTTGCTCCAGCTGCGTCTCGCGCGTCTTCTTCTCCGCCCACGCCGTGTCTATCAGGGCCGCAGGGTCATCTGGTACGATGCTGCTTAGGTCGGCTGCCAGTTTCGTGTAGAGATCGACATTTTTGCCCTTCTTCGCCTCCGTGATGGCCAGGCGATATGCGTCGACGGCAAGGTACGGTGAGTGAGAGCCGATGTGGTGGAGTCGGTCGACGCGTGTGAATCCTGGTGCCAGATAAGCAGCCCCTCAATCCATGTCCTGCTTCTTCGAGGACATACCAGCATAGTTGGATATGTATGATTCGAGGTCAAACTTGGGAGGTTCTGCGTGCATCAGTATAGCTCGTGTGCACAATGCGGGGATGCACTACCCTTGACGATAGGCTCGCCCTTGGTCTTCCGCTGTTGAAAGAAGGGCGACTGCTCCACGTTGGACGCCATGGTGGTGCTGTGGTGAGGTTGCAGTTGTGACGGTGTTGCGGCGTTGCGGAGAGCTATGGAGCGCGGCTGCCTGTCTATGGTCCACACCACGCTTTGGGGTTAGCGCGGGGCTATCAGTAGCGCGGGGAAACTGTTCGTGAGGTTCCCTCTCATTTAAAAGATATCGTTCTGTCTAAGAGTGCTTCAAGTCCCAGCCTGTACAGACCGAGCAAGCGAGGTCTTTTACTTGAATTAACAATAAACAGATATCTCGAACCCCCGTCTAAAGTCTTAATAAACCATGATCTCTCGATCCATTCATCCCTCCTTCAGAACCTCAACTACAAGGCTCAGGTCCTAAGAATCTGGATGTGAACGCAGAACCCAGATATTAGCGGCGGCTTTACTGCTACAGCCAAATTTTGGTAGATGCTCTAGTGGTACTTACGTTTGATAGGAGTATTGGGTAAGTTGATCTCGCCAAAATCTCACTCTGCGCAAACCTATTTTACAGCCATGAATACAGTATATTGTCGATCCAAATGTACCTTACATTGCACCTAAGTATTTATGATTCCTATGAGATAGGCGTAGTCACCTATTGAGCGTCCTGAATGTATCAACATGTATAAAACAATTTTTACATCAACCGGATATCACATAATCGTCCATATCTAAGGTCCCACACTTAACGATGGAAGCCTGCTTATCGTTTGTCAGTCGGATGCAACCAGAACCTACAGAGGAATGTGTTTTGGCGGTTGCCTATTCGTTTTGCTTGTTGATGGCCTTTGTCTATATTCGTACCGTATGCAAGTGCGAGGCTCAATGCAGATACTAACCCTAGATAAGTTTTGGACCCCAGTTTTCCCTGCATGCAAGCACAAATGTAATTAGTCGAAAAAACTCCTGCTATCTCCAGCTTCAAATTCCCTTGCTAGCTGAACTCCCAAAATCCAGGTAGTGCGCTACTCCAACACCACCCACTCACCACACACTCTTCCATACCTGATTCTCAGTACTCGAACAATTCCCCACTTATCAGCCATTTAATCTTCTACGAGATCCTTGGAAAGCTCCTCGACAAGAGTGTGAGTCACTGGGTACCTCCCAAGTCCGTGCTAATATCATCAAGCACTATGGTGTACTTTGAGCAGCATGTCGTGCTGCCACCAGCAACTGAAACGCGCGTCGACCAGATGCTTGAAATCATCGGCGCCATCTACCTAGAAATCTCAAGAGTGAATACAACAGTTGCTGCTGAAACACTCAAGTCTGTAGAGAAGACTCTTATGACTATCGAGAAGACGTTCGCAGACACAGACACAACTGTCGCTGTTGACCTACTCAAGTCTGCGAAAACGACCTTCGTGGCTATCGAAAAGACATTCGCGAATTTGGATCCAATCTATGCTCGCGCCGATCTCTTCATTCACCACGTTGGCAATTTGACGACCTTGTTGGTACTGCTCCTACTCCTACTGATAGTCATGGCGGTTCTGAATACGGTTCTGTGTTACTTGATGTGGCAGAAGAACGGTGGTATGAAGTGCCAGTGCATAAGAGATGAAGCAAAGAAGCTCAAATAGGATGGAGAAAGTATATGAAAACCGAGAACGGGTGCAGTCGAAACGCGCATTAACAAGGATATTTGTGGTGGTGTTTGATGGTAGACATCTCTCCATCTTTCGCCAGAATGGAGTATCTGGTACCTATCTTTCCCAACAACTAGCTGGTAGCGGTAAATTTTCACTTTTGTTATTCTTGTCCCGCAGTCTTAATGTCATCTGTTGCCTGATACACTCCTTGACTTTGTTCTTTCTCAGGTGCAGGCCATGTATCTCTCTTATCTCATGATTTCCCCATGCTCACCTACAGAAAAATGCAAATTTTGCAACTGGTAGGGAGCCGATCATACTTAGTACCTAAGAATAATTTTGTAGGTACGACCTGGATGACCTTCTGTACACATGAGTGCGTATCATATGGGGAAAACGATCTTTGTAGAGCAATGGAAGGATAGAGGCGGAAACAAGCTACCGGTAGCTTGTGCCTGTCATGGGTAGACGCTTACCCGAACCATTTGTCTGGGGCTGAGCGACCCCGGTGTTTCCAAGCCAAGGCGAGGCTGACGTGGCGTACGTGATATTCTACTGACATCTCTCCTCTCTTTGTTCGAGCCTTTACGCTCTGTCATGCGATGGCCGCGTGCACGATTGGGTGGAGCAGGCCAGATGTACACGTTTCGCTGTTTCGACCTATGGAGATGAGGCGCTAGTCGGGTTTTCCACCGCTATGGACCTTCTCCTTTCCATCTCGCTACCTCGCCTCGTGGCTCGATCATGCAGCTTCCATCGTCTCATCTGTTCCCTTTACTGCATTCTTAAGCTCTGTTGTGTACCGATTGTTTGCGGTGTTGAAATTTTGACCGCCTTTGTTCCGGGTTGCGCAGCGAATTGTCGCCGTTGATACGTGTTGTACGGTCTCTTGTACCATTTTTATTACGGCGCTTAGACATTGTTCTATCGTGACCAAATGGGACGCCTCCCTGTCCCGCTCGATGCGGCACTCACTGGACCAGACCGCATGGTCTTGGAAATTCTAGAGAAGGAATACGCGGCGTCGAGCAACGTGCTATCAGAAGCCTCAGAAGACTCCGACACTTCAGATGTCAAGCATTCTAAGTTTGTTACGCCATCTCCCGAAGGTACTACACCACTCTGCTCCTTGATGGGTTCTCAACTGCACGAGTTGGGATACCTGTTATGCACGATCCACGAGTCAGGCTAAATCTTTGTTAGATCCCCAAGACCGAGAACAACAGACAATTGCTTATTTGAAAAACATCAACAACCCAAAGTCTGATGAGTTTCAGCCTTCCGTCTTTAGTTCTGTGGACGTTCCGGACATCAAAAATGCGCGTTTTCGCAGCTGGTTTCTCGACCCTTACACCCGTTGGGCTCAAAAAGTCGTGCGAGTCGAGACCGATGTCATCATGATTACCCATCTACTGCTCTACATTAGTACGAGCATACCGTCTGCCATCTATATGTTTTACAACTTCCACTGGTGGCACGGTTTACTCCACGCGGTTATGCAGGGCTATTATATGGGGCCTTACACACTTCTGATGCATCAACATATCCATATGCGCGGAGTTTTGAACAAGAAATACGCTCTCATTGACGCGGTCTTTCCATACGTTCTCGATCCCTTGATGGGACATACTTGGAATTCATACTTCTTCCATCACGTCAAACACCATCACGTTGAAGGCAATGGCCCGAATGACCTGTCATCGACCATTCGTTACCAACGAGACGATATCTGGGATTTCCTGCGCTATGTTGGCCGATTCTATGTTCTAGTCTGGTTCGATCTCCCTCGTTACTTTTTGCGGACCAACAAGAAGGGGCTTGCTTTCAAGACGGGTGTATTTGAGCTTGGCACTTACGCTTTTATATACACCATGTTCACATATGTGAATGCGCGGGCGGCGACGTTTGTTTTCGTGCTACCCCTCGCTTTCATGCGTCTTGCCTTGATGAGCGGCAACTGGGGGCAACATGCTTTTGTGGATGAGGTGGAGCCAGACTCCGACTTCAGGTCTAGCATCACACTCATCGACGTGGCTGTAAGTTTCACAATATTTCTATATCCGATAAAGCTCCACAAAAGCTGACATTTTCGGCAGAGCAATCGCTACTGCTACAATGATGGCTACCACACGTCTCACCACCTAAACCCACTCCGACATTGGCGTGATCACCCCGTTGCTTTTCTCTCGCAGAAGAAGCAGTATGCTGACGAGCACGCACTCGTTTTCTACAACATTGATTACATGTTTCTTACCATTAGCTTGTTGACGAAGAACTATAAGTTTCTTGCAGAATGCCTGGTACCAATGGGCGATCAGATGAAGCTTACACTAGAAGAGAGAGAGGCGTTGCTGCGCCGAAAGACGAGGAAGTTTACCGAAGAAGAGATCGCTGCGAAGTGGGGAAAGCAATACGCGAAGTTGAAGTGAGGTTTGGCACTGAGTTATGAGACAGACGACATGTACATATTAACTGCTGGCCATTCGATACGCTGTGTGCTCCTTGTATAAATGTCTAGATCGTATATAGCCGAAAGCGGCGTCAATAGCAACGCATTCATACGTCCCTTGTCGTTGCTTCCCTAGCTATCACGTTGGACAATGTGGAGTGCCTGCTTCTTTCAATCCATTGCCCACCACTCATCGACTTGTCAACGCCGATCATTCAGTCCCATCGCTCCGCACTCCCATTCCTAAACTTTATCAGTAATCCGACTTTCAAGATGACACCCAATAGTCCACCGCCGCTTGAGCAGAGCTTGTTCATCACTACACCAAATGTCATACATTTCTGCTCGCAACTATCCGACAAGACTCTCTTCGAATGCACAACGCCTGATAGTATCGTCAATGCCCGAGCGTCCAAGGACAATAGTGGCTTGTTCGCTGTCGCCGATGCTCACGTAGTGATTTTGTATGACGCGGCGAAAGGCAAAGACAAAAAGTACAAGCTGAAGAACGGTGACGTAAGTGCTTATTCCATCGAAGTTGCGATCGTGGAAACTGACAACCGAACAGGGCGAGCCACGCCTTTTGTTATTTTCACCTGATTCGCGCACGCTCTATTTCACAACAACGTTAAGCACTTCCGTTCAAGCGTACTCCGTCCCGACCGCCCAGCTATTGCCTGCACCACAAAACCATCCGTCGCCGCCAAATGTGATTAGTGTTTCAGGCGATGGCAACATACTTTTGTCAGCCTCGCCTTCACCACCTGCGATATATCTCCAAGACAGAAGATGGGGAGGTAGTGCGCCGGTAAACTTTCACCCCACAGATGCGCGGTTCCCAGTCAGTTGTGCAGTATTCCAAACCTATGGTGGCTCCGAACGGCTATCGTATACTTGTTTCTTGCTGGGGTTCCAAGACGGAACACTAGCACTCTATAAACTGTTTCTACCCCCACGCTCACGACGTTACGAAGAAGCAAATTACCAGCGAAGTCAGGCCTTCCACCTCCAGCCAGTCAAGATTGGGGCTATTAAGAAGCTACATAAGGCGGCGATGGGAGGCCTATCGGCAGCTGAGTTTATACCAGGCCACAGATCACGGGTCGTCAGCATCGGGCATGACGGACGGTGCCGGCTTGTCGATTTTGAGGGAGGTGGGAAAGTATTGAGGACATAGCATGTCTCTGGGCCGGCTACTTGTCTGTCTGTCGTCTCAAATGGGATTGCGAGTTCGAAACGTAGAAAGAATAAGACGGGATTATTGGGTGGCGACGCGATGGAGGACACTGAACCTGTGTATGAGGGATCAGAAGTACTCCTCGCGATTGGCACACAGGTTGGAAAGGTGCTGATCTTCAATGTCCTCGGCCTCCTCATGCGTGAGATTTTGATGAACGGACCGGTTGTTGCCGTTGAGTGGGTTGGCGACATGTCCGCACCTTCAGTCCTTCCAAATCGAGTGTCTTCCATGTCACCTGAATCACACCCGGTGATGACTGCGCTGGTAGAGGAGTACGAAAAGGCTCTAAACGAAGAAGAGTGTGGTACTGTCATGAGGGTTGCGTTGCCTACCGAGGAAGTCGGGATACGCAGTCCGTATCCAATAGGACAGGGAAGGGACTTTTTCTCGAGCAATAGTCCACCGCACAGCATTTCTACACGCGTAGCACGCAAGCCCTCCGACGTCTCAACCGGCTCGCCACTCCAAGTTGAGCGAACAAGAGAGCGACCGCGGCGGAAGTCTTTTCCCCGACCACGAATCGCGACAGAGACCTTTAGGTCTCCTTCAGAAACTATTTCCAGTCCATCTCTCCCTACGAGTTCTTCCAGTCAGAACGCAACAACCATCAAAGAAACCCGTAAATGGCCACAAATTCGTCAGGCTCCAGACTTACCTCCTGCGGCCCGCGTTCTCCGCTTCTCTCCATCAACAGTGGATTCTCAGTCATCTGATGGGTCTGACTCTGAGTGCTCAGATCAAGCATTCTTCACGCCTCCGTCCACACGTCGGGATAATGACAAAGCACCCCAACGCTTCACCAACCCGAGGATCTCGGTTGCTGGACAGAAAACTCCGACACGCCAGATATCACTATGTCGAAGAAACACGCCAAACACCTCAGTATACCCTCGCCCAACGTCTCGGGCACGCTCGAGAGAAGAAGACAAACCTATAACCAAGACACAACATCAGACTCCCAACAACCTACAGGACGCATCGTCACCCCTTGATCCAAAAGCTAAGAGTATTCCGCACATCCAGCCCACAACGCGCGACTCGTCATCGAGAACCCTAGATAATACTACAGACCCCACTCCAGCCACACCTCCACATGCGAATGCTACGCCCTCCCCACTCGACTCGCCCAGCAGTCTCTACTCTCGTCCAACACCCCCCCTGCCCCACAGATCTGCCAGCCGCGTAGATGGCACGATAAGTATTCCAAATCCAACGCCAGAAGTGCAAGGAGACCTTGGCTTCGACGTGGCGGATATCTCGCCCGAGAAGCGGTTTCGAGTCGCAGGACGGCGGAGAGCGGCGACAGCCACGCTTGCGCCTGCGCCCGCGACTTTATCCAGTCACGAGGCACGGAAGCTGCGGGAGGATAATGAGGTGTTGAAGAGGGATTTGGAGGCGTTGAGGGAGGAGTTCCAGGCGCTGAGGAATGTGTTGTTGAGTTCGAGGATCGAGAGGTGAGGTGACGGTTGTGTGTCAGTCTTAATTTGTGATTTTATACTCCCTTCCCTAATATCAATTCGTCTGCGCTCCGCTTCGCAAGATGTACTCTCCTTAATCATTTGCGCAGATGAGCCTGATCATCACAAACATGGAAAGAGCAGAGACAGTCCGTTAAGAATTGGCACATAGAAATTTCTACCTAAGTGTTATGATCCCATTCATCCACATCCAATCCAACCCAATCCAAGAGCATGCCCCTACCGAGAAACACCATGGTACACAATACCCGATATTACTGCATCCAACAACCACATACCGGAGATGAAGCTGTCGTGTCGTTGTCGTGAAAGAAGAAAAGGAAGAAAACAAGAATACCGCGTTGTTGTGCAAAACCGACATAACAAGCGCCAAAGAAAAGAATCCGAACCAGCGTACATTCTAGCATCCAAAATGAGAAAGAAAAGAGGCATCGTGCCAAGGACAGGATGCCGCAAGGAATCAAGTTGTATCCGAAAAGTGAAAACTGTTCAATGACAGTGTAGATGGTACGTGTAAACGTCGGCGAGCTTGCGTTTCATATCCAATCTGCACCAAGTCAAAACATGGTCACAGTCGTCTATGCGGCAATGAACTCATCGCCGTTCGCCTCGGCACCATCAGTCGCCTCCTCAACGTCCGGGTCGATACCAAAGCCGGAGTCATACTGGCGGCGGGAGACCTTCTTCTTGCTGCCAACCTTCTTGCCAATCTTGACCTTGTCGCTCGCCTTGGTGATCCTGCCGGTGACGGGTCGATGGAGGCTGAGGCCGACAGTTTTTGTCTCGAAGCCTTGTGCTTTCAAGCTCTGAACACCCTTGAGGGCCTCAACGCCTTGCCTCTTGAGATCTTCGCCAAGCTGCTCATTCTTCTCTTGCAACAGACGTGAATTCTCAACGAGACTATCGATGTGGGCGTTTGTGCGCTCCACCTGCTCGCGGAATGTGTCCTTGAGGCTTTCTATTTGGGTGTTGAGGCCGATAATGGTACCAACATGTTCCTCACCCAGAAGCTGCAACTGTTCGATTTCGCGGGCGCGTTCCATAAGTAGCTCTTCATGTTCGGCTGCACGTTGAACGGCGGCGGCTTGGTGCTGCAGGATGGTAGCTTTGTGGGCTGCGATGTCAGATTCGAGAGCCTTCCTCTCGTCATTGGTCGTGCTGACAACGTTCAAGAATTCGCTTGCTGCCTCTGCGAGACGCTCGGAAAGGGAGGCGTTCTCGGCACGCAGATCCTCGTTCTCGGCACGTTCGGCAGCAAGATCGCCTTGGAGGACAGCAACGTTTTCCTTGAGGAGGGTAGTATCCTCGACGTAGATACGTTCTTGCTCGATAACCCGCTCCGCCAGGATCTTGATCTCTGCATCCTTGCGCTGAATTTGGTGATTGAGATCCGTAATGTTCGCCTCTAGAGTAGTGATCGTAGAACTGGTAGAGTTTTGCAAAGCCGCATACTTCGCTCTGAGGTCTATGAGCTCAGCAGCGAGCGCAGCGACCTGGGTGTCGCGGTCTTGCATGAGTTCATCCCGATCGTTCGTCATGTCGGCTAATGCTACATTTAGATTCGCAAGATCTGTTTGGAGCATGGTGATTTGCTTGGTCAGCTTGACGATGACCTTCTCAGCGTTTTCTCGAAGTCCCGTCTCGGTTGCGAGCTGCTCGTTTAGAACTTCCTCGCGTTCCGCAGCCTCGTCTTGGAGTTGTGCAATGGCCTGCTCCTTCTCTTGTTGAACCTGGAACAGTTTGGAGCGGAGCTCGTTCCCTTGGATACCAAGGTCGTGAAGGCGGAGGTTCAGGTCATCGATCTTGTTGTTGGCCTCATCGAGGTCGACCTCTGTCTTCTCGCGTTGGGTTTGCTCGGCCTTCAGGTTAGCTCGGAGCAATGCAATCTGATCGTTAAGCTCGAGGATGGTCTCGTTCAGGTTCTCGATAGTGTTTGCTTGTTGATATACGATCGTGATTTGCGTGTCGCGCTCGGTCTCAGCAATGGCACGACCTTCGGTCTCGATCTCGAGACGCTCTCGGAGTGTGGCCATCTCAGTGGTGATGGTGACGACATCGGATTCCATGCGCGAAATACGGCCTTCGAGTTCGTCAATGTAATCTGCCCTTTGTTGAGCGTCCTCCTCGGCAGCCTCACGGCTTGTTTGCTCAGCGGTCAGCTCGTTCTCGAGCTCAAGAACAATTTGGGCATGCTCCTGTTCCATTCTGGCAATAGTCTCATGATGATCCTCTTCGAACTGGGTAGCCGCAAGGGTAACGGTATCGAGATCTTGGCGGTAAGCGTCGAGTGCCTGATGGAGCTTTTCTAGGTTTGCGTCCTTGTCCACTACCTGATCCTCGAGGATAAGGATCTGCGCGGCCTGATCCTTTAGCCCTGCATCCTGCCCCTCGGCCAATGCTGTCAGAGTCGTGACCTGCTCGTCAAGGTCGAGAATCGTCCGGTTCTTCTCGTCGTTGCTCTTGTCGAGATGGTAAATCTTCGCATCTTTGTCTTCCACCTTTGCCTCAGCCTCACCAAGGAGGTCTAGAACGCCCTCATACTGCCTCCTCAAAAGCACCTCAGTCTTACGCGACGATTCAATCTGGACGGTCTTCTCGTGTAACTCGTAGAAGATACCGCCGAAAAGCTCAGGAATCTTACGCAACATCTGTGCGCCCGTAAGGCCAGTGCAAATTCCGGGGAAGTACTTCTCGACGTGGTGACGGAGAAAGTCAAGGCTGTGGCGTAGTTCGGTGAGAATCTCGTCGCTGGCGGCGCCAGGTTCGACGAAGTTCAGGTTCTGCAGCTCGATGGTAACAACACGCAACGCGCCCTGAGCTTCAGCAAGTGCGCGAGTGTACCCTTGCAACTCCCGCTCGTAGCGATGTACGGCTTGGTCGTGGATGCTGTCTGACTCGACAGGTTCGTCGTCCTCGACCAGGGTGTCATGGGTAAGTTGAGAGATTTCCGGCAGGTGTTCGAACGTGACCTGGTTCGACAGCTCCATCACACGGGAAGCAAACTGGCCGTGGGGTGTGGGAACAAGGTCCAGGTCCTGGGACATGTGCAGATCGTCGGAATTGATCAGCTCAAGCCTGTTGTGGTCGTCATCATCATCGGACACATCCGCAGCCCCGTCAAAAGCGGCCAGGTCACGATCGCTGCCCATGTACAGCGACGATGCGCGCAGATCGTCGATTTCTTTGCGGGCCAGCTCGAGCTGCTGCTCCAGTTCCTGGTCGTACTCTGTGACATCGATGTTACCCAGGCGCCGGCTCTCGAGCTTGAATTCGAGGTTCTTGATAGTGTCGTCGCGGTCGCGGAGCTGGCGATGCAGTGCCAGGAGCTGCTTCTTGTGCTCTTGCTTCTTCGCTTCGACTGCGTTCATCTCCTCGCTCACGTGGTTGCGGCGAAGGCTCCTGCGGGTGCGCCCGTTAAGGACTGCCTTGATGGGCATGAACTGGAAGCGGTTGCCCTGCTGGTCGTCGACGCGCTCGACGTTCAGCTGAGCAGGCATGGACATGCGAGCGCGGCGCGTGTTGGTGAAGCGGTTGCGGGTGGCGCCGAGGCGGTCGAGATGGGGAGTCAGGCCAGACAACGGCTCCATCACCGCCAGAGCATTGCCTGCGAGCTCGTCTTCATCCTCGTCATCGTCTTGGACGCCGACGGCGGGCTCCGAGTGGCGGCGGTTGCGACGCGTCGTTGTGGTGCTGGTCTGGTTCTCGACGTGGATTGTGTCGCCGTGCTGCGAACGCGTGGCAGACTCTTCTACCTCCTCGGCGATCTGCGACTCGCCATCGTCGACTTGCACGCGTCTTACTCGTTTTGTCTGCGATGACTCTGCTGTCGGTGAGAGCACGCGCTTGCTGTGAGACGCGCCGTCTTCCGCTGGCGTCTGGCCCTTCGCCGGACGGCCTCGCCTGCGACGCGGTGCGTCACCAGGACCCTCGTGGTGGTGCTCGGAAGGGAGCCCACTAAGGCGAGCCATGGTAGCGGACAGGTGTGTGTTTGGTTGTTTACGTGTGTTGGAGTGTCTTTGCAGTCTCGTCAGCGATAGACACGCGGCGAGATAGTCACAGGACAGCGCACCTACCAGTGCTATGGGGTTGATCGACTCGTGGCCGCGTGTGGGATGCAAACAGTGGAATATGCCAAAAAGTGGGGAGAAGATGTGTAGCAGCGACAATCAACCGCGGGGTCTAGATGGAAGCGCAGAGATCGTGATATCGAAATCGGGCGTGGAGAGGTTGGTGTCAGTGCTGAAAGGCGTGAATTGAGGTGGCTGGACTGTGCTACGTCAACGGCCTGTGCGCGTTTTACTTTTTCATGTGACGTACCTTTCACCTTTTTGTCGCTGCAACTAACGACACCGCGGAAATTACCTATAAGATTATGTGGGCATATAGGCGGCACAGTACCTGCTTTTCTGTACTCTGCCGCTCGTGAACGACCCGCCTGGTCATCATTGCAACGCCGTAAATCCAGCCTGAACGCCAAGACGGTCTATGTCTTACACGCAAACAGACATCATGCAAGGGGCCATCATCAAAGGCGCAAGCAACTAATCAATCTCTTCACAGTGCGGAGCACATGTGTACTGTCGCAGCCTTCAAAGTCATTCCAGATTCTTCGCCAGAACGACTAGTCGCTCCTCCGCCTTACTTCTTCAGCAAAGAGTCTCCCTTCGTCGTGATCGCAATCTCTTGCGGCGCAGACTTGACGGGACTGAGCCGTAGTGGCCAGATCCCTGTTCGCTCTTCTGTCCATCAGGGGAACTCCTCAGCTGTGTCGTAGGGCACGTCGTGATTTTAGACGATGGTTGACTATAGAACAGAGGTTCCCGTCCAAGCAGAGAACCTCCGATTAGTATTCATCACGCTAATTCGCGCAACATCTTCTTTGCCGGGCTTGACTGGAATACACTACAACTCAACGTGACATTTCGCATCAATGAGCTCCATCTCCAATAGCATGACTACTTAGGGCGATTTCGCATGATCTGGCGGCGATGATGAAGAGGCCTGGATGTTCATCAGCTGAAATCCATACAATCTCGGTGTTTCCTAACATATATCTAAGCTCTTTGGAAGTCCAGTCGAATAGCCCGCATTTCCACGAACCGCTCTCATCGACCTTCACCTGGAGTTATACAGGATGAGCATGTCCTCAAGACAACCGTTGACACGTTCGTGAGCTCCCAAGAGCAAACAACAATTTGTTCGCATACATCGGTGATCAACCTACCTTCCACCAACAGTGTATCAGCAACTCCATGATGTAATTTTGTTGACGGGACAATTGTCGCATCCATATTGTTTTCCAGGTGCTGAAATACGTAACTCAAGTTGCGAGGTTGGCTACCGTTGAGTTGTGGGTCTCCATAACAAAATGGGAGTCAGCAATATGTGTGTAGATGGTTTATTAGTGACAGGATATATCCTAGATGAAACGAGAGATACATCTTCTCGCCATGAGGTTGACTTCTGGTCCACTTTGTAAGCATGCACTGCACGATTTACGGTCGTTCCTTTGGGTTACGCATGTAGCTTTCGCGTGTGCGGGACGCCCGGAACGAACGCACTTGTCAAGCGGCGGCGCTGACGTATGCCGAACCATCGCACGTGGTTCTGATCTAAAGTTCCTGACTGCTGACATCTAAAGGGCAGAAAGAGGAGGAAGAGCTCAACGTCTGGTGGGACAATAGACGCTAACTGAAGGCGCGAGATTTCGTACGATCCAGCAGCGACCGTGCGCTACTCAAAAAGAGCAACAAACTCCAACACGACTGACTGCAACTGGAAATGCTCGAAATGCACTCGAAAGAGCTCAGTATGGAGGCTCACATAGCTACTGTACAGAAAGTGCGCTCCCGCGTTGAGCACTTCTACGCCACCACAACCCCATTTCGCGTCTATCACGGCAGCACCAATAGCACCCGACATGCAGACTTCGACCGCGATGCCATTGTAGACGTCAGCTCCCTCAACCATGTTCTCTCAATCGACTATGAAAATCGAACCGCCCTAGTCGAGCCAAATGTGCCCATGGATGCTCTAGTTCGCGAAACCATGAAGGCAGGTCTACTCCCCCCTGTAGTCATGGAATTTCCAGGCATCACTGTAGGAGGGGGGTTTGTTGGAACGGCAGGCGAAAGTAGCAGCTTCAAGTACGGCTTCTTCGACCGAACCGTGTTGAGTGCTGAGGTTGTGCTTGCGGACGGATCGCTGGTTACGGCTTCCGCGAAGGAGAACCAAGAGCTGTTCGAAGGTCTGAGGGGCAGCTTCGGTACGCTCGGTGTGCTCACCATGGTTGAGATGCAGTTGATACCCCTGAGGCAGATGGTAGAAGTTACTTACCATCCCACGACATCATTCGCGGAAGCCATGAGCAAGATGCAAGAACAAACAGCTACCCAGGAGAACGACTACGTAGACGGTGTCCTCTTTTCCAAGAACTCCGGTGTCATCGTTGCGGGTCGCCTAGTAGACACCAATGCCTGTCCCACCATCCCGATCCGCCGTTTCTCACGCCCATGGGACGAATGGTTTTGGATCTACGCCAAATCACTCACACGCAAAGCTACCTCCACAACAGAACTTGTCCCCATTACCGACTACCTCTTCCGTTATGATCGCGGCGCGTTTTGGATGGGATGGTACGCCTACACGCACTTTATGGTCCCGTTCACCTGGTTCACCCGCTTCCTCTTGGACTACTTCATGCACACAAGAATCATGTATCACGCTCTGCATGCTTCTGGATACACAGATCGGTACATCATCCAGGACATTGCATTTCCGGCGGGAAACGCAGAAGCGTTTGTCGAATACGTCGACCACGCATTTGGCATCTACCCGTTATGGCTGTGTCCACTGAGAAAAGATGGGCGAGCTTCTATGGGCCATGCGCAATTTTACTCTGGCGCCGTTGGGGGAAAGCAAGACGGAGTGTATGAGGGCGAGTACATCAACGTAGGCGTCTGGGGGCCGTATCCATCTTCCGAAGTCGAATACGTCCGCGCAAACAGGGATCTGGAAGCAAAAATGCGCGAACTCGGAGGGTTGAAGTGGCTCTACTCTCGCGTTTTCTACACAGAGGATGAGTGGTGGCAGGATTATGATAAGCCGAGATATGATGACTTGAGAAGGAAGTTCAACGCAACATCTCTGCCGACAATATGGGACAAGGTCAAAGACCGTGGGAGAAAGGAGGATTTTGGGAAGGGGTTGAAGGGGTGGTTGAAGAGAGTCGTTAAAAGCAATGGGTTGTTGAGTGGGTTCTATGGCATCTACAAGGCGCTGAGGGGTGGTGACTATATGCTCAAGAAGAAGCGAAGTTGATCTTTGACATGCCAATATTCTAATCAAATTCTATTATTGCGATGAAGCTCGCATCATGGTCGTAGGGGCTTTCGTATTATTCTTGCACCATTACTGTCTAGTTCTATTGATGAAATCAAAGTGGCCTGGGAGAAAGGAACATAGTGTCCCTCCGTAACCGTGTAGCGGTCTAGGCACACAAGCTTACATAGGGTTTAGAGACGAGGCCTAGTTTGTTGCGTCTGGCTCTAGAACATCATCGGCTTTTGGTGTTACTGTACAGTACTAGCTCAGAATCTTTTTGGGTGTGCGGGGACTTGTCATCCGCGTCCCAGGTTCATACAACGCAGTACGAAGCGACAGATACACCCAGGTATGAAAATTGTGTACAAGCCAACCAAAGCCGCGTGCGTAAAGTGGGTCGGCGATGAGCACAGGGGTGCACTCTCTGTCCTCTCCACTTTTCATCAACACCAACGTTGTCGTTATTACGATCGTTTCCTCCGTCTTCGCACCATCAAAATAACGTGGTTGATCGTTTCCCCACAGGTACACTCCTGGGGCCGATCCCGTTATGACGTCTACCGGATAGCTTCGTTTCCGCATTTCTGACGCCACGACTCGGGTCTCCGGTGATCTCATCCGGCACCTAGACTATTGAAACAACGTCAATCGGCGCCACATTGCGCGAACTGCAGATGTACTGTTGTTGTGCATAGTCACAGTACAGCAGAGACTTTGTTCTAACTACGCGTCGCCTCGCGTAGCCCTGTCCCCAAACACCCGTCATGGTGAATTCCTAGGGACGATGAACGATGAGTTCATCTACGACGAGCTACCAAGCCTCCAACGAGCAAAAGCATTTGGATGACGCGGTATTGGACCCTTTGCAATGACAAGAGTACTCGTCAGAAGTTGATGCGGTATATTCTTTGCCATATTCACAGCATTGGGAACGTGCTGTACCTGAAAGAGACAGCGCTAATCTAAACTAGTCTTGCTAGTTCGGAGTTATCGAAGTTAGTTTTATGTTGATATGACGTTTCGTCCCTCGGGACCAAGGAACTTCGACTTACTACGAATCTGCTATTGAACCTTCGCGTTCTTGAGGCCTCGGCAGCTACTTCCAGCCTCAGCAAGGGCGTTCACGGAGCTAGCTAGCAAACTATGATTGGTTGCACACGATCAGAGGCGTCAGCATGACAACAAAGGAGTTGATTACTCAATTCAAATCACTCATGACAAGAGCAACTAGCTGCATGCTCTTGTAGGTCAGTGCTTCAGTTGCGGTAGTGTATATATCAAACAAGGCTGGCCATTGATGTTGAATTCATCCGTCTCTGTTTACATTACGATACACACGCTTATACTCATCTCAATATCGAGATCCAGATGGCGCCAATGAAGACTTTCTCTCCTCTTGTTCTCGCCGGCTTTGCCGCCGCGAGGCAATGCTCTAATTTCCTAATTCCAGTGGACATCGCATCCAGGCAAGGCCAATTCGCGGAGATTCCGGTCGAAGGCAATCTGGATATCGGGGCTTTTGCTACGAGATTCAACCAATTCGGAAAGAACTATACCGCAACCCTGCTTCAGGGCTACCAAACGCTGAAGGGCAGCTACGAGATTTCAGCACAGCACTGCACACCGGACAGCGGTAGCAGTGACACTGTTCAGGTTCTTTCCCATGGTATTGGGTTTGATAAGACGTAGGAGTCCTGCAAAGTCTAATTGTTTGTCAATCGTTGACGATATCTTTAGATACTGGGATCTGGACTACAACAACTACAATTACAGCTACGTCAACAATGCCCTGGCAGCGGGCTACAGCACACTCGCCATTGACCGTCTGGGCGTTGGCAACTCGTCCCACGGCGACCCGTTCAACGAGATTCAGGCTCAGGCAGAGGTTGAAGCCCTCAATGCTGTGACGACGAAGCTACGCAACGGCGAGATCCCCCAAATTGGACATTCATACGAAAAGGTTGTTCACGTCGGACACTCCTTTGGCTCTGTACAATCTTACTGGCTTTCTGCCCTATACCCCAACAACACCGATGGCGTAATCCTCACCGGATACTCTGTGGCTTCCCAGTTCCTGTCCTACGTGATCGCTGGGTGGAACCTGCACAGCGCCCGCCTCAACCAGCCTCTGCGCCTTGGAAACGCCTCCAACGAGGAAGTGATGCAATTGGCTACGAGTACTGGATTGGGAATGAACCTCGTTCCTGGTCTCCAGAAACTTCTCGCAAGCGCTGGCATCGATCTTACGACCCAAGAGATCTGGAACCAAGTCGCAACCACCGAAGTCCTTGATTTGATCACTGGCTACAACAAGAGCGGCATGCCACTCGACTACCCATCCGGCTACATGGTCTCTGCAGACCTGACCAACCTCCAATACGCTTTCCTGTTCCCCGGAATGTACGACATTGGGATTGCTCTTGCAGGCGAGCAGACGAAGCAGCCCGTCACTGTCGGTGAACTTCTCACTATTGGCAGCGCACCCGCGATGAGCCCCTTCACCGGACCAGTTCTGGTTGTCACTGGCGAGCACGATGTACCGTTCTGCGGCGGAAACTGCTATGCACCCCTTCCAAATGCCACTGCTGCCGATATTCCCGCCGGTGTTGTAGCCGCGTTCCCCAATGCGTCTGCTTTCAAGTCGCACATCCAGCCCGGAACAGGTCACGGCCTTACTTTCCACTACAATGCCACTGCTGGTTACCAGGTCATCCAAGACTTCTTGGCCAGCAACGACCTTGCTGCTTAGACGCTCAATATCTTAGCGATGTAATGCGAAATGCGATATGGAATATATATACAACATTAATGTAATCATGCAATGGAGATTGAATCAGATTCCAAAAGACCTTTGATCTATCTTGCATTTCGTGTATTTTTGCCAGCAAATGTCCACATAGTTGAAATTCGTGAAGTTGCAGCTCAATTGATAGCAACAACTGACGTGCTGCTACGCGCATGCATGTCACATCTGACGAGGTGTCAACGCGCCATGTCCCCTTCACACTTATAAATAATGTTCTTCCTACATTGCTTCAAGTTGTCCATTCAGTCAGACCTGCGCCTTCAATAATATCAGACCGTGGAGAACATAGATCTACCTCTCAGAAAGCGTTCGTAAAATACCTTTTAGATATACCTCACTAACCAGAAATTCCCTAAGGTAACTACTAACTCAAGAATCCAGCATCTTGAAAGTAAGCGCACACATCAAAAAGGATATACAATATCCGGGTTTTGCATAAACGCAAAAATTACCACAACTACCTATCTTCCAACTAACATCAAAGTTTACTTCTCGATATCGCACCCAAAAATGCCTAACCACATCCCCAACTTCCAAATCTCGCACTTCCTGTCCTCACATACCATCCCGCTGCTCACTCCCCCAGACCCCACTTGCCCCATCTGCCAACTTCCCTACGCCTCCCCACCACAAACCTACGTCCATCCTCTCCTTCCTCCCGACATACCCGAATACGCAGTTCAGATCAACAACCGCGGGCCTTGTACCCATGTATTCGGTAGGCGGTGTGTGGAAACGCACATCCGTGGTAGAAACCCCTGGAGCCATACGTGTCCGATGTGTCGTGCAGAGTGGTTTCCTCCGCCTGATACGGGACGGAGGGAGGTCCTCGAGCATGTTGAGAGGGCGTTGAATGGCCTGGCGAGGCTGGAGGAAGATTTGAGCGCAGGGGACGAGGTAACAATGGCGGAGGTGGAGGATTTGGAGAGATCGTTGGAGAGGATTAGGGAGGTGCTGTATGGCGGGAGGTGGATTTAGATTGATCGTCGTTTCTTTTGTCTTCGGGATGAAATGCATTGATATGTGCCCTTTGGGGCAATGTGTTTAGAGGACTGTAGCTTGGAACTATGACAGTCGCTTTTGCGTTCTTGCCGCATTGCAGCTCTCGTTTTGCGTTGATCTACTGGTGGTTGTGGTTGCCTGCTGGCACTCATACATAGTACCTGCCTCTGTAGACAAAACAATATGACTCCGCACATCTTGACTTTTTCATCTGTTATCTAATTCCCAGTGCATCACGATCGATACATCCTGCGACATGAGTTCCACTTTCGAAAATCCACCGACACTGCCCGTCTTCATCAACTCTCAGCTTGAACGCATCGCCGTTGTCTCTCTACCCGCACAGCCCGCCGAAGCAAGAAACTGCACCATCTGCAAGCAGCCCATGTGTGACTACCTGCACACCCAAAAGGCCTCACATACGTGCGACGACCTAAGCGCCTGCGAACTAGCCATCCGGGTATCAGCTCCCAACTGCGGCCATATGTTTGGCTCGCGGTGCCTGGAGCGGTACATTCTGCATGGACATGTACGCTGCCCCGTGTGTCGAAGGACTTGGTATCAGAAGGCCGAAGTCAGGCGACAGACTTTGAAGGAGAGTTATCCATGGCTGTCTGATGATCTGTAGGCCTTCTTGGCGAGGAGACGTGGAGAGATGAACTCATGAAGAGATAGGAAAGAAATGCTGGGAGACAAAGACGAACTGTCAGGGGACGAGAAACGGTCTTCGAAATGACCGCAACCGAAGGATTTGAGCGGCGGTCACCCATTATTCGTATAGTCATAGTGGATGGCATGGTCGTCTCGGTACCCCCATGTATAATCTGTTACAAAGTGAGCCGAGATGGGTCAAGGAGTGTATACTTTTGAATGAAGTCACTGATGGGTATACATCACAAGTAGCTCATGAACCAAGATGAAAGATGCCTATGTATGTACCTCGATAGGCAGCGTCTTGTCTTTATCGTTTTGCCATGGCGCGCCCCACTTCTTACTTCGGCATCGGCTACTACAGAGCAGAAGGTGGTCCCCATGCGTTTGCCAATACTCTAGCCAAACGAATTAGCGGTTCATACCTATCTGTATGTGTATGCTGGTGACGATTCAGTCGACAGATTCATAGCTTGCGTGGATGTATTCGTGAGTTGGGAGGGGTGTTCGCTGTCCTGCCCAGATGTCTAGCAATGGACTAGACGGTTTGCGAAAACGACTACTGAAAAGAACGGAAAGAAAGTACTCCGTTGGTTTGATGCGAGTGTTCCTGATAATAAATTGGTGTTCCTTTAGTCTATTTGCCTTTAATGATTCTAATGAGTTGACGGTAGTGTGTGAAATCTTTCGTGTGGAAAGTTTTGCATTGCTCTACCTCTTATACCGTCCTTATCTTAGATTGAAAGATATCTCTCCTAAAAGATTCTTTCCCGTTGCAATTTGCCCTTGCTCTCCCCAGAATTCGCAGCTAGGAACCATCTATCACATGTGGTATGCTCACAGTCCCCTTGTCTGCCGTTGAGCGAGCCAATATTCGTGAAGCTCTAGATGATGATAGTTCCGTTTGCCCCGGTGATAAGTCCGGCCTCGCCTGGAATGACCGTCTCGTTCTCAATCGCAGCCGCATGGCCGCGTGCAAGCATTCCATAAACCGGCATGAACCTATCGAGATATGGCAAGATCTCCTTTGCACCAGGGGTGTTGCGCCAGTCGCGCATAAGATCGCATACAATGCTAAAGAGACTCACAAGCTGCACCCCAGCCTTCTCCATACGTGAGTTAGCTGTATCTCGGATGAGCGCAGTGGTTGTGCCTGAACCCTCGATGTTGGCAAATACGGAGTATCCTTCTGCTCTCAAGGAGAGGGCGAGGAAGGTAGTACACACATCCGTCACGATGCCCGCAACAATGATTTGGGTTTTGTTAGCGGCTTGTATCGCGGCACGGAATTCGGCATTGTCCCAAGCGCTGTGGAGGCGTCAACCATGTTCTTTAAATTGGAGCATAATTTCACCAGGTACAGTATGTAAGAAGGGGAGTATTTACTTGACCTCGCCCTGACGACGAATGAGAGGAGCATTAGGGTACATTTCGAGCATCTCCTTGGGGAGAGGGCTGCTGGGTCCTTGGTCAGCCGAAGTGGTCATGATGACGGGCAAGTTGAAGATCTTGCCCAACTCAGCATGGGCCATGATGTTGTCGCGGTAGAGAGTGGCATCCCAGTCGCGCGCAAGTTGATAGAGGCCGACTTGAAGATCAAGGATGAGGAGCAACTGCATGAGCGACATTGGTAAGGGCTATATGAAAGGAACATAAGCACTTACAGCATCCTCTTCATCGATACGCTCCCACGGAACGGCTAGACATTATTAGAATCACAGTACGACGAAGGATTTGAAGACTCCTACCATTACCGCAAACAGCGTTGAAGAGACCAAAGGCAACAAGTACCACGCTGGATAGGAATTTCATGCTGAAAGGTGATTTATATATATAAAAGGACTCCAATATCGCCCAGATAGAAGAGTGTGAGACTGGTGAGATGGTTATCTTCGAGCAGTCATGAAGCCTTCCTTATACTTCTGCGATCTCTTATTTTCCAAGAATAATCTCGCTCAACATTACCTACATCGAGCTTGACCCCGCACAGTAACCCACTTATGGTGTTTGTACAACATTATCGACATTCATGCTTGGATAGAATCCTCTTGGTAAATACGCCACGGAGTGTTGCCGGCGCAGAAAACAGGCCTGCTTGAACCTTCACCAAAGGTGCAGAAGTTGACTAACCGCCTGCAGTCTCTGATAATCAATGTCTATGTGGGACTCCGCGATAATGCCATGTAAGCCATTCCGCTTTCATGCAAGCCATACGTTAACCCCAGTCCTCGAAATGGAGGTCAGTAGGAGTCATTTTTACATTAACGTTTCATTAGGATTGAATCAGGAAGACATTAATGCAAGCATCATGCATAGGTATCGGCGGACGCATCTGCAGATGTACCGGCAGACCGTGAAGGTATAATTTGCCTGCATACGCCACAATGTGACATCCATGCGGCAAGCTGTTGTACGTTCACACTTGAGTACAATAGGTTCTTGATAGTGGAAGGATCGATGGAGCCATGCGGATATTTTGGGCAAGGGTTTGAGGACCGATGTCACCCGAATCTTAAGCCACAGGGAGATAAGTTCAATAATTGTTTGATGACGACAGAAATGAAACGGCAAGAACAGAGAGGTCTCATGGTAGGAGCGCGTATTGGCTGGGAAGGTAACAGCGAAGGAAGGAGGGGGCGAGATGTAAGTTTTAGTAAGCCTACGGAAAGCATGCCTTGGCGCGCTAGCTACGCGTTGTTCGTTCCACCAATTTTACGCGGTTGCATGGGAGATTGTCCGACACCACGGAACACTCACCAGAATCGGCATTGTTCAAATGGATGAGTTTCAGGCCGCCACAGATCGTTTCCTCACATGGTTCAAATCTGTGGGGGGTGAATTTCGAGACGATTTGCTCGAGATCAGAGACCTGAGATCTCAGAATGCTGGCAGAGGCATTGGTAAGCTTTTCTGCGCCATCTATTATCACAACTCTTGTTTACTAGATTCCAGTCGCCATCAAAGATATTCCACAGGACTGTACTCTGTTCAAAATTCCCAGAAGTGTCATCATTAACGTACAGACGTCAGAGCTTGCCAAAAAGCTACCTGATGTCTTCAACGAAGAGATAAACGACGAGGACGAGGACAGCCAGCCGTTAGATTCATGGGGTTCACTAATTCTAGTCATGCTATATGAGCACCTCCAAGGCGAAGCATCGCGCTGGAAACCATACTTCGACGTTCTTCCTACAACGTTTGATACGCCTATATTCTGGTCTGAGTCCGATCTGAAAGAACTGGAGGGTACTTGTTTGACAACCGAGAAAATTGGCAAGCATGAAAGCGATCACATGCTTCGCTCTCGCATCCTTCCAGTTGTTTTACAAAATCCTTCCGTGTTTTTCCCCAAAGGCGCACCTCTTCTCAGCGAAGATGAGCTGTTATCTCTTGCACATCATATAGGTAGCACGATAATGGCATATGCTTTCGACCTCGAGAATGAACTAGAGGAGTCTGACGACGAGGGTGAGGACGGCTGGGTAGAAGACCGAGATGGTAAGACAATGCTTGGTATGGTGCCGATGGCAGATATGCTCAATGCCAATGCTGATTTCAACGTATGTATTCCTATGTCATATCTATCGGTTCTTTCGCTGACTGAGTCGGGGATTCTAGGCTCACGTCAATCATGGTGAAAATCTCGAGGTCACAGCTCTTCGTGCTGATCTGAAACCTGGTGCGGAGATTCTGAATTACTACGGGCCGCTGCCTTCGTCAGAGTTGCTCAGACGCTATGGCTATGTGACACCCGAACATCAGAGGTATGACATAGTGGAGATTCATTGGGATCTTGTTCAGTCGACGATAAGTCGTCTTCTGAGCCTGTCCGTGGACACACTCGACGCAATTGTGAGTTTTCTTGAGTATTCAAGATACAAGTATTTTAGCTCATGTCGCCACAGGAAGAACAGCAGAGTGAAGACGAGGAAGAATGCTACCATCTGATAGAGCGCGACTCGGGCGAGCCGGACGAAGAAGGACGCTTGACGAAGCCAGCCAAGTTGCGCGAAGTTTGTCCTGATTTGGAGGATCGACTAAAACAATTCCTCAAAGCCCTCAAGACATCGAATCCGAAGTTGATCCCTGATAAACGGAAGCGTGACGAACTTCAGAACACAGTACTCAGAGAAGCTCTAATGGCCAAGCTGGCACAGTATCCCACATCAACAAAAGAAGATAAGGCGTTGTTAAAAAGCGATGGTTTATCCAAAAGACATCGCATGGCTATCGAAGTAAGACTTGGAGAGAAACAACTGCTAGAAGAGGCTGTAAGTCTCGTGCAGGAAACTAATATGCCTCAGCCTATAGAGGGTGCAGAAAGAGCTGCGAAAAAGACAAAACGCGGGTGAAAAAAAGTGCATGCATTGGAAGTACATACTAGGGTTCACTGAGACTTCGTCTAAAATCAGCATGTATTCCCGGAATGCTATGCATGGTACAAAAATTAAGAACAATCTGCTGGAGACGGATGCGCCCATCCTCGCCTCCTCTGACACATGCCCATCAGCTTAGCAGCGCCCGCGAATTCACTACTAGCACCACTGTAGCCGCAATACCGAGCCCTTGCACCTCACAACCTCTTTAGCTCTGTGTTCATCACATACTGCAATACAAAGCTTCCAGTTTCCTCTCAACTTCCTCCAAGGTGCCCCTTACTTCAACACTTCCTACGGCAACCTCCAGCGTCTCCAGTAGTTGTTGCGTAAATTGGGCTGTGCGACGAGATCGTTTTCGAATCGATGTGTGGTATGAGTGTTGGTTGGTTCCGGCTCGATCCCTCGTTGGAGTGACGGGCGTCTCTCGCCGTACTGCCGTTTGGTCCGCAATTCTACGACTGCGCCTTAGGGAGCTGGAAATCGGGTCTATACGCGTTTCCCCGGTTTGCCCAGGTTCGTCTACCAAGTTATCGTCTTCGTTGGAATGATGAAACCAGACGTTTCGGCACAAAGGACATTTGTTTCTCCAAGGCCCAGAAGCTTGAAGGTGCGCCTGGAGACATCTATGTCCAATGATGTGCCCACAGCATCGTTTGCGACCAAACCATTCGGCGACCATGTCCACGCTAACTGCCCATTCTCGATCAGAAGTCTGATGGCCATGCTCAGTTACTGGAGGTTCGATGTACTGTTCGTGACAGATGGGACATGCTCGGTTCTCGGACTCAAGTCGTGAAATCGAAATCGGAGTTGTGAAGAGCGCGCCTCGAGCGGCTGCACGAGCGGTCGATAAAGATTGCATTGTGTTGCTGCAATCGTGAAATGTCAGGGGTCGCTTGAGAGAGTAAGCTGTTTCTTCTCGTGGACCAAGAGATATCGCGAAGGTCAGGGTAGGTAACGTGTAAACCTCATCAGCAAAAGATGCATTGGTCAAGTGTCATACTAATACGTCCAGGAAGAGCACGTCAGAAGAAGATGCAAGCTCATCCAACGCTAGGTGTTTGCTTCTGCAAATCTACCACCAAACCGTGTCGTTGAATCAGTCACATTGCTTCGTTCACATCGCGAGTCTGTAACATCAACCACAGAATCAACAGCGATTGCAAGCTAAGATACATCCTTACAGATCATGTGGAGAGCAACATCGCTGGAGTAAAAAGTCATGTGGTGGGTCAGGAAGTGACTGAAACCACGTCTAGGCAGTGCAGATGTGACATACGGATCTAGATACTTCTGTTCGTATGTGCCGTGACAATGAGTATTCACATTAGCTCGAGAACGTGCGCACTCCACGCTTCACAGCAACACAGAGAATGCACATCCTAATGCTGTTCCTCACATCGAGTCCATCGCTTCTACTCTATCGAGTTGTCGTTTGTAAAGAAAATATGAGTGAGTAGTGAAGCCTATAGAAGCGTTTCCGAGATCAAAATCCCATGATCCAGGCTTAGTGTCGATGAAAGGAAGTGTACTTGTTAACGTGTAGTACGAGACGTTTAATCTCTATGAGGTTACTAAACCCATCTGTGCAAATGTCTATTCGAAGTAACACTCACAAACGTCTAGAAGAAATCACTTACGTATTGGAACTTGTCATGGCTACGTCGATCGTTTTGCAAAGCACAATGCTTGCAAAGACTGAACGACAATGCTTTACATACTCACAAAAGCCGACTGCCGCAACAACAGACAGTCATCTTGTTAACCGTTACTTCATACATGTCAATTGCACCTTCAGCTTCCGGATCGCATGCCACACTCGCGACTTGAGAGTAGACCATTGTGTGTAGCCGCTTGCAAAGGTTGGCCCCCTTGGGTTACTCAACAAGGCCAGGTGGAAGAAGAGAAGGACGGTTTTTGGTGTTCAGTGTCTCGATTTCGCTTTCTCTTTCATCGCTTCCAATTCCTTCAGTCCACGACGCTTGTCGTTCAGGAACTGATTTGTCGTTTGTTGATATATACGTTGGTGAAGAAATAGGAACAGAGAACACAGGCTGTATTCTGGAATTGATGTTCTAACTTGGGAGGAAAAGGTTCCTTGAAATAGTATTATATACCCCTATGGAGTGTTCACGCTATCGAAGTCCATCCTTTCAGGTCTTGATAGTAGGTTCACCTAGCAAATTTACAGAGAGTAGTCGTATCGAGATGGAAAATGATGAATATATAGGTTAACTTCACTCTTGCTTTCACTATCACTACAGCGCGCAGCACCACGCCCAAAGCCCAGTACACCAATGTTCCAGATCTCTCTCAACTCACCCCAACAAGTCTAAACCGTACTAATCTCAAAATGACTGAACCCACCACAAACACGCAAACAATGCGCACATCAAACTCTGGCGTAGAATTCCGCGCCGCCCACCTCGACGTAATAATCGACTCTCGCAACCCTCACCCTCCCATCAGCCCTGAATTCGTCCTTTTGCGCGACCAAGCCGCCACAACATGGCACGCCTTCGAAGCCGCCGAAAGCCACCTCCCCACTATAATCGACGCTCTCGACGCCGAAATGCTCGACTACGTTTCCTCTCACCGACGCGCCACGGCACAGCAACTCCAGGTTCACAGGGATCGCATCGCGATACCGAGATACGAAGCTACGATTGCGGAAGTTGAGAGGTGTTGCAAGGTACTGGAGGGTGAGATTGTAGTACTGGAGGAGGCGGCAAGACGGGAGTCAGAGACTGTGGAGGGGATGGCGACGCTACAGATTGATGTCCCGGTTATGACGAGCTGTTTGGAGACAACGAAGAAGATCGTCGAGGTTGCGAGGGCGCAGTTGCAGGGGGCGAGGGGGAGGTTGGGGGAGTGATTTCGGGTTGTGCCGTTGGGTTACGTGTACTGAGGTAAGAGAGATAAGACGTAAATGAGGTATTATAATGCATTAGTTCGTGCTTATTCGATAACTATAGTGCTCTGGGATCGTGAACATGATTGGTTCGTTTGGACGTGTGATGTTCGATTTGTGTATTGTTAAAAGTCGCGACAATAAGTTTTCCTCAACTATCCATACCGAAAAGAACGTATTTGCATACATCAATCCTCGTTTTATTGTACCGGGTGTGGTATATTACTATGTAAGAACTAGATGGGTTGTTGATATGATAGGTCTTACATGCATATGCCTAAGCTGCAGGGCCAGTCTGACATAAGCTGTCAACGTACTGTGGTCCCCCCCAGAAGTATAAGCCATCCGCCTCTTGTGGGTACCTTCCGGGACGCTCACGGATTGGTCAGAACCTTCTTAATCAGCAATCCTGACGAATTGAAGATTAGTACGTTAAGTGGGGAATGGCTTATACTTTTGGGGGGGGCCACAGTATATAAAGCTGTTTGATTATCCGATATTATTGACTAAACATCAACTTGAACTTGCTTGGGTAAATTAGAATTCAAAGTTGCTGTTTTTTTCAAATAATTCGACATTGACATTTTGTCAAACCGCCATTATGGCCACTTCACAGCTCGCAATTCCAGAGAAATACAAGTCGGAGCTCCGCTACGTCGAAGCAAAAGATACTCGTACCGACGCTGAGATCCTCCATTCCTTCACCGAACATGTGCCCGTTACGTCGGAGAAGAACATCTGGACGTACTGGCACTCAGGAGTCAAGTCGATGCCCAGCTGGTGCCAGCGCAACATCATCAACTGGGTGCGTCTCCAAGGGTCTGAATGGACTGTTCGTGTCCTCGACACTGTGCCGGACTCGCCAAACCACGCTTTGAAGTGGATAGCGCCCGAAGAGCTACCTGAAGCTTTTGTGGAAGGAACAATGACCGGGCCTTATGTTGGGCCTCATAGTGCGGATTTCCTGCGTGGCGCGGCGCTGTATGCGTATGGAGGTATTTGGATGGACGTCGGAAACATCCTTTTCAGACATCTGGACAAGGTCTGCTGGGACCAGCTTGCGGATGACAATAGCCCGTATACTGTCAGCGCACCTTGGATGTTGAAGCAGTACATTGCAAATCACTTCATCGCGGCGAGGAAAGGCGACATTTTCATTAAAAAATGGTGAGTGGAACAACATCTAGATCAACAAGTTTTAGCTCACGCAATCCAGGCATGAACTTTTCGTCCACCTCTGGAAGGGCCGGAAAGACTTCACGGGTGTACTTCAGTCCCCCTTGATCGCGTTTATCCAGGACTTCAAGTTCGGCCAAGCAGAAGACCGGAACTTCAAGTGGGACTTCAAGGTCGACGAGGCAACGGCTCTCGGATACATCGGGCAGTGCGTGGCCTGGATCCGACTGACATGGTTGCAGGAGCCGGATGGAGGCTTTGACGGCGTCGACTACTGGGCTAAAAAGGTTCTACTGTTCGATGCCGGACAGGAAGACTGGGCTGCCGAGCAGCTTTTGGGTTACAAAGGCGAGGATCTGTTCAAGGTGTTGACTACGAAAAGAGATGCTGATGCAGAAAGCGAGGAGTTCAAGAAGGCCGAAGAGACTATTTGGCGACTGTTGACAAAGAGCTCCCTTCAGAAGATAACGCACGGAAAAGGACTAACGCACTCGGTTCACTGCGGTGTTCTTATGGACTTACCGGAGAACGAGGGAAGCGATCAACAGCCGGAGACTTTTGCAGAGTTGTTGCGGTTTGGAAGTGTGCATTTCGAGCAGACCAGGGAGAGTGTTGTTTATGTTGATCCGATTATGGTAGATCCTCAGCTCGTCATCCGTAAAGGCTTCTTGGAAGCTTGAGCTAGACACTCATGGGAACCACACACCGAAGATAGCATAAGAAATGAGTTCGGGGTATCTATGTACCAGAAAGCGTACCCAGCTGTGATTATGCGTCTTTCAGATGCTCCTGGAAGAACTCTTTGACTTGTGCATTTGCGCCGCCCAAATGATGTCGCGGAAGACCCAAAACCTTCAGACCCTGCAGTGAACGTGCTCTACTAACTAAAAGCACCATCAGCCTAAGGAACACTACGCCACACAACACAACAACAGACTTACGAGCAACGTATATTTGACTTGATTCGAATGATCTGGAAAGGTCTACGACGACTCGATCGAGCGTCATACCCTAATCGTAAATATCAGCAGCTGATGAAGAATTAGAGGATTGGCCCGCACCTGAGCTTTGTGCACAGTAATTGCATAGCCTGCCATCAAGGGGATCTGCGTTCGCGAAATCACGCTGTACGGCTTTTTGGTCCCAAATTCGGTGACCATACAATCAGGAATTATAAGTGATTCCAAGCCATTATCGAACTTAACCCGCGGCCATAGCGGATATCCGTTCTCGGCAGCGAATATCTTGATTTGATCCTCACGATATTGTGCGTGGGAGCCTGAGAGGGAGAGCTGACTTTCAAAACTGTCTGTGATTTCTTCATCGTTTGGATCATGTAACGTGAGGGATTTACCCTCGGACTTTGGATCTTGTAACGGGAGGTATGGCCCGAATCCTACGATGGTGCCTTGCGCGCCGTTGACCAGACCGGAGCGCGGGGCCAGATTTTGTTGCAGCACAACTCGTTGACCTTTCTTCAACTGAAGTTTTGCCTCATAACGATACTCTTTCTGTAGGGTTGGACTTAGTACGAGGCTTTCGGTATGAGGCTTCTTGGCCACAGCGGCCAACTTACAAGGAAATGCAACGTGCCGTCATCAGCTCTCTTAGTATACTTTTCTAGACTCTGTTGATCTCGGTGGTGTATCTTCAAGTCATAATTGTCGCCACTTGTGAAGAAGTATGGTTCTGAAGGAAGCTGAGCGATATTCTTGTTGTTTATACGATCGACATCCTCGCGTCTTGGAAATATCTCAATAGCCTTCTCTGTTTCAGACGGGTGATTTAAAAGAATAGCTGCGTCGGCATCTGTGATGCTGCCATCTGGTTGCAGTCAGTTGTATGTCCTTCCAACATGCCATGTTAAACAACCCATCCCCCTGTATTGCTAATATCGGTCTGCGCGAATACCTCCAGGTGTACGAAGAATGTGCGGCCACGTACTAAGTCGGATTCTCTGTAGAATTCCAATAAACTCCTCATCATTTTGTCGGTGAATCTGTGTGAGTTTGACGTGTTTGAAATTACATTCCTGATTTCGTAAGCACTTGAGCTATAAAACGTGTTCCAACCCGAAGCTTCACACTTACCTTCCACGCCCGGCTGCGGAAAGCCCACTTGTCGATATCGTAAAAGACTTGCCCACAATAATAGTCTTCACATTTGTACTCTGTCGGTTTCCAATGAGTGTCTGGAACAAGTGACCCGCCGCACAGACAGTTCTGAAAGGGCTTTACAGGTGACAGCTGGGCAAACTACTCGTGTCAGCCAACATGTTCCCAATGCAATGTTGTGAAACTGACGTCTCCAGTGACAACAACTTGAACATCACCAAAAGGAGGACCACCGCGCTTGTACCCTCTTGATGATTTCATTATTTCGGACAAGCGTTCGAAGAAATGATTTTCAATCATGCTTATTTCATCGATAACTAGTACGTCGGTGTCGTTGAACTTCGTTCGAAACTCCTCTTTACGGGCATTCCTTGCTAACTTCTTCAACGGTTGTTTCAGACTGCTAGGTGTCCATCCAGCAAAAGCCCAGGTCGTCTGACCATTGACTTGTAGGGCAGCAAGATTAGTCGGTGCTACGATTTGAACACTCTTTCCCCTCTCTTTCAACTTCTCGACAAAAGTTTTAAGAATCGCTGACTTGCCACTTCCAGCAGAACCTGTATAGAAGACATTATGACCCTCAAGGATAAGGTCGACGACTCTCTGCTGTTCAGGAACAAGCGTTAGTTGGGATCCTCCACGAATACCATACTCCTCTCGTGCTGCTGGAGATAGCTTCACATGCCTAACAGGTGTGGACGAGATGGATATGGATGCGTTATGTTTCGCTGGTCCTGGTGCTTGGGCGGAGGGTTGTGCAATATGAGACGATTGCAATGATACAGTCGAGGATACTTTGGTATGCCCGTTGAACTGGCTAGATCTGGGATTGTACTGCGCTGGTTGTGTCGTTTCATATGTCTCGGCTAGACGCGACCTGTGATGTTCTTTGAAGTTATCCAAGGCCTCTAGCATACTCGTGAATTTTTTATACTTCGAATCAGGGTAACCAGTGACTTGTTTTTTCGCAGTGTGCCAATCGGTATAGATACCTGGTTCATGACCAGCAATGATCGCGTAGTATTTCGGCTTCTCACTCTTTGAAGGTGGACCCCTCAAGAGTGCATTTGCTTCATCTTCTGGAGAGAAGTGGGTGAGCTTCGATTGCGGCACTATGTCTGGCTCTGGCTCCGGGTTCGATGATGTTTCCAAAGAAGAGTCTTGTGTTTCTTGGAGAAGTGTATCATGGTAATCCTGATGCAAGTCTGCCGTCGATGATTCGTAACGCGTAGGGCGATATGTCCCGAAGGCCCTTCTCTTGTCTGGTTTTTGACCTCTTTCGTCCTGCACAATTGACACATCTCGCCATCTCGACTGATAGAGTTTTGTCTTCAAGACGCGAGACCTAAAGACGATTGTCCGAGCGGAGAGATGCATGGGTGATTGTGAATGACAAAGTTGGTGTGCGTCCACTCTCGCGATAGACGCTACGGAGATAAGAAAGGACTTATAAGCACTAGCGCGATTAGGAGCTCTTGATTACAATGTCGCGTACGCCCCATATTTGCGGGTGGCCGTTGAGAGCTGATAGCAAGAGCTACTTAAGTTGGACCTTGCAGGAAGTCTAGTTCGCGCCGTCTGAACCTACATTCTAGCGTTGCATACATCCAACCTACAAGGCCATGACCTCACCCGTCTCACAGCCCTCGGAAACATCACCACTTCTGACAACTCCGGATCGAGGCGCACTACCAGTCAGCGTAAATAATGGCATTATATCAGAAGAAAACATCGACGGAGGAGACATTGAACGACAGGACAGCAATGGAGATAGCTTCAAACACCAAGGCATGCCTGAGGTCAGGGCGCGTATGAAGTACATCTTCCCAGCAATTGCTATCGGTGTAAGGACACTCCCCACCTTGTTATTTAGCACAGACTAGAGCTAATCTGTTTATTTCAAGGTCTTCCTCTCAGCCGCCGACCAAACCCTCGTCGTCACCACCTATGGAATCATAGGCACCGACCTCCACGCCCTGTCCTCGACCTCCTGGATAGCAACCGGCTACTTCCTCACCCTCTCTGCGTTCCAGCCCGTCTACGGCAAGCTTAGCGACATATTCGGTCGCAAGAAATGTCTCCTCTTCGCCTACCTTATCTTCGGCATCGGGTCGACGTTCTGCGGTCTCGCGCGAACTATGGGCGAGCTGATAGCTGCGAGGGCATTTGCTGGCGTAGGAGGTGGGGGCATGACGGTCGTAACCAGCATACTAATGAGCGACGTGTTGAGCCTGAGAGAACGAGGCACGTGGCAAGGGTACATCAATGTGGTGTATGCGAGTGGTGCCGCTGCTGGGGCACCGCTTGGGGGCTTGCTGGCTGACAGCATTGGATGGCGGTGGACCTTTCTCGCCCAGGGGCCGCTTTGCATGCTAGCCTTCATCGCTGTTGCCCTGGTACTTGATCTCCCGAAACAAGACCATTCAGACTGGAAGACCAACGTCCGCAAGATCGACTTCCTGGGCGCCGCCATCCTCATCGTCGCCATCGCTGGCCTGCTTATTGGTTTAGACCGAGGGTCGAACGTGTCGTGGAGCAATCCGCTTACCATCGCCGGACTTTGTACCACCCCATTATTTGGAATCTTCATTCTGGTCGAAAAGTACTTCGCCAGCCACCCTTTTGCGCCAGGACGGATCATCTTCAACAAAACACTCTTCGCGTGCTATCTCTGCAACTTCTTCAGTTTTGGAGGCTACCTTGCAGTCTTGTTCTTCATCCCACTGTATTGGCAAGTCATCGGAGACTACCGTGCCTCTCAAGCGGGAGCCTTACTCGTCCCATGTATCATCTGCGGCGTTAGCGGATCGCTCTTCGGCGGCTTCTACATGAAGCGCACAGCAAAATATTACTGGATCACAGTGATTGCGTACTCGAATCTGACCGTAGGCCTGACACTGATTCTTCTCTTTGCTGGAACCATCACCAAGAACTTGCCACTCATGGTCGTGGGTACGTGTATATGTTCTTTTTCAAACGGAATCGGGGTGACTACAACACTCATCGGACTGAGTAAGTTATCCCAACCAAACCCAATGTACCCCTCTAATCTAAACACCAGTCGCAAACGCATCCCATACCGACCAAGCCGTAGCTACAGCTTGCAGCTACCTCTTTCGCTCCCTGGGCTCCGTCTTCGGTATCTCCATGTGCGCAACGGCCTTCAATCAAACATTGCGCAAGTCTTTGCAATCTGCCCTCAATGGCGACAAGGACGCCGAGGAGATTGCTGAGCGTGTTCGAGCCAGCCTGTCGTACTTCAAGAGTCTGGAACCTCATCTCAAAGAGATCGTGAAAGAGTGTTACGGTGACGCTACAAGGGCCGCGTTGGGCGTCAGCATCGTATTGGTAGCTGGAAGTTCGTTCTTTGCTTGGTTCATCAAAGAGAAAAGACTGGAGAGATGATGAAGCAATTGTGGGATGGGATGGAAAGCCATTTTGTTGTATTTTGATGTCTAGACAGGCTCGGGTGTCTAGGCTGAAACCTTCACCGTCCCTTTTTCATTCCTGCTAGAATCTCAACAACCTGCGGTAGAAGCTGTTCCACATTCTCCGAACACCTGACCGCCTCCCTCCCTGTGTTGCGCTCTGTCACATCAGGGAAGAACGCTTCCTCGCCCCGCACACCACCTATATTCAAAATACCAATTGGCGTGTTCTGCTCTTTCGCTTTCTTGACCAATCTCCACGCCGAATACGTCGCGAGACTACTCCCAATGACCAAAATCCTCGACGCCTCATCAACAGCCTTCTCAGCAGTAGCCTTTGTCTCTGCAGGAATACTCTCGCCAAACATAATGACAGCAGGTTTCAACACACCACCCTCGCTATCCGGTGACCACGCCCCATCCTTGTCAACCTGCACCTTCACAGTCCCTCCGCCCGGTTTGCTAGGCGGCTTCTTCAAGCACACCGGACACGCGGGATATCTGAAAGTAGTGTATGGGGCATCGGGTACGTCGACGTCGCCGTCTGGATTGGCTTTGTAACCTCTTTTGCGCCGCTCCTCTGGATTCTCCGTGTCCAGGGCACCGGAGGCGAGCATTTCTTCGAGGAAGACGGCCCATGCGGGGTTCAGGGTTGCGAGCTGTTTCTGGAACGCGGGACGGGGGTATTCGTTGCGACATGTTATGCAGACGAGGGAGCGGAGGTAGCCGTGGAGTTCGGTGGTGGGGAGATGTGGGTGTGCGGTTGGGTGGAAGGAGTCAACATCTGTATGCCTATTAGCCTTGAATTCGTAGCATGTTGTTCATTATGCATTCTCGAGGGAGAATATGCATACTTTGCGTGATGACCTCCCCGACAACACCCATCCGTCCCAACTCCGCACAAGCCGCATGCGCCCTATTCGGGCTCGCCTTATCCAGATTCGTCCACCCTAGGAAACTCCTCGCCCAGTACCTCTTCCTCGCCTCATGGCTCGCGCAAAACTCGTTGTAGAACACGGGCTTGTACGTCTTGTTCAGCGTATACGTCCCATTCGCGCCACGATAATCCGCTAAGCCAGACGCCACCGAGATGCCCGCCCCGGTAAGCAGGAGCGTCTTGCCATTTCCATCTCGTCGCTGCAACGATGACGCGAATCGTGAAGTACTACTGTTCGATGTGGGTAACGAGGGCGATAGAAATTCCACCAACGCGGCAATGGCACCGCTCGCTGTGGTGGCGCTCGCAGGGATTATCTTCGGAAGAGGGAGAGGGTCCGTGTAGGGGATGCGGAGGAGAGGCATTGCGCGCATGTACAGGTTTCTGCTTGCGAGTCCATGGTTGTCGTGTTTGGGGAGTGGAGACGCGGTGAGGTTTGGCGGTTTGGTGGTTATGTCATTATGCTTTCTAGCGCGGACAATGGCTTGCTAACCGAACGGGTTTAGCTGCGATCGTGCCTATTTTGGATGTTTGCAAAATAGATGGCAGATGCAGATGTTTTATCGATATCCAAGATACGGTGTTGCTGACTCGAGTGGGGTAAGGATACTGGGGGGCTGTGTGCATGCTTGAAACTATGGTTTACAAGTCGTGCAACCACAATGACTATTGAGGAGGGATGGAGAATGTGCGCGCGGGAAGTGGTAAGTTTGGTGCGTGTAAGGCTGTCCTATACCTATGGAATTTCCAGGTCTGTATTCCATACTTCTATCTGCTATGAGTCCAGCGTTCAATCCGAGCCAAAACAGACCACAGCACTGTGTCTGATCACACCTCAAGGCACCATAATGTTGTTCGAACTCAATTGCCAATCGCGATTTCGCGTACAGCAAAAATCCTGGAGCCTTTCTCAGGTTTACAAGAAGTGCACAATGAGATAAGATGTGTGATATTTGTAAATCATCAATGCTATGCTATGTTGCATGTAACGCCTTGATCATAGACCGAAAGCGTGACGCTCGAGTTGAAGATCGTAAGAATGCCTAAATCATTCCTAACCTCACTGTGCTTCGTCGCCACGTCTGGTCAGTGCTTCTTCATGACAGGAAAATGAGCGCTTCATATGTAAGTCCAAGTACAGTCCTGGATAGTGAGATAGAAATAAACGGGGAATAGAATGAAAACTGTTTTATGTAGGTCGGTGATCGAAAAAAAGATAATACAAAATGCCGCTATTGAAGAAAATGCCGAAGGTGCATGAGGGTTCGTAAGGATCGTAGCGTGGAGACGCTGAATGGGAACGAGGTCGAAAGAGTTATCGAAGGGTGTAAAAGACGAGGTTGTTGCTCATTGTTGTTGATCAATGTGGCGAGAGGGATGTTGGGTCGGATGCAGCATAGACTGGATGCTGGGAACGCGTTGCTGGTTTTGAGGATAGCTTTCAGGGAATTGGTTGTAGTGTGTTTCGGACGCAGTGGGATTGTCCGCGTGAATATCCTCCGATTCTTCATCGAGGTCAGAAATGCCTATTCCACTGTCACCGCAGTGATCGGTGTAGGTAATACCCTGTTTCTTTTGCGCCGACCGGTGCGCCTGCTGAAGATTCTTGAAGCCCTTCTCCATGCACTAAGATGTGTGTTAGTCAAAATAATGGACAAATAGATACAGTGAGTGACATACCTTTGTCTCAACTAGCTGCCACTTCTCTCCGACTCGAGTAGCGAGTATACTCCACATCTCTCGTCGGACTTCCATATATGCTTGCGCCAGAACGTCTAGCTTGACGCCATCCCATTGTTCAGCATTCTGCCTTTCCATCAACCGCTCATGCCTCTTTCGGCAGGCATTGGGTGATTTGGTGGGAAAGTGTTTCGGTGCAATCTGATTCCAGTTGAGACCTTGGGCTCGAGCTTGGATGAGAGTCTCATCATCTTTTGTTGCCCATGAGGAGATACGAACGCTTCCTCCTGCTGCTGATGCGGTCGAAGCAGAGACGGAATGGCGATGCGACGAAGAGGCCTTTTCGATTTTAGGCATGTTGATCAATAAAGAAAGAGACGTGAGATGTGACAGAACAATCGAGCTAGAGATAGAGCGGAATGTGATGACAGATGGAGATTTGACTGATGAAAGCAACCGTGATACGTATTAAGATTACGGTAGTGAAGGATGTAGAGCGAATGTGAGAGAGTAAGAACTAAGAGTAGGAGATATTTTGAAACACGAGAATAAAAGAACAGATGTTCGTACCTTAGGCTCTGGGTATCTGAGGTTCTCATCAAGGCCATGACCTTGAGCTTTATAGACAGAGCCGCAGTCTGTACCTGCCTCAAAACAAAGACTAGCGGGCCGATCGGAGAATTGTTTTGAAACCAAGTGTTGTTTCTATAATCGCCAGACTGGTGTCCGCTTTACTCAAATGGGCATGTGCAACTAGGCGAAGAGGAGGCTCTTCACTTGCCCATCACTCCAAGCGCTACCAGAGGGGGCAGGTTAAGCCTAAAACTGGCCGTCTGAGCGGTCGAGGCGGCGGCAGGAGTCGCTTCTTCTCCACATCAAGCATAGGCTATCTGCAACGGAAGCGCCTGTTTGAGGATGCTCCCTGTGCCTCCCGTTGCGGCAGTGTCTAAGAATACCATTGTGGAGCAGAGGGCGGCTAAGGTAGCCGCCCAGATCGACGCTGATACGACGAACGAGACCCTAGGGCCAAATAAAGATCACCTTGGCAGGCACACAAGGGTAGAGACACTCCCTTCTTGAACTCCTGGAGAGCGCTGTAGTCATCAATAATGTGTAGGGCTTAGATCTGCAGATGCAGACGGTTGCATGCAGCGAAGTAACTGAAATATCGATAAGATGGTCTTGGCAGCACGAAAGCTTAAACTGAAACGAGTTTGAAAAATTTGCGATGAGGGCATAAAGAGAGGTCGTGGTGTGGTCTGCGGACGGACCGCGAGGCGCCTTGCTTGAGCGGCGTGTTGGTGTTTCAAAACAAACATGGCAGCGGCTGTTGAGATCTCCAGTTCTCCGCTACGGCAACTCGGCTGGGCACTCCGGGGCACGAGCTTCGCCCCCACGAACCGCCTACGAACCTACGAACCGCTCCCAGTTTTGGTCCCGGCCACTGATGAGTAGGTCGGTATCTTTACCATCTCACCAAACCTTCAAACCTCCGACTGGTGACTATTATGGTCGCTTATGCTAATCCAATCTAGGCAACAAGAAACGGCCAGGCTATGGACGAAAGGAACATGAGCGTTGCGATGGGATGCAAGATTGGTAGAAGGATTTCTCAAATCGGGCGATAACCGTTGCGGCACAGAACACCAGTTCTATTGCTGTCGCGGGCCGTTGTGCATAGCCCCAGCGCAGCCTCAACGCTCGACATTCGGATGATAAAATCAGCCTTACTATACGGCAACCCAGCACATCTGTAGGATGGATGGGACTTCAACAATGCGGTCCATCGCGAAAATTTTGTGATGCATTCGGCTCGACCACAACTCGGCCATCAAGCTGCCACTGTACTGACGCATTCAATACGTAGATCCCATCAATCTTTTGAATACGAAGTGGACATACTGGAAAATCACATTGGTCTTTCCGATCCGTCAATAATAGTAGCAAATATACTGCTAATTGCACGAAAACCGCTTCAATTTGTCTCATAGTCTTAGAAATCGTGTAAATTAGCGGCCAGAGGAACGTCGCGAGAATATCGCTAACTTCAAAGGCGGAAAGAAAGAGGAATCCTTGCTTTGACAGGTGCCTCATCTACCCCGGTCCATATCGACGTCTTCATATACCTTAATCGTCACAAATCGTTTTGCCCAGACAGAGCATGAAGCGACTTGCAGCAGCATTTATAGTTTACGTGGACCCCAAAGGCTTCTTCGCAACCGATGTAGCTGAATACATAAAAACTCACGCATGACCGACGAACCGGATTACTACATCCAGGAGCAATGCCCGTTTTCGGTTCGCTATTACGGCAGGCACCATGTCGTGACCCCAGCTAGTCTTGGTTTTTTTATTGGACACCCCTTGGGTTGTTCACTTCTGTCACCTGGCTGTTCATACTTACTCAATTGTAATATCACTAGATATAGCATGAAAACGGCAGAAAAGCCTTGGAAAGCCAGGGTCGCGAGGCGTGGCAAAGTAAGGGGTATATAATGATGCTGTCCGTAAGTTCAGCGTCCAGTCAATCCATTTCTTGTGGTTACTTATTCTCCAAGCTTGTTTCTTGCGTTTGCCAGTCTCTCTTTACCATGTTTTTATTCGTCATTCTTTCCCTTTCATCTTTCGCATCGAGCGCGGTGATCGAACAACGAGATGCTGTGCCCGCAGGATATGTCACGCCACCATATTATCCTGGTGAGTCTGGCGAAGGACGATTGATTTCGCATCGCTGACCGTAGCTACCCCAGCTCCACATGGAGGATGGGTGTCGGACTGGAGCGAGAGTTATCGAAAGGCATCCTTACTAGTTTCAAACATGACACTCGCCGAGAAAACAAATCTTACAGCAGGAACGGGGATATTCATGGGACGCTGTGTCGGCAACACAGGTTCTGCTTTGAGAGTTGGCATCCCTCAGCTATGCTTACAGGATGGGCCTTTGGGAGTTCGAGCCACCGATCATAACACTGCGTTTCCGGCGGGCATTACTACCGGCGCTACGTGGGATAAAGACCTCATATATCGACGTGGCGTTGCTATTGGCGAAGAGTTTCGAGGGAAGGGTGTCAACGTCCATTTGGGACCGGCAGTAGGTCCTTTAGGAAGAAAGCCTCGGGGCGGCAGAAGTAAGTGACAATTTCCTCGACTTTCGGTTTGAATGACTTACGAGTGTTGTAGATTGGGAGAGCTTTGGTTCGGATCCCGTCCTACAGGCCTTTGGCGGTGCTCGCACCATCGAAGGTATTCAGAGTATTGGAGTCATCGCGACTATCAAACATTTGATCGCTAACGAGCAGGAAACATACCGGATGTACAGTCTCGTCAAACAAGGTATATCTTCCAATGTGGATGACAGAACACTCCATGAACTCTACCTGTGGCCCTTCGCTGAAGGCATACGTTCCGGTGTTGGTTCGGTCATGGTATCATACAACGCTGTAAGACACGCTCTATGGAAGTCCAATCTCAGATGGTAGTTGTCTAACGCGCATAGATCAATGGCACAGCCTCCTCACAGAACAGTTACTTGATCAATGGTATTGTGAAAGACGAGCTCGGTTTCCAAGGCTTCGTCGTGACGGATTGGCTTGCCCAAATTTCAGGCGTCCAATCAGCATTAGCTGGACTCGATATGTCAATGCCAGGCGACATCAACGAGATTCCGCTTTTGGGCTTCTCATACTGGATGTATGAACAAACCCGATCCGTGTTGAACGGATCTCTTCCTGTGGATCGTCTAAATGACGCAGTAACTCGCATACTTGCAACATACTTCCAGTTGGGGCAAGACCAGGATTACCCCCGTCCGAACTTTGACTACAACACTCAAGATGCGGAAGGACCGCTTTACCCTGGGGCACTCTTCTCTCCTCGAGGTATCGTCAACGAGTTCGTGAACGTGCAGGCTGATCATGCCACGGTGGCCCGCGAGGTGGCCCGCGATGCTATTACGCTACTGAAGAACAACGATGAGATCCTGCCTCTGTCTTCGAGCGCAGTGTTGAAGGTCTTCGGTACAGACGCTGAGAAGAACTCGGACGGCATCAACTCATGTACCGATAGAGGCTGCAATAAGGGGACTCTCGGTATGGGCTGGGGTAAGTTTTCCATTCGCGAAATTGGACTGGCGCGCGAATATTAACGCTGAAAATCAACAGGGAGCGGAAGTGCCAATTATCCCTATATGAACTCTCCAATCGATGGATTCAAAGCGCGTAGTGCGAATTATTCGTTCTTCAACACCGACTCTTTCCCCTCCAGCTCGAACCCATCCCCCAATGACACAGCCGTTGTGTTTGTCAGTGCGGATTCAGGGGAAAACTATATCACAGTAGAAAACAACCCGGGAGATCGAACAAGCTCAAATCTCAATTTATGGCACAACGGAGACAAATTAATCAGAGATGTGGCTGCGAAATACGCAAACGTGGTCGTGGTCGTACATGCCGTGGGCCCGATTCTTATGGAGGAGTGGCACAATTTGCCTTCGGTCAAAGCGGTTCTGTTTGCCCATCTTCCGGGTCAGGAGGCGGGAGACTCTCTGATGGACGTTCTCTTTGGAGACGTCTCTCCATCTGGTTACCTCCCGTACACACTTCCAAAATCTGAAGACGATTACCCGGACTCGGTGAGCCTTATCGGATACCAGATAGGGCAGCCGCAAGACACGTTCACAGAAGGTCTGTACATCGACTACAGACACTTCCACAGGGCCAACATCACACCCAGATATGCTTTCGGACACGGTCTGAGCTACACGACCTTCTCCTTCTCGGGTGCTACTATCACCGCTGTCACACCACTTGCCGCATCACCACCAACTCGTGCAGCAAAGGGCCCAACGCCCGCCTACTCAACTGCCATTCCTCCAGCATCAGAGGCCTACTGGCCAGCAAATTTCGACCGCATCTGGCGATATCTATACTCGTGGCTCGAAAAGAGTGATGCTGATAAGGCTGCAGCGGACGCAACTTCGTCAACCAAATATCCGTACCCTCAAGGCTACTCAAACGAGCAAAAACCCGGACCTGCATCCGGAGGCGCTCAAGGAGGCAACCCCGCGCTCTTCGACGTCGCGTATACAGTATCAGTCGTGGTCACCAACACTGGAAATCGTCCCGGCAAAGCGGTCGCACAGCTCTATGTGCAATTTCCCAGCGCGCAGACTGTCGATACGCCGATCATCCAGTTACGAGACTTTGAGAAAACGAGCGTGTTGGAGCCTGGGGCGAGCCAGACGCTGAGTCTGAGAGTCACCAGGAAGGATCTGAGTGTCTGGGACACGACGTCTCAGAATTGGGTGGTTCCTGCTGTTGGTGGTGATTATGGGATTTGGATCGGCGCGAGTTCCGATGCTTTGTATTTGAGATGTGGGACGGTGAGTGAAAGTTGCGTCGAGGATCAGGAGAGTCCTGTTTAGTGAGAGCCCTGTTTAGTATCGTGCTGTTTGGTAATCTTAATAAAAACGTATGGCGGTATTGTGAAAGTATGGCCTCTGCTCTAACATTCACAACCTGAGAAGATGTATTTTCCCACGTGTTTTGCAAACACGCATGATAGTGACGTCGAGTCAGGACATGCGCGGTGTTGCCAAACTGGAGGAAATGCGGGAGATTGCTGGGTCCGAGCGTGTGGATCTCAATTGCTACTCGCCCCCCTACTCGGCCAAACGTAGTTACGTGCGTTGCTACCGGTGCTATCGGGGACCGGAGCCTGTAACTTATGTAATAACCCGACTGGGCGCGAATAGTAAATTGTGGAGGTGTGGTGTTGCTACTGCCGACCTCCATCTCGACCACCACGCTATACATATACTCGCTGCACCCCGCCATTGTACGAGGCGCTCACCTATTCTCACATTTACGTCTCTCGCCGTGCCATTGACATACGTTGCACAACGTCTTCGCAGCTGTCAAACATTCGTCTCTCCACCGCCGACTCCTTGAACTTCTGCCAATATGCCGAGCCCTGCAAGCATACTCTACTATGTCACCCACCCCAATGAGCTACGTTCCATCATTCAATGGTAAGAAAAGCCACGCGTGCAATCTTTCCAAGTTCGCCTGCGCCTTTGTTTGCTCTGCACTTGGCTGACGTTGCGCATAGGAAAGTTTGGCACAACGCGGTGCACGAGCGCGATGAGTCCAAGGAATGCGAGTCCCTCAAGCGATGCTTCTTCTTCCTCGACATGACGAGTCGCAGTTTCGCCGCCGTCATCAAGGAGCTGCACCCCGAGCTCCTCGTCCCTGTTGCGCTTTTCTACCTGGTCCTGCGCGGCCTCGACACAGTGGAGGATGACATGACACTACCGCTGGAGAAGAAGGAGCCCATTCTACGAAACTTCCATGAAATTCTGGATCAGGAGGGGTGGACGTTCAATGACAACGGCGCGAATGAGAAGGACAGGCAGCTCTTGGTTGAGTTCAACGTTGTCATTGAAGAGTTCTCGAAGATCAAGCCGGCCTACAAGGTGATCATCAAAGACATCACCAAGCGCATGGGCAATGGCATGGCAGACTACGCGAACAACGCCGAGCACAACATCCACGGCGTACAGACTGTGAAGGACTACGAGCTATACTGCCACTACGTCGCGGGTCTCGTCGGCGAGGGCTTGACACGTCTGTTCGTCGAAGCCGGTTTGGCCAACGCAGCGTTGTTGAAGAAGCCAGAACTGATGGAATCCATGGGTCAATTCCTTCAGCAAGTCAACATCACTCGTGATATCAAGGAGGATATGGATGACGGACGGCGATTCTGGCCCAAGGAGATCTGGTCTAAGCACGTTGACAACTTTGAGGATCTCTTCAAGCCAGAATACGAGGAGAAGGCCCTGGCCTGCAGTTCAGAGATGATTCTCACGGCTCTGACGAGGGCTGACGACTGTTTATACTATCTTGCTGGACTTCGGGAACAGAGTGTCTTCAACTTCTGTGCTATCCCACAATCCATGGCCATAGCTACACTGGAAGCCTGCTTCCAGAACCCCAACCTCTTCAAGAAAGTTGTAAAGATCACCAAGGGCAGCGCTTGCCAGTTAATGCTCGAATCATCCCAGAACCTTCAATTGGTCTGCGAAATCTTCCGGAAATACGCTCGCAAGATTAGCAAGAAGAACAACCCACATGACCCGAACTTTCTGCAGATCAGTATCACATTGGGGAGGGTGAGTAGCAACAATCGTTTATGTAGAGTATCCGCTAACACTCGTGTAGATTGAGCAGTTCATCGAGTCCATATTCCCATCGCAGAAGCCACCTGTCGACGTCAAGTCACCCGCCAGCGTAGAGGAAGCCGAGAAGAAACAGAGGGAAGACAACGAGGCCAAGTGGGATATAATCTATATGATCACAGCAGTGGCGCTCACTGTACTCCTTATCTCATCTTTGATGGTATGTTCAGACCCAACTAACTATCTCACAATGCTTACATCTCACCAGATCTTTGTCGCCTGGATGGCCGGTGCTCGCTTCGATATTGCTTACTACCAAGGCAAGGAATCACTCCGCCAGCTTTTTGGTAGTGTTCCAAAAGAAATCACAGAGGTGAAGGTGGCAGTTGATCACAGCGAGCTATGAGTTTGACGACACTATTCTTCATGTTCATATTTATCCTAATTGGAACTATTCCTTTGTTATGTGCAAGGAAAGTATATTGGGAGTTCTAATTTAATCATTCTGCATGAAACCTGGGTCGGTTCTCTCTACTTATCTTGTAATCGCATAGCACGGATGTCAAATTCCAACTCCGCCCTCCCATGGCTGTAGTTGGGCCGAGAAGTGCTTACATCGAATCGTGCCTTGCTCGGCGACGAGGCTGCTCTGAGACTGCTCTCCACTTGGGGGTTACAACTTAGAGCAGTGGCACGAACATTCCCTTGCAAAACCATAGCTGCGTTGAATACAACCCTTCTTCGTGATGTCGTGCCTGACGCAAGATTTTTGGAGACAGTGGTGAGACAACCCCTTCCTTACTAAGCTGCGTGCCTGCCAAGGCGTTTCTGTGTCGTTCAGAGCACCTCCATTTTTCGCTTGGAGACAAGAGAAGCCGCCAGACACAGCCCCTCGCGACCACCCCACCAGACCATTATCCTTTCCACAACCCGCGTCGATCCAGACAGAGCAGCCCCGCGACTGCTCCCCCGCCTTCTCTCTCTCACCATCGCCCGGCGCGACTTGAAGAGCCCCTCCCCCACGCCAGACTCACACCCCAACAACCTCTCGCACCTCCACACACAACCACACACACTCTCCCACGACTTTACCTCGACTACGTAACCCCGCGTCTTCTCCACTCGAATTTCACACATACTCACAATGGCCGACGTCGCTACTGCACCGAATCCTCAGGAGCCAGTCCCGCTCGACACAATCCCCATCTCGCCAGTGGGCGACTCAAGCGAGGGCACACAGGAAAAGTCGTCCACCAGCGACTCCACAGCCGAAGGCGATGTCCGCACCGTCTTCCACGACCCCGAGAACTTCAACGTCAAGCACCCTCTCATGAACACATGGACGTTGTGGTTCACCAAGCCTCCTAGCGGCAAGGTGCGTTCTGGCCTTTCGGTGTCAACTTCTGGACTTACTAACAGTCATAGGGCGACAATTGGGCCGAGCTACTGAAGGAAGTCATCTCATTCGATTCCGTTGAGGAGTTCTGGGGTATCTACGTATGTCGCCATGGGCAGCGGCCTGGAAAACATAGGCTAACCATGTCCGCAGAACAACATTACGCCAACATCGGACCTGGCGCTCAAGTCCGACTACCATCTCTTCAAGAGGGGTGTGCGACCTGAGTGGGAAGACTCACAGAACAAGCATGGTGGCAAGTGGGCGTTCCAGTTCAAGGACAAGAAGGCCATCAACATCGATGCCCTCTGGCTTCACGTCATGCTGGCGGCCATCGGCGAGAACCTCGAGGATGAGGAGGACAACGAGGTCATGGGTGTTGTCGTGAACGTCAGGCGAGGCTTCTACCGTATCGGTCTCTGGACCCGAACAGTCGGCCGTGCGGCCAACGGCGAGGGCAAGAGCAGGACGACGGAGCAGGGCAAGGCTGCTCTCGAGAAAATTGGAAAGCGCTTCAAGCAGGCTCTCCAACTCAAGGACAACGACGTTGTCGAGTTCTCTGGCCACACTGATGCCGCACATTCTGGCAGCACTCGCGCGAAGGCCAAGTTCACTGTCTAAGACATCGGCTGCACGACTACCCTCACGGGCATGTAGCAAATTGGATGCAGACGAATGGCCTTGCAGTACGTTTTCCCGTCGACCTTGGGCATTATGGTGCGCTCCATGACTTGGATCGAGTCGATTTATTTAGTCCCTGGTTGGGCCGAAAAGCATTTCATACCGGTACATGATCAAAGATCCTGGTTTCTAGCATGGCGTCTGCATGGGGTGGCGATAGGTCATATTGGGTTTTCTAACATGATTCATCTGGCCATAACGGGTTATACCTGGACTCGGATGGTGGGGTCCTGGGTTTGATAGATCAGCTCTCTTATCTAGCATATCTAGGAAGTAGAGAAGGAATGCGTTTGACAAAGTCTATCTTCTTCACATGTGGAGCCTAGGTGACAGTAGTACAGTTCCACAATATGATTTCCTTTGAAGTGAGCATTGAACGCATTGCTGGAGCCTTCAGGAATGCGGTGACGTACAATTGTGGCTTGCGTGCGTACGTGCACAGCCGCAAATTTCCGTTCCGAAGGCTCCCAACGCGCCCAGCACGAGATATCCCCCTCCATATTTCTTCGCTTCCCCACATCTCTACACGGTAGTCGCAAACCATGCCTGTCGAAACAGGATACTACGACGCCCTGGGCGTGACGCCTACAGCGACCGAGTTGGAAATCAAGAAGGCTTACCGCAAGCTCGCGATTAAACTGCACCCAGGTATGCCGCGCAGTCGCCCTTTGTTAACGACGCAGGAACTGATGATGGCGCAGACAAGAACCCTGGAGATGAGACGGCGCACGCGAAATTTCAAGAAGTACGTCGAGTCTTGCCATGTGGAGGTGGAGGTGTCAGACTGAACTGCGGGGCTCACGTTGTGACAGATTGGCGAGGCATACCAGGTGCTCAGCGACGACCAACTGCGGGCAAACTACGACAAGTATGGCAAAGAGGGCGCGATGCCGAGTAGTGGCTTCGGTATGCACAAACGGTCACACGATCTGAGCGCAGTATGCTGACAATGTCGTAGAGGACCCGTCTGAGTTCTTCACCATGATCTTTGGCGGGGAGGCTTTCATGGACTGGTAGGACTACCTCGTGATATGGCGACTTGTATGTGGAAGACTGACACTCGCAGGATCGGCGAGATCTCGTTGATGAAGGACCTTACCAAGACCATGGAGATCTCTATGCGCGAGATGGAGGAGGAACAGGCTGCCGAGGCCGCTCAGGCTAAAGTCCAGGCCGAATCTTCAGCTTCTGGTGCTGCAGGCCAAACGACTGGCACGACTGGCACGACTGCTACAGACATCCCGACCGATGCCCAATCACCGAGTGCTGCCGCCAAAGCCAAGGAGGCTGAAGCTGAAGCAGAGCGTGCAAATGCTCATACGGCAGATGCCCCGCCAGTCTATGGTGCACCACCACCTGTGTATGCGGAGACCGCTGCAGAGCCACCCTCCGTACCAGGGACCGCTTCGCCCGCGGGCCCAAGGACGCCGAAAACCCGTGGCCCCGTACCAATTCGAGCTGCTATCATGGACAAGTCGGAGGAAGACGCACGCATGGAGGCAGCAGGCATGACCGACGCAGAGAAAGAGCTGCGTGAGAAGCAGAAGAAGAAGGCTGGCTTGACCAAAGAGCAGCGGGAAGAGCTGGCAGCGTACGAACTGGAGCGTAAGAAGATCCGGGACGAGCGCGTTACCAGCCTCTCCAAGAAACTCATCGAGCGCATTTCCCTCTGGACAGAAACCGACAAAGCCGCCGACGTCACAAAAGCTTTCAAGGACAAGATCCAACTCGAGATTGAGAACCTTAAGATGGAATCTTTCGGAATCGAGATTCTTCATGCTATTGGAACGACATACCTTATGAAGGCTTCCTCGTTTCTCAAGTCCCAGAAGTTCCTCGGCATCTCGGGATTCTTCTCGCGCATCAAGGATAAGGGAACACTGGTCAAGGATACTTGGAGCACTATGAGTGCCGCTATCGACGCCCAGCTTACTATGGAGGAAATGGCCAAGCTGGAAGAAGCAGGCGGCGAGGGGTGGACAGACGAGAAGAAGGCCGAGTACGAGAAGAAAGTCACGGGCAAGATCCTCGCTGCAGCATGGCGGGGCAGCAAGTTCGAGGTCCAGAGCGTGTTGCGCGATGTGTGCGACATTGTACTCAACGATAAGAAGGTTAAGCTAGACAAGCGGGTGGAGAGGGCGCAGGCTCTAGTCATCATCGGAGAGATGTTCCAGAAGGTATGTCCCTTGTTGTTTGTATTCTTCACTATGTACTCAGACACTGACCCTTGAAACCACAGGCAGAGCGCGATCCAGAAGAAGAAGGCGACTTCATGGCCTTTGAACAACTCATGGCCGAAGCCGCAGCCAAGAAGGAAACCAAGCACGAGAAGCACGAGAAGCACCATCACGAGAAAAAGGATAAGAAGAAGGAAAAGGAGAAGGCTTGATTGAGATCCTTTTTACAACTCTCTCAACTCTTTTTGCCGGCCTTTTTTCCTCTCGTAAATCCGTTTATTCGCTTCTTGCTTTTTCTTTATCGTGATATCCATAGATTCTTTCCCTTGTTCTGAAGTTGGTTGGATCGAGTCTGTTTCGGGGGCGAGGTGAGGTGGGTGATTGATGCCTTGTGGGCGGGCGGTTTGGTGGTGGTGGGGATTGAAAGTCAGGAAGGAGGCATAGTGTGTGCGTTTGGGTTTCATTCTGCGTTTGATTGCATAGATGGCGTGACGTGGAAGCGTGGTCGCATTTTTGAAATTCTACATATGAAACTGTGTATTTGTGCCGTGTTCGGTGTTGTAACAGTCTAGGTTGTGATACATGGGTGGTGGATGTGATGAATCTCCTTCTACCTCAGTCACATTCCTTCCCATCCCATCCTAACAGACCACCACGTCTACGTGATGAACCCCGTTCCGTAACAACAAGCAGCCGCCCCGTCAGACTCTGCTGAGAAATTCAAAAACGCCTTTCCCATCCCTGTGCACCGGTTCGCACCGCGATCCCGATCTAAAAAAAAACCCCCAGACTCCCATTCCCCATCTCAAACAGCTCAATCCCCACTACTCAAGGCGCATCCACTCTCGCTCGAGCACGCCCTCTACGCTCATCCACCTCCTCTCCAAGCACCCCAACATCGTCCCCATCGCCTTTCACCCCAACCCCCGCATCCCCATCCACACAACTAACCACAATCCCCGGCACCACTTCCGCCTCCCCCGTACCACCCACCCCCCTCGCCCGCAGCAAAACCCCCAACTCCCGCCCAGGCACCATCTTCAGCTCCTCACTACACGCGCAGCAAATCCGCAACTGGCACCACGTGCAGCTCCACTTGCGGTCCCGATCGTTGACGTGGCAGATCATGCACCCCATGGGCTGGAAGTAGTTGTTGCTCCAGACGGAGTGGCGGTGCGCTGTGTAGCAGGAGAGTTGGTTGGGCGTGATTTGCGGGATGAGCGTTATTGGGAGGGGGAGGGGGTGGCGGGTTAGGGGCGTGAAGGGGAGTGGGGAGTAGGTTGTGGGGGGTTGCGGAGTGGGTTGCGGGGCTTGCCGGGGGGTGGAGGATGAGTGTGTTGGGGCTGTGGAGGGCCAAACGGATGGGCTGGGTGTGGGGGGTGAGACTGTTGTTGTTCTGAGGGTTGGAGTTGGTGAAACGATGGTGGGTGTTTGCAGTTCTTCTGGAGAGGCATGTTGGTCCTCATGCGTCTCTGGCTGCAGAGTTGGGGGCGGCGACATTTCCGGCGTGACAGCCTCGACACTCACTGTTGGGACGGGCGGAGCGGGTCGATGAGCCTGCGTGGGATCGTTAGCAAATTAGTCCGACTTTTACACGGTGGATAGGATAGGTGTGCTGACATTCTCGAATCCACAAAGCTATCGCTTGAGGACAGGCGCAGGGAAAGAAAGCTGGATGTATACCTTCAAGATGTTGAAGCCTGTGCTGCTCTTCCCACGCTGGTGTAGAGGAGAAGAGAGATTGCCGGCGCGAGGGTTGGAAGGAGAACCTGTGTTGGTCAGGGCTTTGCGCGGCGGCGAGGGTGAAACTTTGTCTTCTTCGGGCGGCGTGGGTGGCATTTGTTTGAGTTCCTGGATTTCGCTTTTCTGAGTTCCTTGAACTTTGGTCGATACTTCTTTGGTTCGTGAGGCTTGCGCGTGAGCCCCGTTTCCACCTGCGTTCGAGGTGGTGCGTGTTGCTCTCGGTACAAACGTGGCTGGTGGAGGAGCGCCTTGTCGACCTCGGGGCGCATTTTTCTGCTCAGCAAGATTGACAAACTTTGAGACGTTTGATCCTAGAGACTTGGTCTTGACGAGTGGTGCTGTAGGAGCAATCACAGATGATTCAGTTGCCGTGGATCTCGCCTCGCGTTGGGAGAGAATTGAGTCGTTTCGCTCCAGCTCTCCTGCTCGCCTCGAATGAACAGATCCCATCGTCGAAGTCCCAACACTACTCTTGTTGCTGGGGTGCACTCGTGGTAGCGGTAGTGGCTTCCTGTCGTTGGGCGGCGAAGACCCAAGAATCTTAGTCGGCACTGGATATGCTGGCGTAGGCGGGATGTTCGCAGTAGCTCCGTTGCTAACGGTTAGTTTGAGCGAAGGCGGCTTTGCGCCACGGGACAAACTGCGGGATTCAATCCTCTTGCGTCGATGTCTTACAGGCGAGCCATCAGGAGAGACGGGTGCGTGTTGTTCGTCTGATTGATATTAGCAAACATGTATTCAAAGGATAATTTTGTAAAGCTAGAAATCGCTATCGCTGCCGCTGCCGCTGCCACTATAACAAAGAAAAGAAACAAAGGCGAGGTCGAAGGAAAGTTTCTTAGGATAGGCGGCTCGCTAAGAATGAACGATGCGGTGAAGATGAAGGTGAGACTTGTTTTAAGCGAGCGATCGTGCAGTATCATGATTCACATTGCCAACGGTTCAAACTAGCCCTTCCTAGCAAGAAGATTCGGAATAAATTGCTTACCTCGCAAAGGAAACTGCATGCCCATGCGATGGGCTGGGCTGCCGACCGTTGGCGGCGTCTTATCTTTTGGACTGTCCGATTGTGGTGGAGCCGGAAGTTCCTTGGATGCCGGCATGAGAGGATGCTCGTAGGCATCGAACGAGTGGCTATACTCATCCAATAACGCGCTGACAACGTCTTGTCGTGGCGATGTTTGAGACAGTCCAAGGGTCTGCTGGGTGATAACTTCGGTCATAGTGTTGTTGACGAATGGAAGCGTTTATACAAAAAAAAAAGGGTGAGAGTGTGTAGAGAATATAGAGTGGTACCGGCCAAACGAATGTAGATAGCGAGCTAGCGCTGAGATGAAAAGAGTGTGGGAGAGAAAGTAAGAAAGCGGATGACCAAGAGATAATTTTTCGACTGCTTCCAGAAGCAATTAATACAGAGAGGAATGAGTTGTGCGAGAGGATGAGATGATAGAAGGGTTACGCATGGTGAGGCCGGCAACGAAAATGGCTGTCTCAGGTACAGATGGAACATGGGCCGGCAGACGGGCACGCCTCGGATCTGTTAAACGCATGAAGTGTTTGGGATCGACTCAAGCTTGTTCCTAGCCAGTCACAACAGGTGGGCAGCGTAAGCCCTGGTGGGGATAGGTTGACCCATGCAGAAACGGAAGAGATGGAGATGAAAGGATGATGTTGCGTCCCACCAGCAGACTTCCGAACCGTGATCATCACAGCGGAAGCATGGACGATCTTTAAAATTTCCAGTCGATAAACTCAATTAGAATCATACTTGAAGATGAAGATGCGAAAGAAAGCGCCATCATGTCTGAGACGATCATTGAGCAAATGCCGAACGAGGAATGATAAGGTCTGGTGGAGCAGTCAAGGGGAATCCCACGCAAGATCATCCGCACGTGACAAAATCCTTCGCACAAGACCACCAACGAAAGAGATTGACTCGAAGATCAAATCTGTCAATGACGTGTAACGTTCGCAGATTGGCGCAACCCTTCTACGCGTGCCTGAAAGTCTACGTGTCTACCCCTGCTAGCTTCAAACAAAGCAACGGACATCACAAAGCGACAAAGGTCCGTGATCGCCAGAAATAGTGGGACACACGAGATGAAGATGATGTATACTTGGGTGGAACACTCTGTTTCGACAACGCGAGCGGACGGCAATTCACGATTGCCGCGGATAGATTAATCATATATGTCCTCCGGACCAACAAATACTTTGTTAGCATTTCACTCTCATCTTCTAAGAAAGTTTTCCGTATTTTCTTGTACGTTCTCATAAACCATGATACCCCTTGACATTATTCTAGGTTTCTCCCTCAGCCTCCAAGGAAAACTGTAACGCCCATTTCCCTATCATAAGCCCCAAGCTGCGTCCCCTATCGTTCTCAGAGTAATTCTACAAACCTCTCAACCCTCCAAGTTTCCAGATTAACGCACTTATATCTGTCGTCTTGATTCATTTCAAATCCCTCTATTCCAGTCTATAGCCGCAGAATCAATCTCCCAACATCTCCTCGTCCACCAGGGTCTTTGAGAATTTGCTCCAGCAGGATCTGTTGCATTCCAGGTAATTTTACTGAACAATTTAAGAAGTTGTACATGAGCAAATCAGCGAAGAGGTCAAAGACAAATTCACACCTACAAAATACACAAACCGCGATTCCACTGTTCCAAACCTCAGTGATATACCTAAGTGCTTATCTGCATTTCGCCGTACTATCAGACCGATGGACCTAGACATCAAAAACAAACCATTAAGAGATGGTGGTCAAGTTGCCCTACAAGCTCGCTAGACCTATATCTAATCCCGAGAACAACAATGGAAGGCCAGAGGTGTCTGTGCTAATTCTCAACGTAGTTGAATTCTCTTCCGTGGAATGGACTAGAAAGCATCTTGGTCCTATGATCGAAGACATACATGCTGCTTTTTATCACTTCCATGCGTTATGCGGACTGGAGAGATGTATTGCGTAAATGAAGAAACACGCCATGATGTAATGTTCGTGGGTATGCGATGGGTATGGTGCTACTGCTAGGTCAAGAGAAGCATCAGAATGAAGAGCACATCAGTTTCGGTGAGATGCAGACATAACATACGATGCATGTTTGGTGATGGAGGGAGAACGGTCTAGCATGTCTCGCTATAGTGGATGCAGAGTGCATGTATTCATCCTATACAGTATGCTTTCTTCCACACGAAGCTCGCCTGGTATCTACAACCCAAGGCATCTATCCATCCATCCTGCCAAACAGTCTCTCCCCCCTGTCTCTCCATTCCATCTACTACTCTGCCGTTACAATACATACATCGCCGAACAGTCATCACTGCGCAAGCCACCCACCCTGAATATCTACAGCAGGTACATGCACGCACTTCAACGCACTCAAGCCACCCCAAACGCCTACAAATGCCCAGACACAACACGAGCAACGCTCCATGCGATCCGTATCTCCGATTACAAAGCCAATCTCTCGGGGGGTATACATCGCCTCCTACGCCGGCCGGTAAAGTAAATGCGGCAAAAAGACTCCAACCTGAACGCCTTCGCTGATGATGATGATGATGACGATAATGATTACAAAAAGATATGTACAAGAAGATCTAAAAAGGCCGTGATGTGACGTGACGTGACGCAACATGACGGGACGAAATAAACGTCAAGCCGTCACTGGAAGAAGTAGAGTATAAACATTAGAAGCAGTGTTAATGTAGGCGTCAAGGCCGCCGGTGTGGAAGTCGTAGCAGCGCCTTTCAGCGGTGCAGCCGTGGTGCTGACGAAATCCTTGCCGCAGGAAATCGCGAGTTGTTGCGCGGCGGACGTGTACGTTTTGCTGATGGGCTGTGTGTGATTGCCGGCGAAGGATGCGAAGATGGCCATGGCGTCTTGTAAGCACGTATTGCAGGTTGGACGCGATCCGCCGGGAAGAATCTGGCCGATGGGCAGGTAGTAGGGGTATGAGTCTGTGGTGGATGTTGTGTTGCTGACGGCGTCTGCGAAACCTGTGTTGGGATGATTAGTTGGTTGTGTGGATGGTGTGTCGGCACAACGTACAGTAGTTTCCTGTGTCGCTCTTCAAGCAACTGGCCTGGTAGGACGCCTCGTACGCTATAAGGCCATTGTACGCCTGCAGAACAATAGGATTGTCGTTGTCGTAGTCTGTTTTGCATGCGGTGTCGGTCACCAATTCCCGCGCGAGACCGTCCAATGTTGCCGTGCATTGTTTTACATTGACACCACAAGTCGCGTCCAAGGTCTGGGTTATGCGTAGAAACGATCTCGACGCGTCGAAGAAGCCACTTGAAGTCTACATGGTGTAAGCACAGCCCCATTCCACTCCCCTCAAAACACCGTCAAACGCACCTGTAGGAGCAAAGAGAACGGATGGCAGTCATTGAAGTCTTTGTTCTGTCTCAGGCGGTTCAAGTAGGCGGAGCAAGAAGTAGAGAAATTATTCGACATGCCCGTATCAAAGGCCGACGGGACAGTAAAGGCGGTTGCCGAGACCTTTGGATCGGTTGTGATGGAGCGCTTGGAGGGCGGCGCAGACAGCGCTTTGGATGCATCATGGACGATATGTAGAGAAGGCATGAATAGTGGAATCAGCGGCGGTGGACGGTTGTCGAGGAGCAGAGGCGATCCCTTCCACGCTAGGGTGTCTTGCTCAGGCACAACGGGCAGCAGCAGCGCTGATCGATGACCATGTGCGGAGACGCCACCGAACAGAGAGCTCCAAGATAGCAGTATGACAAGCAGCGAGTGCAACAAACGGACGCGGGAGTTTGCGGGCGCTGTGCTCCTTGTATATATGCAGTGACACCCGTGGGGCTCTTCACCCTCATCTGGTTTGCTTCGCATTGCGGCGGCCAGGGATCGATTGGCCCAATGGTGCGACATGGCACCACGCCAGGTTTCCAACGACTCACGACACACCCGTCGCGTAGAATACCAAGTCCGTCTTTTTTATCTCCTGGTGGGCGGCCTTGCACAATAGAATCTTCTTATTTACACTGCCTCACGTTTGTGGCACAACCATTCCTCCACCCAAACGGTCGTCGCAGTAGCGCGTGAACTGGATTGGCCGCCTTGACAAGCCCTCACAAGTCCGCGGATCAATATTCTCCGCAAAAGCCAGGAACGCGTGTTGCGGGACAAAGAGTGCCGACCAGTTAGAGGCCAGGTCCGAGGGTGGTCGATGTCGATCGGAAGCCGGAAGGGAACGAAAACAGCGAGCGTTTTCCCCGTTGAATTCGATGTTGCTTTTTTTTCTGACAGCCGGGACGAGATTGCGACCGACATGGGAGCAGCCGACCTTAAGTTTAAACAATTCGCATGTCAAAGCCACGCGGCGCATCTGACAAGCATGCACCTAGCAGCACGCCCTCGACTAACTGTTCGGCTGACGGGGAGGGGAGTGCGCGAGCCAGATGCAGCGCTTTTCGTTAAAACCACCCGCTCTAGGGTGGGCGAGTCGATCGCCGGTGATTCGCGGGAGAGCGGCGCGCTCGTGCAAGACAATAATGCCCTGCGACTTAGTGCCCAAATCGAGTGAGGAGCCGGCCTCCCTTTTCGTGCGTGCTCGCGAAGACTTGCAGCGTGGCGTCATGGCTAGATCCGATTTCTTGCAGGGGGGGGTTCATCAATCGCGATACCGTTAAAGGTACCGTGCCGCGGGACTGCTTAAACGATCCAAGTCCCAAAAAAAGATACTTCGTCAAACGCGCTTCGCGTCATGTCCAGCAGCGCGTCATGTAGTCTCATCTACGAGAAGCCTTTCCCCCGGAAGACAACAGCACACAATTAACAGCTGCTCCCCAGAACGTCAACGCACATCGCAGAAAGCAGAACTACAAACACCCACCCCTGCTCACATTAATGATAGGATGCATTCATCGATAGACTCCCGCCAAGCCAATATCAAGCCACCAGCAAATTGCATACCCCTATCAGCGCCCATAACCCAGCTCCCTCACCATGCGCCCCGCGAGCTAGAACCGTCAAACCAGCAACCACACATTGGGCGACAACAAAACTACTCATACCAAACTGACACTGCTCCCGTCCCCAGCTAGCTAGCTACCTAGACACTGCCCACACACACAGACAGACAGACAAGGTAACCACGTCGTCGATCTCTCCGTCCAGAACCACGGCTATAATTGGGGAAACATAGGTCTTCATTTCCGACATTTCCGACATTGCCTTCCACGCTATGCTATTCTGTGGTTTGCAGTTGTCTTGTCCTGTCTTGTCAGCAAGCCATGGCCAGCACACCAACGAACCACATGTCGCTACCTAGCTAGCTACCTATATATTCGTGAGTGATATGATATTGGGGGTCTGGAATTTTCGATATCGAATACGAAAAGCCCTTCCCGCTGTTCAATACGAGCTACAGCCACTCATGCATCCCTATCGTATTCCCTGGGTATACTTGCCTGTCTGTCTGCCTGTCTGCATGACATGGTACCTATCGCATGGTATCGCATGGTATTTAGTGTATTGCGTACCATGATGGAGCGTGCGGCGCGGTGTGGTGCGGGGCACTTTCTGTTCTTTGGGCAGGCGACTCACCCACTCCGACATATGATGTGCAGCACTCAGCAAAATCCAATATCGATAAAGCCGATGGGCATTCAAGTCGGGCAAGTTCTCCAGAACAAATCACAGTCAGTGATCAATCAGTACAACGCGAATCATGTTATTTTGGCATTCCAGCTATATGAGGAAACCTCAAGCGAAGTATGAAGAATAGGAGGGGGTGGATTATCTCAAAAAACATGACCTTTGCACGCCCGCCACGATGCAAATTATACCACCCCCACCGGGTAGAAAGAAAAGACATCTTGCCCATATCGAGCAAAAGGAAAATCGAAGCCTTTTTTGCTCATGCCCACCCATCCATCTATGTTCTAGCAGCGAGCATGCGCTCGACGAATTGGGCGAAGAAGCTCCTCCACTCCTTCTCTTTCTTGACTCCTTCGAATGCGCCAGCTAGGGTGCGCAAGTATTGATCCACGCCATCGGCACCCATGCCCATACCGCCAAGGTCGTTCTTCAGGTGTTCTGCATATGGTTCGCCAACCTTCTTGATGATCTCGGTTTGGAGGTTTGCCAATTCGTGCAGAACCTGTTTTGCTTGTGCGTCCTTTGAGTTGAAGCCGGCAGAAGCAGGAACTGACCAGACGAGTGGGGAGAAGCGCTCAACTACGTAGTTGTCGAAACCGGGCAGCGGCGCTTGAGTTGCCACGGGGGAAGTGGGTGTTGTGTTTGCGCCCGGTCCAATTTTGTCGGGACCGCTCCATACGGATATCATGCGAATGAGTACAGCGAGGGCAAGGCGCGCGGTGGTGTAGTCGTTTGTGTCACGAGCGAAAGACTCGATTGACGAGATGACTGGATCGAACGTTGCTTGGTTTGCTGCGACATGTTAGCATTGAAATGAAAAGTATCTCGACCTTCCTTACCATTACTGACGAGCACAGACCCAAGACCATACTGGAGAACGAGGGTGATGAAGTTCAAGTACTCGCGCCGGAGTTCAGTCAGCTGGATCTCGTCGTCTGTGCCCGAAGGTGTTACCGCCAATGCAGTGAAGATGCGTTGCAAAACAGGCGTCATGACTGTGTCTAGAATGCTCGCAATTTCTGCTTTGAAGGTGAAGATGATTTGTCCGAGAACTTTGAGGAACGTGCTGATCTCGTCCATGGACGAACTCAGTGAGAGTAGTCCTTCAATCCATGATGGCAGCTGTTGTAGCAATCGTGGTCCTAAAACAGCTATCATACGCGAGAAAGCAAAGCGTGCTGCATGACGAATGATGCCCGAAGATTTCAGAGACTCGAGGGAGACGAGTATGGCTTCGGATGCTTTGATGAACTCGTCCGCCACTTCACTCTGGGGCACTGAGCTGTTGTTGTTTGACGGAACCCAGTCTGAATAACCTCGAGCTAGGGTTCCAACTGCCATGATGATGTGATGGATTTGGAGCGTAGCTCGCTCATCACCATTCCTAGCCTGAGGCAGTGTTTGTTCCATGTCGGCAAACAGAGGGCTCATGATAGTTTGTGCATACAGCTTCTTGTTCTCTGGCGAAACTGTGCTAGATGAAGCAATACACCCAACGGCCTCGAAGAGGTAGAGTTGCGAGTTAAATAGAGCATCGGCAGACTTGTCCTCTTCATCTGAAGACATGTCATCTTCAGAAGCGTCTGGCAACTCGGCTTTGATTGTAAGCAAATCGCCAACTGCTTGGATTATGTTGTACGACACGTTTCCTAGTTGAGCTCGTAGGTGCTTCACCAGGCGCTGGAAGAGGTACCAAGACCGTATGCGAACCTTGACATGGTTGCTGTGTGTAAGTTGTACAAAGTTCTCGAGTACTTTGGGAATCAAGTGAGGGTTCTGCTCAAAGAATTGGTAGTAACGGACGCAAATCTCCATGTACTGAAGCTGAACGGCAGGATGTGGGTAACTAGCTAGACCTGACATTTGGTTAGTATCACCTGCCTACCTGAGCAAAGAAGCCATGGACTTACCGGAATCAATCATGTTGTTCATCATACCCACAAGCTGCTGAGCAGCGACTGAAGAAGGTTCGCGTTTTGCGAATAGACCTTGATTTCTAACTGCCAGCTCCCCAAACAGAAACATTTCATGGAGAGCCAATTCGAGATCGCGCCAGTTTAGTGTCTGATCGCCCTGAGCCAAGCGACTAAAGGTACCATTCACAACGCGGCTAAGTGTCTCGATGTAGTATGCCTCGTCGATAGTCGTCACAGTTTGCTGTAAGACATGTAGACGTCTTCGGAGGTCTTGGAATTCAGCCTCGTCTGTTTGTTCACCCTCATCACCCCAGGATGCTGTGTCGTCGTACTTCATCTTTGCGATTATCGCGTCCAATACAGGCGGTAGCACGGCGGAATATTGAGGCGGTACGGCTCCAGATCTCTTTTGCAGTTTTCGTAGAAACGTGAGGAGGTCGGTGAGCGATGGAATGACAGTCGAGCAGACTTCATCGTACTGGTCGGCGAAGAAACGCAGCAAATACGGAGTGAAGACCCGAATGAGGTCGTCGGCTCGCTGCCGAGTTTGCTCGTCAACCGAGTCGCTTTCCAGAATCTTGACAATGTCAAAAACGATGTTGTTCACGAGCTTCGCTACTGTCTCCGCGAGGTCGTTGTCGTAGTTTGGACTGTGGAACTCGGCAAGCGCTGGGCTGGTGATGAGCTGGCCAACCACATCCGCCAGATTCAGGAATAAAATCAACTCAATCTTGTCTCCAGGGCTCATCTTCTTGCCCACAATCTCCGAAAATGTATCGATTGCTGCGTCGCGAACCTTCCCGGCCGGGCTCTCGGGGTCAGAAATGCCTTGCTGACCAGCCATCTCAAGGAAGGTACCGATCATCGCCTGGTTCACGATGAGATTGATATCGGTCCAGCTAACCCACCGCCCAATCGTCCTCAGACACATCTCTACCATTCCCAGATCCGACTCCCTCCATTTTGCGAGGATTTCTTGCCAGGATAACGAAATCTTCTGCGCATCTTGTTGTCGAATCACATCCTTGAGCTCGGTATTGCGTTTCTTCTCGTCCTCCGGCCTAGTAACCAGCTGATCGGCAATCTCATCATGAACCTGTCCAAGCATGCGAAGGTACAAGATTGTAGTGGTCGTGTTGACGTTGCCGATGGTCGTCTGGTCACCGGCTAAGGCGCGGAACTCGTCGAAGAAAGACGGCCATTGTGTGGGATACAATGCGACAAAGAGATATGTGATGGTCTGCATGAGCTTGTTTTGTATGTGCCCGGTATCTGTAGTAGTGCTGCCTGGCGCGTACGACTGGCGGATATGACTCATGAGCGTGTCTTTGATGTACGCGAGGCTTTGCTCGTCCAGCCGGTGTTCTTGGACGGCATTGTTGACGAGATCGAGGGACGTGTGGCGGATGATATCAGAAGGTCGCGGGTCGCGGGTAAAGAGTGTGAGGCACGCTTGCCATGCGGAGCCCTGTGCACGTAGTTGGTTTAGGTAGTCGATAGCCTGGCCGCGCAGTTGCTGGCTCGAGGTAGGGTTCGAGGCGATTTGGATGGCATTTTCGACCTAGCAAAACAGACACATGTTAGTATGTAGCCTCAAACCAAAAGGCAGTTCAAAACTCGTTGCTAAATTGCATGCGTACCTGGGCCTCCATTTCTTGCGCCGTCTCGATGCGGGACAAGTTGAATAGGTCAGGAGCAGGTGCGAAGGTGTCCGACCATCAGAAAGGGAAAGTGGTGTTGTGGTGATAAAATTGCAGCGATGTGATACGCTACCGGGTCATTGGAGAGAGCGAGGGCTGCATCATGGGAGTGGTATAGGCGGTGAAAGTGACAGCGCGGGGCACAAGCTCTGACACGCGGCGAGTGTGCAAGGAATACCGTTGGAAAATAGACTGAGAAGATGAATTTAACGGCTCGAAAAAGTGTCGCTATCGCCAGAACGGACAAACTTTTATTTAGGCCTCCGCAGGGTGAAGTGTGTGGTGTGGAAACAAAGGCACGAGGTGCATGAAAACAGCCGGTAGATGTGGGGGACCTCTCTGCTCGGAGAGCCCAAAATCCGTCGCGTGACACGTGCCTTCGCACTTGTTTCGCAATCTGGTCCGAGGCTCCAGGATTGGCTTGTTGGCTCACTTTTCAGAAATACTATTCACGAGATAAACAAGGGAGGAGACTCAGTCGAAATTTCATATTCTATGCCTGCTCTCAAGCTCGTTGAAAGTTTTCTTCAGGCCTATTTAACCTCCTCATTCTTCTACAATTTTTGTCTAACACGCGAACTGCTTCTGCTGCAGTGAGTATGCAATCAGTATGCTAGCAGCCATGCCACTTACTATACGCCCAAGTGCTTCGCCGCGTACGCGACGTGTTCGTCCGCAAACGAGGCCATGAAGTAGTAGCTGTGGTCGTAGTCGGGCTGCATGCGAAGGTTGATGCCAGCGGCGTTGCCAGCTTCCTTGGCCGCCGCCACCAAGTTCTCAGGAAGAAGTTGGTCTTGCTTGTAGAAGTTGTCTCCGGTGCCCTATTCATTATTAACAAAGCCTCAGATTGAGGAGTGTCGAAGGTAGTACACACCACATCGATGAGCATCTCCAGCGGACCCTTCCACTGCTTGACAAGCTCTGTGGCATCGTGCTGCTTCCACTTATCCTGCTGGTCCTCGCCAAAGTATCCCTTGAATGCTTTCTGGCCCCATGGGCAGTTGATGGGGTTGGCGATGGGCGCAAAGGCGGAGACGGACTTGTACATGCCGGGGTTCTTGAGGAACTGATCGCGACTCGTCAGTGACATCATCTTGTAAGGGTCTTCAAAAACGCACCAATGTCAGGGCACCGTGGCCGCCCATGCTGTGACCTGTGATGCTGACTCTGCTCGAGTCGAGCTCCTTGAATGATGAGAACAGGGCCTCAGGAAGCTCCTTAGTGATGTATGAGTACATGTTGTAGCCCTTGTTCCATGGCTCCTTGGTCGCGTCGACGTAGAATCCTGCGCCCGAACCGAAATCATAAGACTCGTCCTCGCCTTCGATTTGCAGCCCTCCTGTGGGATGGTTAGTCAGTGCTCAGCATCAATGGCAAACACGCACTTGGTGAAGTGTCAGGGTACACGACGGCAATGCCATGTTTTGCTGCGCCGTTTTGGAAGAAGCCCTTCTCCGAGCAGTTGTTTCCAGTACATGTCAGACCGGAGAGGTAAAAGAGCACAGGGACCTTTGCCCCGTCCTTCAATGCTTGTGGTGGCAAGAAGACATTGAGCTCCATGTCTGTGTTTGTGCTCGAGGACTTGTGCTTCAGCTTCAACACCTTGCCCCCGAAGGAAGCGATGGTGCCTGTGGTTTCAAAAGACATGATGGATCGTGTTGTGTGGTAGAGGAAGCTTGTCGTCGAAGATTTAAAAGGAAATCGAGGTCGTGGAGCACTGAGAAGTTTGAAAAGCTGTTTCATGAGAGTGACGTTTGTCCTATGTTTAGTGCGGGGGGTAGAGAATGCATGGATAGCTCCTGGTCAAGCTACCCCGCCCTGCGGTGATTTTATGGCTTCATGTAGGAACAAGATCCGCACTCGCGAGATAGGCGTGGAAATCGGGTATGATTCGGTATATGAAGCAAAAAAACGCCGGTCGCCGAACGTGCCCCATTTTACGACCACAAAAACTCCGTACCCAATGCAGCCAAGTCCAACCCACTCTACGTCAGAAGCTCCTCGCAGGTCCAATCCTCGTAGTAACCGTCTGGCAGATATCGTCGCACTACCAGCGGAATCTTCTTCTCGCGCAGCTCCTTTGCAGCAATCTGGAGAGGGTCTGTCATGCCTTCGACATCGATTAGGACTGGGGCATTGCCACTGCACGCCATTAGTTTGTTGTTCTCTCAATTCCGTGCCCTGGAAAACTGTAGCCTACCTGATCTGTAGCGCCCTTGTACCCAGCACACGCGCCTTCTCGTACTTTGTCATGTACGGGGTGGTTGTGCGGAGGTGTGACGCGACCTTCCTGTCCTTCTCGCTCTCGACCGTATTCTTGGGTTTGTTCTTGGCGGCAGCAGCGGCGCTCGCGTCTCCGGACACTACGACGTTGTCATCGTTCGGGTCGACGTTGTCGGGCTCTTGGGCGTTGTCGTCGCCGTCGTAGATATCGGGCTCCTGCTCCTCGTCGAAGTCGATAGCCTGCTCACTGCCCACAATCAGTCATTGTTGTGAAGCCTCGCCGACACAAAGACGCTACGCGAACACATCGCTGCAGCTGTCGGCATCAGACTATGAAGCCAAGCACGTACTCGTAGCCACCATCATCTGCAAATGCGCCGTCGCCGTCGTAGTCAGACATGGTCGCGGTAGTGAAGTATGCGCGCGTGCGGAGGTGGGTGGTTGGTAGTCTCGCGTACTGAGGAGAGATGCGGTGTGGTGCCTGTTGCGCTCTGCCGGCTCGAAGAAAGATTCGCGACGAAGCGTGATGCTAGCCAATAGAAATAGTCGTAACCTTGGCGTCGAGTTCCACTTTATTTTTGTTGCGGCGACCAGAGCACCTCCGCATCCACGGGCGGGCACCATCTGCCACTTCACAGGCTGCTGCTCCCAATGGCCGTCAAACGCAAAGCTGTGGAGAGCGCGGCTGCAGACCCGCAGAAGAGGTCTCGCTTTGGTACGTGCTGCAATATCAACATGACGTCGATGTCTCCAATCTGACAGCCGTTACAGAAGAGACCACAGAGGACTGGCCTTCGGACGATTCTGGCGACTACCAGGTCAATTACACCGACAATGGGACGCTGAGGGCTGACAGTGAGGCTCGTCGACAGTGGCACTATGTGTGTGAGGTTGAGGGCTGCGGACAGCGTTTCAACCGGCCATGTCGACTCGAAGCACACATGCGAAGCCACAACAAGGAACGTCCGTTCGCCTGCACCGAGCCCGGCTGTGACAAGAACTTCCCTCGCAAAGACCACCTGCAGCGTCACGTGAAGAACGCCCACAACCCCGTCGCCGCACGAACCTTCACATGTGCCTGGGAGGGATGTGGGAAGAGCTTCACCTCCAACGGCCGGCTGCAGCGCCACCAGGACGTCCACGACTCAAAGTTCTATTGCACCGACTACCCTCCATGCAACCACGCCTTCCGCACCGAGAAAACGTTGACGGCACATGTCAAGAGCGACCATCTGGCAGTGAAGCCCTATGCCTGCACTCTTGTCGACGCAGAGACTGGGGAGACGTGTACGCACGGGTACCAACAAGAAGCTGCTCTGCACCGACACATAGCCAAGGCACACGCACCCAAGCCAGAAGGTGTACCAGACGCTGGCCACTTCTGCATGATCTGCATACCCCCCGGGACCGAAACCGAGACCATCCAGACTGAGACGGGCGAGACCACCACCATCCCAAAGCAACCGCTGTCCTTTGCATCCGCCGACGAGCTGGCGGCACACACTCTCGAAAGCCATCCACCAGTATGCTCCGAGTGCGGCCAAAAGTTCAAGAACCCCTGCACGCTCAAATCGCACTTCGACACCGTACACGCCGATCCCGCAGACCAGCCACGCTTCCCCTGCCCAAAGCCCGACTGCGACAACGTCTTCACGCGAAAGCACAACCTCACCGTGCACATCCAAGCCGTGCACGACAAAATGATGAAATACTTCTGCACCGCCGACTCGCAGCAAGCCTCCAAGCACGCCGACCTGCTAGCCTGGCACGGCGAAAACGCATGCGGCGCCGCCTTCAAAGTAAAGTCCTCCCTCGACCAACACATCCGAACACACCACCTGGGCCTGCAGAACCGCAAGGAAGCACGCCGAGCCGCCAAATCAAAGAAGAAAACCGACCCCTCGATGCTCACTCTGCTCACCGGCGTGGGCTACGAGAAAGGCCGAGACGTGCCCTGCTTGGTCGCCACGTGCGAATACCGCTTCTACATGGACCGCGATCTGCGCCGCCACCTCCGCGCCGCGCACAATATGTCGGACGAAGATGTCGACGAGCGCATCGGCGAGCGCGACGCCCTTACCGGCGGCCAGTTCTGGATCGGCGGCCTCGACGACCCTATGTTCGAGTCCGTCGACCCCAGTATGCCGCAGACGCCCACGCCGTACTTCACTGACGCGGGTATGGCCGTGGACGCCCAACACAAGGCTGTGGACCCCCGTCTCGCTTTCTTCGACCAGTTGTTTGTCGCTGAGGACGCTGATATGGATCGCGCTATGGGACTGGAGGGCCTGGAGCCTGCGACGGATGTACAGGCGGGGCTGGGCATGGAGATGCTGTACCCTGTTGAGCAGTATAATATGGGACATGCGCGTGAGCAGTTGTAGCGGATATGGATTACGATGGGACGATTTTACGACGGTTAAAAGTGTTGTTAGGATAGATTTATGTCCGATATGTATGTATCGAGGGTATTTGTTGTATGGTAGGTATTTTACTCTATAGGAAGTAGAGAGATTGATGAGCTCATACTACTGGGTACCACTCTTTACCAACTTCTCTTCATTTCTTCTCCAGAGGACTATGAATGAGAGGCTAATCTTCAACCTGGAACACTTCCATACAGTGTAGTGTAGTGTGATGTAGTGCCGCGCCGCGCCGTGCAGTGAGGGGGGTATATTACGCAACGCAACGCAACGCAACGAACCCGAACAAACCCGAAAACAAAAGCAGAAAAAAGCAAAGAAAAAACAGAGACCACAAGGAAACATGTACCAGACTTTGTCCAGCAACACATCATCCGCTAGGGAGGGGGGCGGTGAGTAGGTGACGAGTGGCGAGACCAGCGCCGATACGCATCCCAAGTAAGAGAGTGAAAGACGCACAACCAAAACTCAAGCCGTAGCGCGCAAATACGACGCAAAAGAGCTGGTCTGCACCTGCGCCTGCGCCCGCTCATCATGCTGCGCACACATACGCGGCCAGTCATCGCGTCTGCACTCCCTCTCCCTCTCCCTCTCTTGCTCGCACTCCACCTTCCCCACCATCGCAACCGTAACCGTAACCCCCGCCGCCGCCGTACTCCCCCTCCCATCCTCCCTCCTCCGCCAAATCTCAAACTCCAGATCCCACCTTTGGCGCAACCTCTTCCGCCTTGCCTCAACCACAGCCTCCAAGCGCGCCGTATCTTTCCGCCGCCGCTCCTCCAGCGCCGTCTTCTCGCGTGCGAAAACCGCATCTAACGCGGCGGTGTCGGCGGCTTGGAGCTGTGTTTTAGCTTGCATGTAGCGCTCCTGACGGGCGCGGAGGACGTTTATGGCGCTTGTGTGTTTGCGGGGGAGGTTTTTCTGGAGGGCGTGTTGGCGGGCGAGTTTTGCGTGGTCGGAGGGGGTTACGGTGTGGGTTTGGCGGGTGGGTTCGAAGTCAAGGGTGTTGTTTGTGGGAGGGTTGGTGGAGGAGGAGGTGCAGTAGGCTTGCATGTGTTTTAGGGCTGTGGCGACGTTTTGCGCCTCCTGCGTTTGTGTTTTGCGCAGGTCGTGCTCGGCGAGGATTTGTTGCTCTTCGAGGGCTTCGAGGGCGTATATGTGCTGTAGGGGGGAGGGGTGTGAGTTTTTTTCTTGTTACATGTGGGGGGGTATAGTAGGGGTGAGACGTACTTGTTCTGTTTTTTGTCGCTTGGTCAGTTCGTGGGTTGCTGTCAGGTTTTTTAGGGCGGTTTGGTGGTGGGCGGAGAGTGCTTTTCGTTGGTTAGATTCGAAGGCTTGGATCCGTTGGAATTGTTCTCGCTGTCGGGCTTTGAGGGCTTTGTACGCCTCGTTTACTCCGGGGCATTTGGGCTCGGGGTCCTCGTGGGTGGACTGTCTGGCTGGTGGGGTTGGTGGTGCTCCTGTGATGGAGATGCGATCTACCAGGCCGGGCAGATCGTAGGTTGATATTCCTTTCTCGCTGTACCCGGAGTCTCGCGAAGGCGCGATGTCGGGTGATTGAGGAGAACCGTTCAGTGCGATGTCAGCCTCTTCTTTGGTCAGGACAATCTCGAGTACGGAGCGTGGCAGCAGTGTTCCGCAGCAACTAGGTGCTACTTGGCCTTTGCTTCGTCTTGCTTCTTGGATGTGGGCACGTAGAGCATATGTGGATAACGAGTGACCGCAATCCAACTTTGGTCCTTGAGCCTTGCCATGATTCCCATGGTGTGATGGGGAAGTGCAGGTACTATCGAAACCATGAGCGAAGATACACAGCATCAATAAGCACAACATACCTCGAGCCTCTTCTGAACATGCCAAACAGGGCTGACGTCCTATGTCGCCGAACTGAGGGTTTCTGGGGCGCCACACTGGAGAATCTGGACTGTGTAACAGACGAGGTTGAATGTCTCTGTCTAAAGCCAGGCGAGACGGATGATACAGTTTGCATGATGTTTAGGTTGTCAGCCGACACTGAAGCCTGTACGAGGTTAAAAGGCGTTTTCTGGGCTGACGGCGATTCGCTGTAATATGACTGGTCCCTCGACGCCCTCGAAGGCACCGACGTTGACGTAAGGCCCGTCGAGTGCGTTTCCTGGGAGCGAATAGATATAGAACTTCTGAATTCGCTATCCTCGGTCGAGGTGGAAACAGCGCTAGAAGTGTCGTGTGTTGGCAAAAACAAAAAGCGATAAGGGTCCTCGATGCCCGCCTCTCTCGCTCGTATCGTCAACTCATTCCACAAGTCCTCCTCGTTCTGGTTTGCGGGGAGCTCGAGCGCCTCGCCAAAGTACACAGCATCGTCAAATATGGTCATGGTGGTGAGGGCAACGGGGTCCCTTCGACGTTCGCACATTGCGCCGGAGCGCGCATATGCTTTTTTTGCGTTGTGATGATGTGATGATGTCAAAAGATGCAGCGTTGCGGCATAGAGATATATAGAGATGGGAGTGGCGGTCAGTTGAACGTTGGTCCGGTACGGGGCGGTTATGTTTTGAATCAGCAAGCACGGGATCAAGCGGATCAGCAGAGACAGCAAATCCGGAGATCGTGGGGGGCTCGAGTTTTTGAATCCCAAGGTTGGGTTGTTGCGGTGAGACGGCTTCCCGCCACTAGCGATGCCATCCCACTTTATGACCGGCTGACGTGAAGCAGACCGCGGTTACACGCATATGCAAGACTTCCCGCCGGGGGGTTTACGCCATCACTGACATGATCCTGTACATAAAACGTCTTCCGAGATTGACGCCTGGTCTGCGATATCGCAGGATCCTTTCCCTTGTCGCGGATAGCCTTGCTCCCGTCATCTCATCTATCACCATTGTGATCTGCACTTTATCAGCTTTAGCGTTTGTCCGTTCTGCAAGATCTACGAATCACGGTGGGTACCAATAAACATGGGCGAGTACTAACGGCTAGAGTACCAGGCAGTTGATTACATCTCAACGCATAATTCAACTACACACTTGCAGTGTTGGAGTCGTCAGCAGGAATTTGGATGGCATGATGTTGTATTCGGTTGCTACGCATAGTGGATTCTCTGTGCCTCTGCCCTACATGTACGTACGTACGCGATGCGTTGTACAGTGACCAGACGAGCAGGGGTGTACTGTGAAAGGAAAATTTTGTCTGGCACAATCACCAGGTCCAACAGATACATATGGTCTGAGTACAGCATTGCATAGACATGTGAGGAATCCGAGGGCATAGAACAAGATTAAAGTGCGATTTGTCATTGCCAAAACCTCCCTCTCGTTGAAGGAATATTATCTAAAGGATGGACCATCTCTAGCACACTGTGTAGCCTCTGTGTATCCCGAGCTAAGCGATGCACTCCACAAGTTGTACATATGCAGCCAAGATATGCAGGTAGCCATCATAAAGGGTCTGTGTCCATTGTCTACTCAGACTACGCACAGCCGGTCGAAACCCTATCTACATGTCAAGCTGCAAGCCATCCCGAAGCAGACGACACGGACCAACAACAGATGATGGAGTCGGACTCTATTAAAAAGACTAGACAGCCGGATACCAACGTACCCGGGGATCGTGAAAATACGTGGACGTGAAAAGGAGTAAAAGTACAGTACAAATGTGAAAGATATCGTTGCATCAGACGTGTCCGGCATCCATGCACCCCCGTCTTCCCAAACGCCGAGAAACAAGTGCATGAGGGGTCTAACCAGCGATGAGCACCCAGAGGAGGAATACTGCGATTTGTTAGTGGGGCTCGACGGAGAAGTGTCTGGATTGTACATACCAACCATCAAAACGCCAAACATCTTCGCGACAAGCATCCTGTTGCCTTGAACCCGACTCCAGTACTTCATGAGCTCGCGTTGGGCGCCTTCAACGTTGTCCACAACATCCTCGGTGTTGGCGTCTATGCGCTGAATCTGCTCGCCTTGTTCAGACACCATTTGTGCCAGCTGGCTGAAGATGCCTCCTAATTCCTGTATTGTGGACTCGATGGATTCTATAGCGCGCCCCCGCTCTTGGATGTAGGCGTTTTGCGGCTGGGCTTCTTCCATGAGCAGGAGTTGAGCGTCAGATTGCAGCCCGCCGCGAGTGAGCGCTGACGAGCCAGACGGCTCGAGGGTGAGCAGGTCCTGCTGGGCGGCGTTTGTGTTTCGGTTGAAGCCTCCAGGCGAACGGCCTCGTTGGGGTGTTTGGTAGAGGGGGGAGTCGGTCCTGGCGGGGTCGAGGCTGCTATGTGACTGTGCGGCGGCGGAAGAGAGGAACTGCTCTGTCCGCGAGCGCGAGGCCTGCATGTTCTTGGTGCGCACTTCCAAAACATCTTTGAAATTGGTGCCTACGTTCTGCAGCTTGTCCTTGAGCAGCAGAACCACGTTGCTGTTGTGCTCGCCCTCCTGGTCGACGCCCGGCCGAGCCTTGGGGTGCTGCTTCGAGTTCATGGCCTGCAGCGCCTGCACGCGGCCAGAAAGCGCAGTCATGTCCTGCTTGATGACAAACGTGAGCTCGTCGAACTCAACAGGCCGGTCGTCGAACAGCGTCTTGCGCCTCGCCAGCTGCGACAGGCGCTCCAGCTTCTGCATGGTGCTCGCGACGCCGCGCGCGACGTCTGCCGCACTGCGCGCGAACTCGGAGCGCTGGCGTTGGGGGCTGCCATTGGCCTGCGCCTTCTCCTGGGCTGTGAGGAGCGACTGCCGCTGGGCGCCCGTCTTGGCCTGTGCCTGTCGCCGCTGGGCCTGGGCGAGGATGGAGCGGAACTCATCGGTGCGGTCCTGTATCGAGACGGCCATGGTGGTCGAGTGTCGGTCCCTGTTGGATGCCTGCTCCAGCGAAGGGGTCGGGTCGGGGGGCGCTCGCGCGTCCGTGGGGCTGATCAGAGGTGCGTCGTCGCTTGGCCCGGATCTCCTGTCGACGTGGCGGAATAGGAAGGACGGGTCGGTTCAGGTGGTGTGGGGACGTGGAGGTGTCAAGTGCAAAACGCGTTGGGGCAGGAGAGCGGGAACGTGGTTCCTTCTGGCGGCAATGGCGTCGCGCCACACCAAATCACGTTGATAGGCAGGGTGCATAAGCAGGGAAATTGCTCGTCGCGAACATGTCAGTGTCATTTCCGTCTCCTCGCTGCTGTGCGCGCTCTCTGCTTCTGTCCATCGACTGTCGACTTCTCGCATTGTTGCTGCTGTGCTCCGTCCATCGTGCCCACGGACATCGTGAAAGCTGACGTAGCCGTGCATCCTTCAATACCCAGCCTGCACAGCCCTACCGTTTACCTTGGCCCAACTCGTCTCTCCTCGCCGCATTCTCTAACGTCAAGCTCGCGCGAGACTGGGTCTGCTGTCCCACGGCGCATTCTCCTTCTCTGCCTAATACGCTTCGTCGCATGCGCTGCAGGGTTTGGTGAGATTGGAGGCGCAGTCCTCGCAAGGCCGACGTTGGGGTGTTGGGCCATCGACACCACCAGCAAACATGTCTGGGCCGTTTCGCTTCAACCAGGAGACAGCGTCGCCGCTGTACGTTGAGATTCTATCTCTTAGCAGCAATCGTAAGCTAACATGTGACCAGTGAGCGCTCTGCCTCGCCATTTTCCACCGGTCAGCCCGTGTCGTTCAAGACGAATGTCAACCGCATGAAGACACAGAAATGGGTGCAGGCGAAGAAGAATGCATATGATGGCGACGACTGGGGCGAGTACGACGAGTACGACGAATACGGCGTCGACCAAGAGCCGCAGCCCGAGCCCGCATCGCGCCACTATGCTGAGCGCCTTGACCAGCCGTCGCGCAGCTTCACAGACCCCTCGCGCCAGGGCCCTCCGCAGTCTGCGCGCAGAAACTCGTTCGAGACAGGCGAGGAACATCGCGCCTTCTCAGCATCGGTTGCTCAGCCACAGCAGAATTATGCGCAGAACAATGCACAGAACAACTCACAGGGCCAGTATGGAGATCCGTGGCAGTACCGCGGTGGTGAAGCAGACACGAGCGGCAGTCCTGACCAACGCCACGACTTCAATGCGTCTGCCATGCCCACTCCACTGCAGACACGAATCTCAAGCATTCCCGCCGACGTGTACAGCTCCCCATCCAACACCCAGTTTCCTCCTCGGAAAAGCAGCATAGGGCACATGACCTCGCCCGTTGCCACAACCCCGCGCTCACGCACTGGAAGCTCTGAGAAGCCTCTAGCGTTCGTTAGGCCAGCGGACATCTACAAACGCGTCGAGGAAGAGCGCCGACGCGCCTCACTGGACACGCAGGGGCCCAATGTAGATGCTCTTGCGTCTCGTTCAGGGGAAGGCCCAACGTCTCCTCAGGCAGAAAGCGGGAAGCTGCAGCTGCCCCTGGCAACAGTCGCCGAGCGCAAGAGTGAATACTTGCCTGATTATGATGTGACACTCCAGCAACATGGCCAGTCGGCGCTGACAAACGCTCCTCAATCGTCCCAGCCAACACAACTGCCACCGCTCAGACCAATTTCGACATGGAACAACGATTTCTGGTCTGGCGCTTCCTCGTCCCAGACCCCTGTCAGCGACCCTGTTGTGTCACCCCCGAGTGACGATGGTTTCCGCTCTTTCGTAGACCAAGCTTTCACTCGCCGTGACGACCAGCGCTCGGTACCGCCTACCCCAATCTCAAACGCTGACTCTGAAATGCACAGAAGCAACACTGGAAGCACGTCTGGCATCAGCCCCATAATGAGTCGCGTTCCAAGCTCTGCGGCAGCAGCTGCAAAGATCCGTAATCAGGGTAGTACACCTGCAATCGAGGAGGAGAGAGAAACACCCGTTTCCAGGCCAACATCCGCGTATATACCTAATGTGCAACACCAAGCAGTGCCAACCCAAGTCATGCCAAACCATTCGCGCAATATTTCTGGCTCCTCATTGACGCACAACGACTTCCCTACTCCGACTAACAGTGACAGCCCTGCGCGATCGCCAGTGGTCGCGACTCAGACAACGTTTCCCGCCCCAGAGGCGGCTCAGATTGCGACAGAAAGCTCAGAGTCTTCCGATGCAATGGAAGGCGGGTTGGGTGGTCCTTCTTCTGCATATGCTACCCGTGAGTCAGACATCGCAACCGCCATGATGAGCAGCCCGGTCAAACCAGCCCCCGAGCTTGGTGTGGCAGCGCTACATTCACAAGATACCTTTTTGGAGTCGCACAATGCCCAATCCCCAATTCGCGACGTCATGCCGCGCGATCGTTCGGAGTCTCCGAGCAAAAATCGTGTGCAGGCATTAGCTGGCAGATTCGGAGATGTTTCGAACGCGAGGCGTGGCTCCACACAATCGAACAATTCAAGGAACAGCTTGCAATCGTGGGAACGGAGTCAAGACCACTCGCGCGCGACATCTCCGACCAAGGCAAACCCCAGCAAGCCCTCCAGTCCCGTCAAGGAATTCCGTCCGCATCTGCCCGGTCAATGGGAGTCTTACGCCACAACAGTCAGTACTCCATTTGACCATGCCGAGCAAGAAAGGGAGCTGGGCTTTGAACAGACCAATGTTTCATCTCCGCTCGGAGAAGTAGACCTAACACCTACAACTGCCAGGCGGCGCCTCTTCGAAGCTGAGCCTGCGCAACCCTCCAATACAACCCCGGCCCTAACAGAGGATCCGATTTCAGCGTTGAAAGAGGCTGGAGCCGCTGTGATCCAATCTATTCGAACAACTGTTGGACTGGACGATACTTCTTCCGAGCCCCAGCATGAGCGAAACCTCCACCCGCAAGATCGTTCTCATGGCGACATTTATATGCCTCGGCCTCTGCAGTTAGATCGATCCAGTTCTGCAATGTCGAGCATCCCACCTACTCCACCAGCAAAGGATACACCACGATCTGAATATCCGCCGTCCTGGGATGAGCACGATCATCAGCCTCTCACACAAGACCAGCGTCCACCTATGATAGCTCAACTCAGCACTGCCCCCTCAGCTGACGATGAGGAAAGTGATCGGTTGCGCAAAGAAATCGTCCTCAGTCTCAGCCCGCTGAGAACTTCAACAACCTCGGCTGCCCAGCCCGATCGCGGTTCGCTCCAGCCAGCCAGCGAGAGTGCAAACCGTGCCAGCTCTATTTTGCCTAGTGAGTACGAAAGCTATTGGGCAGGTGACGACGACGTAACTCCTAGTCCATCGCGAGACGTGCAACATAGCCTTGCTGTAGAGTCACCTACAACACCTACCCTCGCATCATTTCGGCGTGAGGAAATTACTACACCACAGTTGGCAGAGCGTTTCAGCTGGGAAGGAAGCACTCCTAGTCTAGCCACACCTGATGCACCAGCCCAACCAGGCATTGTTCCAGAGCCAACGAAGAACCTGCAACAGGGTATGACTACAGCTCCCACAGTTGAGCGTGCCGTAGAAGAAGAGCGTGAGCAATGGTCAGGAGGCCTCGTGGATTCTTACTTTGGGCCCGGCCATACCCTCACAGCTACAAAGCCAGATCCTGTTACAAACGCCAATTTTGAGATCCAATCGCCGACACCCCCCTTGGAACCTGCAAAGGCACTTGACACCCACACGCAAGAGCCAAAGAGATTATCTGGTCTCCATGTTGTCAACTCTGAGTTCGATCCCGAGGCAGTCGATCTACCACCTCGTTTGAGCGCCGAGATCTCTCATCCAACACAACCAAGTCAGGAGGATCCTTTGACGTCGCATCAGCAAACGGAGCACGGGGCGCCAAACCCAGCCATCTCTTCGCTGAAGGGATTGACCGAGTCATCAACCACTCAGGATCCCACTCCAAAGTCGCCGACATCTCCCATAACGGATAAACCTCTTGGTGCACGAGAGATCGCGACAATTAACTCACCTCAAGAACGCATCGCCACGTACAACAAGATGCGTGACCACTGGGCTACTGTTGATCATGGACTTGGTGGCTGGGTTTCGGCGGCATTTGAAGCCAATCCTGACCTTGCGACGCTCCCCTTACCTATACAGAGGGTTTCCACAGGAACTATTCGTCATAAGCACACGGGTTCTCTCCCACTGCTTGGGAAACTTACTGCGTCAATGAGTAGTCAGCCCCAAAACGCTCTTCAAAATGACTCAACGAATGCACCACTTCCCGCTGGTAGCAATTCTCGGACTCCTGCAACATACACTAATTCGACCACGAGTCCTTCAAGCCGGACAGCAAGAGACCAGATGCAGGCGCAGATGCAGGCCAAAGGAGAAAAGCTGTTACAAACTGCTGGAGTTTTGAGCGGAAAGGGAATGACCAGCGCTAAAGGCTTGTTTGCGAAAGGCAAGAGTCGTTTTGGGCGTGACAAGGTAGACAAATAATTTCTTCCGTCTCTTCCTTTTTCATCTCTTTACGGCACGATACGAGAATGCAGCTACGACCTTTTCCTATGTGATCGGACAGACGGATTGCGACCGATGGTTGGATGAGACCACTACTTTGGCGTTTTGGGCGTTCTCCCTTCGAGCTTACGACATGTCTCTGATCATTTCATGTAATGTGTCGTTCTCCTTCTCCTATAGTGCTACATGAATCTAAACCAATTCTCGACTTAACTCCCAGTTCCCTCTCGCTGTCTTGTTCTAGCTACAGGAAGATCAGTACTGATGTGACGCGTGGTTTAGGACTCAGCCATCTCATCCCGCGAAGCCTCTGAGGAGCCTGAAACGATCACGATAAGGACTACCACGACACCGGAAAAGCCCAACCTTCCACTACTCGATACGGGCAGCCCTAAGGAGGGAAAAAGAAGACGCCGTTTCTCCTCGCCTTTTCACCGCTCGAGTCGTTCAAAATCAAGATCAAGACCTAGCAGC